CAGGAGGAAATTCCAGTGAATAGGTCCATGTAAACCTAAGTTGAAGTAGGCATACTGTCTCCCGAATGTCGCGATTGCCTTACCGTTGGCCGCTTGGAGACTGGAGGATGAGTCATGACGCTCCTTTGTCGGTGCGGGAAGAACGCTAACTTCTGCGCCGGTGTCGACTAGGTTTCGCTTCAATATCCGTGACGCAGAGCAAATGGCTGTTTCCGCCGGCTACGGTTGCCGTGAGCACGTGCTGGCGTGACCGTTTCCCGAGTTTGTGTCCCGATTAAAACTGCGTGGTTTCCGACATTTTCTGGCTTCGTCTCCGTAAGTGTTGTGAAACCAGTACCATTTGGGGTTTTCTACCCTGTTGGGTTTAATTTCTGGACGACCACACGAGTTGCTGCGATGCGCTAAGATGCTTTTCTGTGAAATGCTTCGGACTTCGAGGCCGTAGCAAGTGTTTAAAGAGTTGCACAGCTTGGTCACCTCCGAACCCCGGCTCTCTGGTCCGTGCGCCGATTACTTTTCGCATACGTGCGAGGACTTCAGTAACTGAGTGGCTGCCTAGCTCGATGTTAAGAAGTAATTCGTCTAGGCGCTGGCGATCTGCGAGATCACCTCTCTTCAGGAGCGCAGCTTTGAGAGGTGCATAAGGATCACTTACTTTGGGACCAAACATATGTGCTGTAACATGCCTGTTTAATTCCCGCGGTAGTGAAAGTATGGCGGCAAGGAATCGAGAATGAGGATCTGCGACTTCCTGCTCTCGACAATTTGCCTCGGCATACAGAAACCATATTCCTACATTTTCTGGCCAACATGGCACGAGTTGGATGGTGTTCGTAGTCGGCCTAATACGGATAAGCTTCGAAGTATGTTGGCATATACGGATGTATGAAGGTTACAAAAATGAAAACATTATACAGGTATAAAATGGAACAGGCTCAACAATTTAAGATTTGTTATTGGTCGTGATTTTTCATCACATCGGGCTCATCGATCTAGGAACTGTAGCGGTGCGAACTTGACAGACGCAAAAGCCAATCACTAATCATTCGAACTTGTTATATACCCACGAATACGAGAACAAGAAGGAACACAATAGCGTAGTCGGATGGAACAGTATATTTGCGAAGTGGTGCCAAGATGCCGGTGCGTTCCAACTAACTGGCTAGGGAGTCGGTTACGAGCAGTGTAACGTAACACGACAGCGTGCCAAATGGTGAGGATGCTTGACCGGCTGCCTTCAGCTCAGCAAATCCAGTTAAACTGTGGAGGTCAGCATCAATGTTGGATCTCGTCTAACCCTAGGCTATTTATTCTGGAGAAGTGGGTTGCGCTACACCACGTAATGAACCTTTTTCAAAAGGTGAAAATAAGCGTGCACTTCATTTTCGATACATTTGCATATGAGTAATTCCCATTTTTACGAAACGTTTTCGTTTTAATAAAGACTTTTATTTATACTCCAGGTGCAAAGAGCACTGAACGAAACGTCAAAGCAAACTGAGGACAGCGATCGACGCACAATTCAATTTTTGTATTTCATTTTTCATTTGCCACGACACCCTAGAATAGGTCGAGACAACCAGGGGCCACTTCGCTCATTGAGCCCATCGGAGGAGTTTAACCATTAGAGAAACCACTGGGTTTCACTTCCTGCTGGTATCGTCCTAGGGTCCTCACGAACCTACTAGGGGGGCTTGATCTGCAGCTTCACACTTCCCCAAAATCAATGGCCCAGGGTTTGACGAGATCCAACATTGATGCTGACCTCCACAGTTTAACTGGATTTGCTGAGCTGAAGGCAGCCGGTCAAGCATCCTCACCATTTGGCACGCTGTCGTGTTACGTTACACTGCTCGTAACCGACTCCCTAGCCAGTTAGTTGGAACGCACCGGCATCTTGGCACCACTTCGCAAATATACTGTTCCATCCGACTACGCTATTGTGTTCCTTCTTGTTCTCGTATTCGTGGGTATATAACAAGTTCGAATGTCTAGTGATTAGCCTTTGCCTGTGTCAAGTTCGCATCACTGCAATTTCTAAAATCCCCTGAATACACCCTTCAATGTGTTTAACTTTAGTTGTTGCACCAATTTTAGAGGACGCACACATAATTTGGGACTGGAGCGTTGTTGGGTGTATATCGCTCACAAGTTCTAAGCTTGTGCTAGAACGCTATGAATTAAGAATTTTTCAGTGTTATATCACCCAAGTCCTTCAATCGCCCCACTGAAACTTACTTACGACATCGACAGTTCAATAACGACTAACTTGCTTTTCGTTTTCCAGGCGCCATCTTCTCTTCCCGTTTGTTAACGAAGAAAGAAAAATGTGGTGGGCTAGTTCTACACAGAGAAAACTACCCAGGCAAATATCGCATCTGACTAACATACTTTCATTGACTTTTGGACATTCACAAAAGTCAGCGGTTGGAAATCCCAACAGAAACAATACTATAGTTGCACATGGGATTCCAGAATTGCCAAATGACAGCTCGGTCAAAGATCGGTACTTTCACGACGTCCAACAATGGCAATGGCTCTCAACCAAAGCTGGTCTTGACAGTATACCGGCCAACAGCGTCAGTAGACTGCCAAGGCCAGTGCGCCTGAAGACCATACCCAATCCCAGACTACTCGCCGTCCAGTTCGACTCATATGCCTCCCTCACAGACGTTCTGCACGCGTGGTATAATGCGAAAGATCGCATGGGTGGCTCAATAGGTATATGTGAAAGTAATCCTAGACCCAGAAAGCAAGAGGAGAGACGGCAACCACCAAGACCTCTGGAGTCAGTGGTCGTCACACAGGCGCTGACCAGTGAGTTAGATACATCAAGTAAAGAAGCCACCACTGCTACAGCCCCCACCCAAGTTAAGAACAAAACACAAAAAAACTGAACAATGCCAGTCCTATGAGGACTGGCGAGGCTAAATTCAACCACGTAAGCGCTCATCCCTCGAAAATACACATCCAGACCTCCCCTCTCATCAGGCACACTCTAATATGTACGTACAGCAACGTTAGGGGGCTAAGAGGGAAGGTAGCAGAAATGAGGACGCTGCGTGAATATCAGCACTCCGACATCATATTCATCACTGAATCCTGGCTCTCATCGGACATCTCCGGCGAAGAGATGCGTGTTGCTGGCATGGAACTCTTCCGCAGGGACAGGGAACATAGAGCAGGAGGGGGAGTGGCTATCTACGTGAACTCCTGTTTAAAGGCAAGGATGGTTAGCGATACGGCCTTAACCCAGCTCCCAGAGTCTCTATGGTGCTACTTCACTCTCTTCTTTATTCTCTCTTCATTCCTTTACCACCACCTTACTATTCTCTTCCAGGTACCTACACAAACAGGAGTCATGGCAGTTCTCTAAACTTCCCAGCAACCCGTAGCTCCCTAATCACTCTACAAATTACAACCTACTAACCCACAAAACATCCACCTCACCGAAGCTAAAAGCAAGAAAGCAGAGGGTATTTCCTCGTCCACTACAGGAGTAAACCGAACAGCTGGAACCAAGCCCTAAGAACTAGACGCGAGAGATCAAAAACTACCAGTTTTCTACGCTCGCACTATCAATATTGGATATTGGAAAAAGATCAAGGCTACTGTGACGGCAGGAAATTAAAACTAGTCGTTGCGGCAGGTAAGGTGATGGTTTCACCATGGGAGTTCAAGTAGGAAGGCTTCAGAATCCCTGGATAATCTGTTATGATAAACACTCCCGTACTAATTCTAAAGCACCTTTGCTGTCGCAACATTATTCCTTTAAGCCAGGACAGGAGTTCCTGAAATTATAATTACCTGTGAACTGACGAGGAGTGACGCTGAAACCGTAAACGTCTTGGCCAGCTAATAATAACACAACTCGTCACCGACTACATTTCTGAATGCTTACAGGCATCCCACACAAACAGCAAGACTGTCAACCACTAGTCTAAGTCTCTATGAGGTGCATCATAAGCCTCCAATCTCTCTATAGGACGCATGTCCTAGCTCGAATAGAGTTCATGCTATTTACCTTCATGAAAGTGCCTCATTTCTCAGTGAACACCTCAGTAGATTTTTCATGCATACTTGTAGCCGGGAGCGTATTGTATGAACCTTAAGGGTTAGGTCATGTCACACGTATTTTCACGAGTGGTCAACGAAGAAACCCAGGGAAATATTTTCGTATGGGTTTTAAATCCACACACTTTTAAGTGTCAAAGTCTTTGATTTACGATGTATTACGTGACTACCTGATATCCATAGCTTCTTTCTGCACCTCCCGAGCATGGTTCTGGGAAAGGATATTGGTGCGTCACTAATCTACAGTGGGTAGCTGAACCAGCATTTCTGATCACCACAGTAGAATAGATGTCATTTTCGTTCATTTTTTCAAGACTTTCAATCGTGTCAACCACAACTGTGTTAACGAGTTGAAGGTAGTGGGAATCAGTTCGTTAATCGGCTGCCAGTCGCCATATTTATGTAACCACCCCTTTGAGGTCCAACTAAATTCTGCCATTTTCAACGAAACAAAGTGTGCTAGTGAAATTCAGGGTTCAGTCTAAGACCTCTCTTGTCCCTTATCTAAACAAGTGATTTTTGCAATTCTGCAATTCTTTTTGCTGATAAAAGGAAGTAGGAGACGTAAGCAACAGGTTCACTTTACAAGATCACTTAACTTGACTCCAGGATTGGGGAAACTACAGTGAACTAACCATTCTGAAAATGTAAGGTGATACACGTACGACATGACGCGTGTCATATTCAAACTAAACGGCATGGAGCTGAAGGTATCTTTGTCCAAAAAGTATCTTGGAGTCTTAGTCCCCTACGACCTTAGACCTTACGCTGTGATAAAATGCATTCCATGCAAGTCTGATACTCGTAACCCTGTTATGAGTCTTTAGACAGTTTGATTACCGGTATTTCCACCACCACGTCATACGGCGTCACCCATAATTTAGGACAATCTTCTTTCTTCCACTTCAAAAAGATAAGAAGCATTTATGATCTACCAAATGTGCTGCACTAAATCTGCAGCACGAAGAACTCATGGTAGTATTGAGTCTATATGGCTTGGAATATAGACTACTTAGAGGTAACGTGGTAGTGTCGTGTAACATTTCCAACACTTCAGGTCATCCTCTACACCGTTTGCTTAGCCTGAGGTCTACAAATCTTATGGCAAGCACCCAAGAGTTGTAGAGGCTTAGCATGCTCTCCCTGTAGTTGTTTGGGGTAGATCGTAATAGTCCTTACAACATAAACTTGATGCCCAAAGTCACAGAATAAGCTTGCAGACTAAGTCGTTTATAATCTAGTCATTTTTTTTCCCTTTTATCTCTATACCTAGGTTCTCAAACGTAATAATTAGTGTTTCACTGATTCTAGATGCGGAAGCTACTTAACAGAGTTCCTTCTATCCCGTCAATAATTATTTGAGACCATTTAAAAAACAGTACCTGCTTCCTGCTGAAAATTATTCTGTGGTTTACTTTAATGCATGAAATGCATAGCGTCATGACATAATGTATTAATATTTCTTGAGGTTTTCCAGCATAATTAGTTACCCACATCTATGGTTACTCACCTGAAATCATTTTGTAGTATTTAATGAGAAACATTTCACACTTGAGATATCGCGATCGTTATCTAAGGGACTGTATGGGGATGTAGCTCAAACTACTCCACTAACTACTTTTGATGTTTTCGTACAGAATTAGGTATAAATTACAACCTTCGTGTCTTAAGTGGTAAAATGGGAGTTTTGAAGTTTTGCCTTTGTTATTACTTTAATATAACATGATTCTATGGAATCAAAATTAATTATATGAATTTCAGGCAAACAACTAAGGCGATATCTTTTGTGCGCTAATTTATACAGATGTCTACAGATAGCACATGGATACTTTTCTGTGAGTTGTTTTGGTTTTGCCTCCGGTGCTGTGGAAGTCCATTCGACGAATTTCGATTCTTCGTCTTAAACTTCCAGCTTCACTTTCTTAGATTCTCTCGAGCGTATTTAGGTTAGGAGAAAATTTTCGGCAGTTTAGACAGGTCAAAATTATAGATGGAGACAATTATGTCAGCCAATCCACCTGAAACAATGGATACTGGAGTGCGAAGTTTGAGGACCACTTACTGTTTCTGTTCATCATCTTAGCATGGTCTAAGCCTTGCCTTAATACCTCAAGTATTGCGGGGGAAATGCTGTAGTCGCTAAGTAACAGTTGTAATGTGTAACTGGAAAACAGCTTTCTTTTTTCTCACAGATACGCTGAACCGTCGCTGTTGCAGTAGAATAACGACTATGGTAAGTAAGTTTGATATTAGAAGGGAAACGCACTCAGCTACCTTGTGCACATGCGTGCAGTAGGCAGTGCGCCACACCTATTGTGTGAAGGATAGTTATACTACCTGGCTGCCCAAACCTTGGTAGGTGCGGCAGGACTGTTGCACGCAGCCCGATGGTTGATAGTCATCTCTCTAAACCACTGAGCCGCAGGTCCGCTTGTTCGATATTGCAGACATACCGTACTAATCACTGGATAAACAACAAATAAGTAGTGGAAGTTGTGTGCTGCATCAAACAGACAAGTTAAGCATAAACTTCATTGTCACTCTCGAAGTGCTGATGAATGTGTGACGTATTCAAGGACAAGAAGCATTTTATCACTTAAATTTATGAAAGTGGGGGTATACATTCCGTAGGAAACTTGTCCTGTTAGTCCAACAGGTGTAGTTGTTAATACGCTGGTAAGGGCCTATGATACTACTGTCCAGGTCTGGGTAAGAGAGGCAACCATGAAACCTGTCACCGTATACTCGAAGTTCGACTATGTAAACCGACTAACTACCACGGGAGCTACTGCTTATTGCTCATTTGTTTCCATCCACATTTCGAAAAGCCTCATTTTTTGATTCTATAGAACTTTTATTCGTATAACAGTTGGTCATTTGCTTGAAGTAGATTGGTTCTTTGGTGGTCATTACCGACCTGCTAGATATAAAGAATGAAGTTTACTGTGCTGCAGAAAGGAAATGGAGAGACCAAGCATCGAAACCTGTAAATTAATCAGTCTTTTGAAGTTATAGGCCTTTTTAAAATCATCATCGTAGGTGAAATAATCTCACAGAAATGTATGCATATAATGATATTTAGTTCTAGGTATTGTTTTGAGATGTGCTGACTTATGGAATCAAATATTTCATTGAATCGTTTATAAATCTTGTTCTAATGGGGGAATAGGTCCTTCAATATCTACCATTCTTGGATGGCCTAGGAAATCGAATTAAATACAAGGTTTCACAAACCAATCGGTTACGTTTGGTTTTAATGGGATGTACACTCATGTTTCGTTTCTGAATTGTTAGATTTCGATCACAAGAGATATGCCAAATTACTTACCACTAGGTTCAGTAGATTCTAGTTTTTTTTGCCTTGTGGTATGCGAAGATAAATGATTGGAAATCACCATCAAATTAACCTTGTCCTTGTTGACAGAAGCACTCATTTTCACTTTAGTGTATAGTGTGGTGTTAATCAGTATCTGGAAAGTTTGGTTCCACTCCAATTCAAAGACCAAGAATATTCAATACCGCTTTCAACTTACTAACACTATTTGTAATTAGTTTTGATGTCGGTGGATTAGTTGTATATAGTTTTAAAGGTTGTTTGGGACAATCCTAACTCAGCTTTCACCCCATCAATTTTGTTAAAGTTATTTACAAACCTGCCTGGTCCACAAAACATTACATGCTGCCTTTCAAAATTGTTTGGTACAAAATGTACGTGACTCCTGTTTAGTTTTAAAATATCCTAAAACGGGATTATAAATAGAAGCAATCGAAAACACTTAAGTTCATGACTGTTCTTTCGCTCTAGAATTTTCATGCGCGAAAAGCTTATTGATCCTAATATGTCTGCTACTGAGTCAAAGGAGGTTTCAGGCCTACCGTCAGCTTTGGAACTACTATGTGCACCTAAGAAACTTGACCGTGAGAAAGGGGAAGAACACTTTAAAAACATGTCTTTGACCCTTGATGAGGTGAAGTTCGTATCATCCTGGATTGAAGAAAAGTTGGATGGTCTTTCTAACTGGGAAGATGTAAGCAATTATTATGCGTAATTTTTCGACCAGGTTTATGGCGGGATCGTTGCAGCTGTTATCTTACTTCGTAATATTGATTATAAATTACTTGTGGATATTGGCCTTGTGAATAAGCTAGAAAATCAGGTGATAGAATGTCACGAAAACTATGAGTTTCGTGTTCGAATAGCTGCCGGCCAACTTATGGGTTCGCTTGTGCAACACGCCGGGTTACCACTATTTCTTCGCTTCTTGCCTGCCGTTATTCAGGGTGTCACCACTAATTTGGAGAGAAATATTGAACCCACCGTCTCTGAAGCTGAATTTTCCCTTCGAGAACTTGATTTGGCAAAGGTAAATTTTCATCGCTGTTTTAATCTTATCGTCAATATTGCTTTGCAGGAACGTGATGTAAATCTGAGCAGGAGTTCCTTATCCATTTTCCATGACACAGCTGGTTGGAAAAACTTGGAAACTTGGATGAAGTGTTTACAGGAAATGGTGGGCACCATCTCCTCAGAAGATTTCGTTAAAGTGGATAGAGTCGAAATTCTAGAACTGATTTTCAAGGCTGTTCAGCATGTGAATCGCTTTGTTCGTGAAACAGGCTATGATGTGTTATCTACACTGATTTCACATCACCTATGTTATGCACAACCCGAAACAAAAGAATGTAACTATATCAACGTTGCGTCCCAATTGGTCCAGGGATTGTCAGATAACTGGAGTCAAGTATGTGGAAGATCTTAATATGTTCATTTCCGAATCGATATATTACTTGTTCACAAAATTTCATTCATATATTATGCTGTCTATAATTAAAAGCTATTACATCTTCCTTAATACTATCCAACCTTCAGTCATTACATGCTCATCGTTAAATTTGGATCTGTAATCTGGATACTGTATGTCGTAGTGATTACTCCGTCATTTGTTAATAGCAGTATGGATAAACTTGTAGAAAATGTATACCTCTTACAGACATCAGTTTTACTCTGAACTGATACTGAGCATCTGCGCTCATCTCAATTAATTAAGGTTCAACAGTGTATCTGGAGCTCCTGAAATCTACTTAGAGGATAATCATTACAATCTTTTGAGTGAGGATTCGCATATATGATGGTCTGTATGACTTGCATTTACTGGGTGCAAACTAGTGTTCTGAGATCAGTTTGCACTCTTATCTAAAGTGACTACGCGAAGTTAAGTTGGTTGACCAGTTTTCGTTTCTAAACAGATACACTCAAAGTGAACAGATTGTAAAGGAAGCCCCAACAGTTGTTTTATTTAGTTCTGAATAACTTGCTTTATTCTTGGTTCTGTTGAGATATGCATTTTTTCGTATCACTTCATGCATGGCGTATGGCACGATAATATATCTAGATACAGGAGTTGAACTTAGGCACTAATAAACTATAATTCCATTTTATTTGACTTGTTAGATGCATCACGCAGTAAAACAGTATGACTTGAAATGACGATGGACAACAAATTATCGGGAACGTAATCCACCAAATAATATCGTTCTGTTGTGTGACACATCTAAGAAACCAACGAAAATGTATGTCTTATGTGTCTTATTTCACCACGACAAGTTTAGTAAAAGTACATGACAAAAACCTGAAGGTTTCCGATGATTCTTGCCTTCACAGAATCACCTGGATTGTAGAGCTTCTTATTGACTGATTTTAAGGTCAGAAATAAGGTTTTAGGCGAGAGAATGTAATCCGGAACCATACAAGTAATAAAGAGTTTCCATATCGTAGTGATTTCGCTAGACATATAATATTGATGCAGAATTCAGATTTTCAGGATTCGTTGTCAAATTGAAATCTACCTTGACGTGGAATTTTGATTCCTATGAAATTAATTTAACGGAAACCGTAGAGTTATTAAGATATAAAATAATTTTATAAATTCATTGGCTGCTGGTTTTATCCACGTGAAGAGACTTCACTCAGACTGAATACGATCCTCAGGAATTGTGCAATTATTTGTTAAAGACATTATGTTATTTTTCTCACAGTAGACATTTTTGTCTTAGGTTAACTAATCCTTTGTCTTGCACTTGACTCGGTCGACCGTGAGGTGTTTTGGGAGTATCTGACTGTGAAAGGGGTACTAAGAAAGTTTATAACGCTAATCAAAGTGTTATAGTGTGCAGAACGATTCACAAAATTTTCGTAAGGAGCCGTATGTGCCTAAAGCGTTTTTCAACCAGTCATTTTGCTCCCAAGTTTCAGGGGGAGGGGTGGGGGGCAAAACACGTGAAAAAACGTGTGTCTCAGGTTGGTTGAAGAGATGCGAAAACAATAGGACTTAAATCTAGAAAGGCCTGGAAATAGCCAAGGACATTGTAATGTATATATGGACATTGTAATTTGTATATATTTGCAAATGTTGCAAATACACCTGCTATATTTCCACCTCTTTCCGTCTCGGAAGAACTGAGTGACCGTTAAGTGTGGAATCTGAAGGTTATTGCAAAAACGTCCACCTGTAAGTAACTGAGATTATCTAAAGTCACTTCAGTGATATAACTAGTGACAACAAGTGTCATAAAAGTAGCCACTGGAGTGTGTAAAACAAAGCGCTTTACTCTAACTTACGCAGATATGTAGAGAATTTTCATGAGAATTGACGACAGCTGGTGTCTGCCAGGGATGCCCTCTGTTCAACCTCGTTATAGATGATGTATAATCGGACATAACCTTGGGTAAGGTGCGTCTGACTTCACAGAGACTGATCTACTCCCTGGAGGTTATCTGGTTAACTTGGAGTATACAGATAACATTGTTCGGTTAAATAAAGACACTGAGAAGATCCAAGGTCTTCTGAATCTCATGAGGATGAATCTGTGTATGTTTGGTATGCCTTTTGCACCTTCCAAATTTGAGGTGATGCTTGAGGCTCGATCTGCACCATCTCCCAGTTTAAGGATAGGGAGTGAAGTGGTGGGATGTGTCGATCACTTGACTTACTTGTGGAGTTGAATCATGCTGAATGGTTTGGTTTTTGATGCCATGTCAGCACGGATAAAAGGGACTGTTTCACATTTACGAACTTGCGTCATCTGTGGTGCCAACTGGCGAGATATCCGATTATCTATCTAAGGACGAGTATAGTGCTCTGCAGTTCGTTCTGTCTTGTTATACGGCTGTGAGACATGGTCATTAAAAGTACGAGATATGAAGTGGTTACGATTTTTTGATCTGAGATATCTTCGTAGCATTGCTGGTGTTTTGTGGAATCAGCGTGTATGCAGTATTGATGTCAGGCGAAGGGTACTATGTGAGATAGGCAAGTCGATTGATGAGGTTGTGAACATTCATCGACTGAGGTGGGTTGGACATGTGTTGGGCCTGTCGACGCACCACCTAGTTGAGGTGTCATGCAAATGGAAGAGAGTTTTGTGTGGCCAAACGAAGAGATAGCACCAGTCGATGAAGTTTGTGATTGGTGGTCTGAGCCGTGTGGAGAAATGTAGACTGTCTGATTGATCTCCACAAGACGATGGCCATCAGTGGTTGAGAAGTGTTGATGACGTGGCTGGAAATGGATGACAGTGGCGCAGATGTGTTGATTCTTTGACTTGTTCTAAAGCTTGAACATTCGCACTAACCTTTATCTTCGAATTGTTTATTCTCTCAGTCTACTTTATGTACTTTGATATAACTCATGTTCTGTACACTTGTTCTTTGTATACTGCTGTGTGAATTGTGGCAACTTGAGCCGATGCATTTGTGTGCGAGGTTCTACCCTTCTCTGATTTCAGGTTGAACATTATACTTTGAGCATTTTTATCACTATCTGCTCTTGTACTGTTTTCTGTTCCTGTCTTATGCTTATTCTTAATTATGAAGTTGATTGTAGATGTTATTGCGAGACATTACTTGAAACCACTATAATCATGCTGCTGTTTCTTTATCGATTGGTTGAGCGGCTGTATCCCAGTCCGCTTGCCGACCTTAGCTACATACTTTCTGCAGCTATCAAGCTGCGGATGTATGAAATCTATGTAGGATGATTTTTACAGTTTTCCAATTCCGTCTCGCATCCAATGGTGAAAAAATTCTTGTTTTATTTAGGAAATAACTCAATAAAGTTGTGACGCTGTACATTTAGCAGTAACGAATTCATCCTTAGAAATAAAAATATAGTGCTTTTGTGTTGTGAAGTGGTTCGTCATCTTCGTGGTATACTCTTGAACCGAAGTTTGACATAGTAATGGCTCAAGGAATTAGCGTCGCAGTGAATTCCACTGTCTGGTGTAATATGATGAGGAAACGAGACCATTACATCTAAGTGGTAATCACGGTCAATATCTAATGCTGGAAAATGTGACTTATTTTTACCGAGATATTATTAGAGGAAACCAAGTTTAGAATACTTTTATTACACTGCAGCTGTTTTACTGAGTGAAACTGAGTTTGGGATTGCGTGTTTTATCCTCGGTTTTATTTCGGTTTGGTAGTAGACACTTACCTTTTATAAAACCTACGAATTTAGCTGTTTTACTTTACTTTCTGAAATTACTTTTTATACCCATCCACTCAACTGCAGGTTCGCATGGCTGCTTCGAGGGCAACTCGAACGTTTTTTGAGGTTAGTCCTCCTCCTGGATATTCAGTAAATGATGCCTATCCTATTCTCCTACCGCCTATGTGTTTGAACAGATACTACGTTGCTGAAGGTGTCAGGATCTACAGTCAAGAAACCTGGTGTCGTGTAACTCAGGGAGAAGGTCGAAAGCTACTTGGTCTATTTTTGGGACCAGCTGTTGATTATTACATCCAACAGAGTGAGGCTGACAATCATGCAGTAAGTATTTTTCATTTTTACTGAGATGATTGAGTGTTTAAAACGGAATTTGTTTTTGATACTCTCAGCATTGCCGAGTGTACATCATAAAAAACAAATTACTCTATTCTTGTAGAAAAGTGCGAAAATTTATTAAACTGTATATAATAGCTGTTAATCCTGTAGTTTCATTTTTACAACTTACTGTCGCAATATATGTTAATGGAACTCACCGTCTTAAACATTGAGAAATCTGTTAGATATTAATCAGTGAGGTACTACTTTTATTCAAATGCATTTATTTGACACGTTCAGCGTGAGGATAGCAAATGCGTTTTTTTCCACTATCAAACGGATGCACACTGGTGAATTTGCAAATTTCATCCTTCGAGTTTCGGAAGACTCGATAGCTATTTCTTGTGGTCTTGCAATTGTAGGCATAACATCAAGTGTGAAGGTAGAACGGCATTGCTCGATTGGATCATAGTTGACAGTCAACTATGCGCTGTTCGACTGAATGTCACAGTGTGGGCTAAAAGGAAAAGTTAAACTCGTCATCGTAATCTCTGCTTACGCACCCACTAACTACAGATCGGAAGAGGTGTAGGATAAGTTCTACCGAAGGCTCTCTAGCTTTCTACTGAAAGCCAAACGTTCAGATGTAGTTTCTGTAGTTGGTGATTTCAATACACAAGTGGGTAGGTTAAGCCAGACAGAAAGACACTTCAGTGGCCCTTTTAAGATCCCAGCTAAATGGATGGATAACGGTAATCGCCTGCTACAGTTATGCTGAGACACCCACTTATTTCTGGCAAATCCGAATTTCAGTTGGACAGAGGGATTGTCCAAAGTGACGTCCACTGACCCCAACTGAGGGGTAAACACGGATAAATCATATTGCTGTAAGTTATCGCTGGAGACGGTCGGTGGAAGATGGTCGTTCCTTGTGGGGCATGTGTTTAAACAATGCCCATGTGTTGGTTCGAGTACGTGCATACTTTTTCGCCTGAATGTACGTTGGAAAATTTACTGCAACAAAATCATTTCAAGCTCAGCTCGATGATGAGAATACTTAGGTTACTTTTAACAAGAAAGCAGTTTTTGAACCACAAGAACACCATTTATCCTGAAAAAGTGTGGCTCCATCTCCAGCTTGTTATAAAAACAGCATTAGGGGCTATAGCTAACTCTCAAAGAAAGGTTAGAAGGCGTCAGTTAATCTCAGCAGCTTCTGAATTAATGAATGCACGTAAACGCACTCCTGCAGATTCAAAGCACAATGAGCGGAAGCAATCCAAATGTCGACTGTCAAAATGTTTAAGCAGTGACTGGAAACAGTAGCGGGAAATAAAGGTTAAAGAGATGGAAAAGGCGATGGGTAACAGTAAGCAGCTATTTATAGTTGTTAAGCAAACTGGAAAGAAAAAGTCGGTGGTTAGTGAGACAGTAGCGGAGGAGGATGTGTCTATGATTCACTCGCTAGGGGATGACTAAAATGATGCGTGGGACACTTCACGGAATAACTCAACTGGCCTCCAATTACTATACCGTTGCCCGCTATCCAGTCGGATCCTGAATGAAACGTTGAGGTAGGGTCCCGAACTCTTACAGAAGATGGAAAGGCTGTAAGTAACCGGAAATGATAAGGGGAATAGGGTCAGATGGGGTAGTACTGGAAATATTTAAGGGCAGTGGTCGAGGATTACTGGTCAACAAAACTGAAGTGCTGGCTAGCATATGGGAGTCAAATATGACTTATGCTGACTTGACCCATTCTTCAAGAAAGTAGAGAAATCCTCTAGTGATAACCACAGTGTAACCAGTTTGACGAACATAATATCTAAGATTCCATCTTCTATAAATATCAGAGCTCAGGGAAAGCAAATCCGAGAAAACCAGGCCGGGTTTCGACCTTACCGTGGGTGGATGGACCAGTTATCCACACTCTCCCCGGTTCTGGAAGACATGCACACTTACCAACGCCCGACATTGGCTGTATTTTTCAACATCCAGGTGGCGTTCGATTCCGTCAATCGAGAGGTCTTATGGCAATATCTCACTGATAGAGGTATGAAGTAGGCGAATCACTCTGTATAAGGCTATGTACTCGGACATAGATGGGGTGTTAGAGCCTATGGTGAGTTATCAAATGTGTTGTGTGCGTCAAATGGCATCCCTCATGAATATCCACTCTCTCTCTACTCCCATTTTATTTTGTCACCGAGGTACTTGTAGAGGTCTTCCTTCCGTGGTCTGCCTTTAGAGAGATTGATCTGGTCGCAGAAAATGCTTTAGTTAAACCTAGAGAGCACGCAGATGACATAATCCTGTTAGCTGAAGATGTCAACGGAGTACAACGTTTTCTGAACACCCTTAGTGGCAATCTGAGAATGTTTGAGATTCGTTCCCCAGCATCCAAATGCAAAGTGTTGCTCCAAGACTGGTCCTCTTTGGTGTCTTGTTTAACACGACAGGGAAGTAATTGAGTGTATTTAGCACTTCGCTTTCTTGGGAGGTTGGGTCAGGCTTGGTGGGTAGGTGACCGACGAAATCTCCACATAGATGCAAACGGTTCGAGTGTATTGCTTTGCGGTTCGCTCTGTTCTACTTTATGACCATGAAAAATATCCTGTAAAGGTGGACATAAGAAGGCTTCAAGTGTTCGAGTACAGTTGCCTTCATTGCATTGACCATGTGTTTTCGTGCAACCAAGTCAGTAATGCATAAGTCAGGCGTAGGGTTTTTAGCAGAAGGGATAAGGCAGTTGATGAGGTTGTAGACCTTTATCGACTCAAATGGCTTGGACATTTGTTGCACATACTTAGTCACCATCATCTCCATCACGCAGTGTTGGCTAAATTCGTTTCGGGTTAGAGGCGGCCAGACTAAAACTTATAAACAGTCCATGATGTCGCTAGCCGTTGATCTGAGTCATGTAGGCGAGTGTAGACTTTCGGTAGGGTTTTCGTAACAACCAAAACTGCCAATTGGTTATAAGCTGAGAATCGATCTGAATGACACATTATCTTTATCCCAATTGCCATAATGAATTCCAGCATTGTCTCATTCCTCCTTGCTCTCTTTTAACAACTTTCTACTTTTGACTTATTCCTTTATTTCTTTATGAAGTGACCGAGCGAATAGTAATTAGAATGCGAACGATATCAACGCGATGAGACTTGGACTGGGTACTAATGGTGACTGTTCGCCATCAGAACCTTATACTTCACCGAGCTGCGATTACCGGGAGGTAAAAGTCCGGTCTGTGACTAAGTAAGACACTTTATTCGGCAAAATATATTTGTATGCAGTTTTCATGAGGATATAAAACCAATGTATCAAAAGTTAAGTGCTTATTTTGATTGGTCAACCGTAGAATAAATTGTCCGATAAGGGTTTTCCTGGACAGAGACATGAAATAGGAATAGAAACACGAAAACTTCCACCCTAGTGTCTGATGACTTAAAATGTTGATTTTCGTTTAGGCCGCTTTCTATCACTTTATCTCTCATCTGAGTCAGTGCATAGTCGTTTGATGTGCCGATATATGTAGCAACTTGGACCGCTCTGCAGTAACGCCAGGACCTATGTTGATATCGTCTGTTTGAAGAGCAAAGGGGGCCTATAGGACTAAGCACGCCTTTGGGAAAAGATTAAAAAATAATATTACTACACCAAAGTTACTGTCAGAAGATACCTCGGAGTTTTGTAATGATTGACTTCACATGCCTCAAACATGTTTGAAATTGGCAGTTCTTCGCTTGCCTGGTTAGACATTCTTTTCCGTGCTTATCACCGGATAACTGGCTAGGGAATATCTACTTAGGGAATTTAGTGAACCCTAACTTCAAAACATTGGTACTTATGAGCACCATAATTCATAAGTGACAAATTGTATAGGAATTTAATTGGTTGGCGGTATCTATGGAAATCCATAACCTGACGTTACCATTCTGCGTTTTCGACCATGTTTCAAGTCAATGGCTTGTGGAGTAATCCGCTTTGATCTGGGGATTCGGGCAGTATCACTGTCCTCGTAGAAATCACGTAGCAACTTCTACAATGAAGGCTTCGAAAGCGCCTATCAAATCTTCCAAACATCCAAGTTCACCGTGTTACGAAATTTCTACTCAGTCACTGGATTTATTATCATTGTCAGCTCAAACGTAAGTTTATGAGTTTTCGCAGTGACCGCGAGCAGTGGTAGGCGGCGAAAGTGAAAGAGATGCAGAATGCATCAGCACTAAGTAATACCCGACAAATATTTGGGCTGATTAAGAGTAGTGGCAAGAAAAAGACGATGATGAACGAGATCATCACCAAAGAGGATAGTACTTTGATAACCTCTCAGGACAGATAACTAGAATGTTGGTTAGAAGCACAGTTCAACTGACCTACAGCAACACTTCAGTTACCCAGCATTCATCCTGAGCCTAAATAGGACGTCGGTGCCGGTCCTCCCACTCTTCCTTAGGTTGAGAAGGGTATTTCTAACGTGAAACTATGCAAAGAGACTGGACTTGACGGTTTGACTCCCGAAGTTTTCAAGGATGAAGGTAAGAAATTGTTGATAAGGATGACGGAAGTACAACATAGTCTATGGGAATCAGTAGTAGTGCTGTCATACTGGTGTACGTCACGAATCACCCCAGTTTATAAGAAGTGGGGGGAATCTTGTAACAACCATAGGGGAATTAGTGTGACTAATGTTGTGTCCAAGATCCTAGGCTCCATAGTTATCCAACGTCTAAGTAAAGCTCGAGAGCAGCGAACTCTAGAAAACCAGGCAGGTGAACGAGAGTGCATGGATCATATTTTCACCCTCTGAAAGGTTCTAGAACATAGGTACACATACCGACCGCTGACACTTTCCCATATTTCTTGACCTGCAGGCAGGTGACATTTGACTCAGTCGACTGTCAGGTGTTGCGGAAGTGTCTGACTGGGAAGGCAGTGTCTAGCAAGGATATAACGCTATTCAAAGCCCTCTACAGCTGTGAAGGGTTCATGGAGAGTTGTTATGTGAATTGACGACAGCTGGTGTCTGCCAGGGATACCCTCTGTTCAACCTCGTTATAGATGATGTATAATCGGACATAACCTTGGGTAAGGTGCGTCTGACTTCACAGAGACTGATCTACTCCCTGGAGGTTATCTGGTTAACTTGGAGTATACAGATAACATTGTTCGGTTAAATAAAGACACTGAGAAGATCCAAGGTCTTCTGAATCTCATGAGGATGAATCTGTGTATGTTTGGTATGCCTTTTGCACCTTCCAAATTTGAGGTGATGCTTGAGGCTCGATCTGCACCATCTCCCAGTTTAAGGATAGGGAGTGAAGTGGTGGGATGTGTCGATCACTTGACTTACTTGTGGAGTTGAATCATGCTGAATGGTTTGGTTTTTGATGCCATGTCAGCACGGATAAAAGGGACTGTTTCACATTTACGAACTTGCGTCATCTGTGGTGCCAACTGGCGAGATATCCGATTATCTATCTAAGGACGAGTATAGTGCTCTGCAGTTCGTTCTGTCTTGTTATACGGCTGTGAGACATGGTCATTAAAAGTACGAGATATGAAGTGGTTACGATTTTTTGATCTGAGATATCTTCGTAGCATTGCTGGTGTTTTGTGGAATCAGCGTGTATGCAGTATTGATGTCAGGCGAAGGGTACTATGTGAGATAGGCAAGTCGATTGATGAGGTTGTGAACATTCATCGACTGAGGTGGGTTGGACATGTGTTGGGCCTGTCGACGCACCACCTAGTTGAGGTGTCATGCAAATGGAAGAGAGTTTTGTGTGGCCAAACGAAGAGATAGCACCAGTCGATGAAGTTTGTGATTGGTGGTCTGAGCCGTGTGGAGAAATGTAGACTGTCTGATTGATCTCCACAAGACGATGGCCATCAGTGGTTGAGAAGTGTTGATGACGTGGCTGGAAATGGATGACAGTGGCGCAGATGTGTTGATTCTTTGACTTGTTCTAAAGCTTGAACATTCGCACTAACCTTTATCTTCGAATTGTTTATTCTCTCAGTCTACTTTATGTACTTTGATATAACTCATGTTCTGTACACTTGTTCTTTGTATACTGCTGTGTGAATTGTGGCAACTTGAGCCGATGCGGTTGTGTGCGAGGTCCTATGTTGATTTCTCTTTTCTATGTTGTGACGTGTTCACTTGATTTTATTTTGTTACATTATGTTGTATTAGCTTTTGAAAAACTGATGCCTAGGAGATTTGACTTTTATCGAAAGGTGATGATACTATTCTTTTAATGTCTAATAATCCTTAGCGCCGTTTTTTCTTTCTATTCATAGGTACGTGAAGCTGCTTGCGCTTCTATGGCTGAAATCGTTAGCAAATTGGATTCACATCTACTTCTTCCATTTATTGACAAACTTTTGGGTTCGTTATTAGTGTGCTTTGGAGATGAAAGTTGGCCTGTAAGAGATGCTGCTTGCGTCGCATTAGGTTCGTTAATTTCCATGTTTCCCAATGAAACTCGTGCAAGTGGACATGATGATTTGATGTCTAAGCATTTTCTGCGCAACCTTTGCGATAGTATCCCTTCTGTACGAGAGGGTGCTGCTAGATCTATTGCTCAAATTTTAAAGTCGGTTAGTGATCCAAATCTAATAAATGTAAGTTGTTTAGTAATAAATCTCTTCATTTTTATTTGATACCAGCTTACTTTCAGTACACAAACAGCATATCTATAGTCATGTATCAGTTATCTGATGTAGCCTAAGTTGAGTAAAAAGATATAATGTAGGTTCTTTGCACACGTAATCTCGCTAGTTTCTGTGGTATTTTATAAACTAGACAGTTAGATCGCTGAAGGCTTACCCCAGGCTGAAATGTATTTAGTAAGAAGCGAAATTAATCTCAGCATCGTATACAGGTGTGGTAGATCATTAAATTCTCAGCTGAGTTCAGATACTAGAGACTGACTTTAAATCAAATAGGAACTACACAGTCTGACGAATATGGATCTGTGGGTCATTGGTTTAGTGAGTTGGCTTTCAACCAATGGGTTATGGGTTCGAGGCCCGCTCCGCCTGCCGAGGTTTAGGCAACCAGATAGTAGCCCTCACACAATAGGTGTTGCTTATTGTCTACTGCATGAATGTGCACAAGGTTGCTCAGTGGATTCCATTCCAGTGTGATGAATATATGTGAAAATGAGGGAACTAGCCTTCAGGGTAGCCAGGGATAGTTGTTTCTAACTAACTGAAAGGTCGTTTTCCTGGTTTATCATGAACTCGAATTCACTTATTTTTTTAGGAACTCCATCACTTTAGTTAACGCTTTGTAAAATATATTTTTGTATTCATATGAGTCATAAAATACTTTATGCAGTGTTAGTGATTTAATGGTGGCTGTTTCCCGTAAACGATGTACACTTTTGATATGATCATGTGAACTAGATGAATGAGTGATATGTCATAGAAAGTATTGGAATTCTAAGCTTTACTTTGAGCATGTGAAGTGCAGTGGAATGAAGGGGCTGTGAAACTTTCTAAACTTCTAAATGCCATCTTTTGATGTACACTGATATGTAGTGATAGTTATAGTAATGTTATTTGTATTAGTAGATGGATGAATCACATTTTTGTATTGTGTTATGAGTGTCCAAATGATTCGTCTTCCCTAACTTTTTTGAAGCTGTACATAAACCATATTCTGGAAAAAATCGATGGATTAAGCAAACAACCTAAAGATTCTCATGGTGCAGAGTCTCGTCGCGTGTGTGGTAAAGGTCCTGGAGCTTCTCAGGTTACTGTACTCAGTGGAGATGCTGCTCATGACAGTCGTCATACTAACCAAGTTATGTATTCTTGTGGATCACTGGCACCCAAAATGCAGAAAGGTATATTAACTGTGCATAATTCTTTATCTTGGAGATCAACAATAAATTATGACTGTTATGTATGTTAACTCATTTGTACACACGAGCTTTTGCTTGTTGGCTTTATTCTTGCATTTTTCCACTTAATGTTGTAGTTTGTGATGCATTCAGTCCTATTTCATTTTTATGTTTCTTATTTGGAGTGGGCTACAATTATTAAAGTTTTACAGTGTAATTATGCGACCAGCACCCTCATTAAAGCAACACACCTTTGAAGTTCCAGGCAATTTCAATAGTAATATTTATGCTTTTGACATATTATTTGTCTACGTGACAAACTCAGCAGAGCACTAAGCATCAATCGCACGAATGGTTGAACACCTACCCAAGTGACTGAAGTGTACAGAAAAGAAAACCTTGAAACGTTCGATAACGAAGCACGTTGTAGATTATGTGTATGATATTGTGATACCTGTAAGTCCTTTAGGATTATTAGTAGACAGCAGAATATGAAATTGAATGTAATTGCAAAGGTTTATGAGATTCAGATTGTCAAATCAGATCTTTGCGTTCAGAAGAAAATGGTGGTTAACTTGGATCTACCATGGTATGAATTGAAATGTCGTCTAATTATATTTACTCTTCCCTACTTGATTTTTGCCTTCAATTATTACTCTTATCTTATACTTTTGGTTTTTTTTCCTGATGTGTTTCGTTAAGTCGACTTTATTCTTATTACCATTGTTATCATTATTGTTCATCTCAATACATGCCTGATCTTAAATGACTACTAACTACTCTGTTGTGAATGGCGGAATCTACCGATTCACTTTTCACCCCAGTGTCAACATTATTATAATTATTGTTAATGATAGATAGTGGCTAAAAGTGGAATCTAGGACTCGCGTTTCGCCCTTTTAGGGACTCGTCAGCCGAATGTACCTGCTTCCCAGTGAGCGATGTTGTTCCCACTAGGACTGGAACTCGGGACCAATCGCCTCAAACTCCAGAGCGTTATCTTCTAGGCCAGCGAGTCACGATAGCCACGTTTTGTGCGACGGGTTGTTGTTGTTGCTATCTTGACTCGGTGGTTTAGTGGATAGTGTTTTGGCGTTTAAAGCAATCGGTCCCGAGGGAACAACATCTTCCACTGGGAAGCAGGTAAATCCAGCTGACGAGTCCCAAATAGGACGGAACGCACGTCGCGAATTCCACTGCTAGACACCATCCATCATCATTATCTAAGTCGAGCACAGGCAATATCGAGGGATATACGCAGAAGCCCATATGCCAATAGAGACCGATCAATTCGGTCCACTTAGCGATGGGATAATGCAAACAACAACATTAATATCATTATCGTTATTATCATTATTTTGTCACTCGAAATCCACATGATTCTTTAGACTGTACTACTATCTAAGTTTATATTTTGATTATGCAATCGATCTTCAACTTATTCAATTTGAACATTCACTCTTATTTTTTGCCTTGTCACCTGACCTGTGAAAATTGTTCATCTCTATATTGGTACACTTAAATCGATGTATCAGTCTACATAATATATGTGTGTCTGTTCTAGTGCACTTCTTAACGGTATTTGTAATTAGGTATGTAGAGTATCCAACTGACTAGTTCTACTGAGATTTATGCATTCATTAAGTCCTACTTTCTTCATATTCATTACTTGTTTTAAATTTTTACTGGAAAAAAGAAAGTTTTTAATAACATAGTCGTCAGGAGATAAGAGATCAAGAAGCTGATGGTGGTTTGGTATTTGAACTTTGATATTTTGTCTTGAATGTTTCATCATCAGGGTTGGTGGCATTTTCAGGTCATCCTGAGCTACAAATCTTTTCCAAAATTTCAAAATCAATAAGCTGTTATTACTTTTTGAGCAAAGACTTAAGGACGTTACACCATGATAGAAATTTGTTTCTCTTTTTAATCATATTTTTGTTAATGATGGACAGTGACTAACAGTGGAATCCAGGATGCGGGTTTCCTCCTATTTGGGACTCCTCAGCTAGATGTTCCTGCCTCTTAGTGAGCGTCGTCGTTGCCACTAAGCCTCGAACCCGGGATCAATCACTTCAAACGCTTAAGCGTTATCCTTCGAGCCACCGAGTTATGATAGCCACTTTTTGTGCAACGGGTATAGTTTTTATGTTGTTATTTGTATTATCCCGTCGTTAGTTGAACCGAATTGATTGGTCGCTATCGACATATGAGTTCCTGTGTGGATAACTCGATATTGCCTGTGTTTCGGTTATATATTAATATACAAGTAACGACATAAAAATATTCGATGTTGTTTCAAGCTACTGAATCAGTAGTGTGGTCAAGATTCGCTCAAGTTCTCTGGAGAAAACTAGGATTACAGGCCTCCACCAGAAAAATATCCGTATAAAAGGGTGGTACATATGAACTTCAGTAATCAGATTAACAACAACTACAGAGGTGATTGAGATGAAAGTATGACTTTTTAGTTTTCATCAAACGGTTGGAAGTTTTATTTTGTTATATACGCAGAGTTTAGTTCACAAATGTTATATTTGGTCAAGTGATGATTATCAGTGGCCCATTAGTTAGAAAAGACTGAACACATCATAACGGTATTGGGGTATCATACCATTCACATGACTGACACTGATTGATTGTTAACGTAACGCACTGACTAATTCGGATCCAGAGTAAATTTAAAGTATTTAAAGCCTTCTTTCGTTGGATTACATGTGTAGACACCATATAAAACTGGCATCTAAACTTTGTAGGGAAATGAGAAATTTCTAAATTTTTAGGATTATGAGTGTTCTCTGACTTACTGTTGTTCATATGGTTTTCGACTCATTTTTGGCACTTATTTAAACTTAATGAAAGCACAAACTATTGTTTCAAAATGTAGTGGTAACGATATTATTGAACTTGTTATTCTGTATGTTTGATGATCTCTACTATCATTGGTATATATAGTCATCTTTGCACTGTAGAGGACAAAGATACAAAATAAACAAGCAAATCAGCTTAAAACTTGACATAGAAGTGCATCGGTTTAAGTTGCTACACTTCATATTAGCATGACTGTAGGGAGAACATTCACTATCAGAGATGACTGCAATATCTTTGATGACTGTTTGTATTCTGCTATTCGAGTGCAGTTGTGTCTTACAGATAGGTGAGTTATCTCTAGAACTTAAAAAGGCACTGGGAAAACTAGTCAGAAATTGTAACTGGTGTTTAGATGGGAACCTATTGCATTTGTTCAGTGGTTTTATATATTTGGCTTTCCAATCAGATAAATGTATTTGCAGGTCTACCTAATAGCATGAATGGATGATACAAAAACAGGGATATAAACTGTTATGATCTATTACATGGAAAAAATCTTTTAAATCCCGGTACATCTCTAATCATGTCTTTGTTTATACAGGAACTTTCGTCATTGGATTAAGAAATTGACTGTCAGACGATGTCTTGGATTCAAAACCCTCTTCGATGTGTGTGGTTGGCTGGTATCAAGCGCCCTCACCTTAATTGTGACTCATAGCCTATTTCATAAGCCTGTACAATGATAGCTTGGATTAAAATGAAAATATTTATTATCTATTTATCCCAGATGCATGATATTTCATATACAGCTTAACGAGATTTTCCAGTATTATTTGATAATATAATTGTTTCCAGTTTTCAATGTTTATTTTGCAACGGGAACATTTCAGGTCGAAAGGGTGGTGGTTGTCATGACGGTTTGAATCAGCGTGCCAGTGAACCTTGGGAAGAAGCCGACGGGGCGATACGTCTAATTGGTCAAATAGCTGAAGTTTTGCCAGATCTTGTCACTGATGCTATAATTTCCTGTCTACTGAAAAGCGCTGAATATCGAAACTATACTCATTATCCATACTTTTTGGAAACAGGTTAGTATTGTGTTTTCAAAAAATATTTTTCACACCTTTGTGTAGTAGGAGTAAAACGAATTTTAGTCATCAACAACATTACTATGAAACAGTTGGAGTTGTCGCAAAGTACAGAGCATTAGCATGGAAGACAGTAATTAAAGTAACAACTGAATACACAGAAACGTCATAAAACAAAAGGATGAGAAGGTAAAGGAGATAGCAACGTTTGATGTAATGACTAACATGTAGGTAGGCTGTAGATGAATCTGCGCCACTGCCATCGATTCTCAGCCAAATCACCTGTCATGAGTTCCAGTTGTTTTGGGATCTTTCCAGCAAGGAAGTTGTATACAACACAAACCAACGACTATTGACTTCAGAATTCAATGTTGGGGATCGTCAACTTTATAGGCTTCTTGCGAAACACCATCACTATGTCTCGAAAAGTTTTATCTGAAAATTATTTATTTTTGATCACAGCATTTTGAAAGTGTTAACTTCGAAGAAATTTTAAATCTACCATTAAACTCTTCTCATGAATGGGTAATTCGCAACCCCACTCAGTCAAAACCTATATGCATACGTGAATATTTGCTTTGTGAATTATCGATTCGAAACGATAATGACTCTGTACATTTTCATCCTGGTTAACTAGTTCACTAGTTACTAGCCGGTCCTAAGCCCGGATAAAGAGGGATGGTTGGGCGTGGGGCTAGCAACTCTACCCCGTAAAACAAATCCAACCGCTAAAGAAACTTCAAAGCACAAACAAAATATGAAAAATAAAAACAAAATTATTCCCCGCTCGAATCGGAGAGGTGAAAGGACGCTGGTTGGTGAAAGCCTTCGGGAAGCCAATTAGCCGATGTATCTTCTCTCGATGAAAACGAAAGTAAACGTGGGATATGGAATGTCCGCACTATGTTTGAACCTCACAAGGCTGCCCAGATTGCAAAGGAGGTGAGAAGGTATCGCGTTGAAGTGCTAGGAATCTGCGGAGGCAGGTGGAATAGAAGTGGACTCTCCAAACTGTCAATTGGAGGATCAATAATCTACTCCGACATTGTCGCCCGGACGACAACAACGAGCACACTGAGTTTTGGAGTGGCTATCATGATGTCCCAACAGCATCGAAGGCTTTCATACAGTGGGAACCGATCTCCTCCAGGATCATAACAAGATGGTTCAACTCAAAAGGAAGGAGCCACAATCATACAATGCTACGCGACGCACCTACAAATAATGCAGAGCAAGAGAAGAAGGAGGAATTCCGCAGACAACTACAATCAGTACTGGACAAGACCTCAGTTGGCGACATCAAAATTCGAATGGGAGACATGAATGCCAAACTGGTAGCGGATAACACAGGAAGAGAACACTAATCATGGGTCGAGAAGCGCTCGGTGAAATGAAAGAGAATCGAGAATTGTTTGCAGAATTCTGTGCATTCAACGATTTGGTGATTGGAGGCAGTGTGTACAAGCACAAGGATATTCACAAAGTCACATGGAGTTGATTTCACCAGATGGACACACTAAAAATCAGATCGACTTTATCTCAATCTCAAGAAAATGGAGACTCAGTCTACTTGACACTAGGTCAAGAAGGGGAGCAGATGTAGGCTCAGATCACTTTCTAGTGCAAGGTACCTTCCAAATCAAGTTAAAAGCCTTCAAGGAAGTTGGTGATAGACCACAGTTCAAGTTCAACACCAGGAAACTGAAGGACGAAACTACGAAGAAAATCTTCACGGCAGCCATCAAGACAAAATGGGAGATGTCGAGCGACATCCCTAAAGAAACCTGTGTGGATGAGCATTGGAACTCTTTGAAATCTATGTGGAAAGAAACCTGCATAACCGTATTAGGGAAGGAAGAAGAAAGAACATAAGGAATAGATCTCGACGGACACATGGAAGTTGATAGAGCAGGGAGAGGAGGATGGTGAAGCAGAAGATAAACCAGTACAAGGATGAACAACGAGAAGAGGAACTGGAAAAAGAAGTGAAAAAGAGCGCGCGGAAAGACAGAAGACACTTCCACAACACACTGGCAAGTGAAGCATAACAGGCTGCTGGTAGAAGAGACCTGACAACATTGTATCAAATAACCAGGTTCTGGGAAGAGATCAACACAGATGAAACCAATAGAAGATGATGATAGAAATCTAATCACCAAAGAGGAGGAACAAAAGAAACAATGGGCTGACCACTTCAAAAAGCTCTTGAATAGACGACCACCTGCACTTCGTCCAGAAATACCACCTGCAGTCACAGAACTACAAGTGAACACAAGCCCTCCGATGAAAGTCGAAGTCCTAAACACCATAAGGCTACTGAAATGCTGGAAAACAGCAGGACCAGATGGAATCCCGCCAGAAGCACTAAGAGCGGACATAGGGACAACAGCAGACATGCTCACACCACTATTGCAGAAGGTCTGGAAGGAACCTGCCTGTTGATTGGAAGGAGGGCTACCTTGTCAAACTCCCGAAGCAGGGCGACCTAAGTGTTTGCAAGAACTGGCGCGGAATCATGCTCCTGTCCACCCCAAGCAAAATATTAAGCCGCATCATCCTGGAGAGACTAAAGGATGTGCTGGCTACAAAACTACGACCCGAACAGGCTGTATTCAAGAAGTACATATCACGTGCGGATCAAATTGCAACGCTACACTTCGCATCACCGTAGAACAGAGCACAGAATGGCGGTCAACTCTACTTCAACTTCATCGACTTTGAATGGGCCTTCCATCGAGGCGTCGACCGAGAAGTAATTTGGCATTTGCTTCAACACTACGGAATACTGCAAACCTTTATCAATCTCATTCAACAACTATATCTACAGGCGAAAACTAACAAGTTGACAGAAGAGGCAGCGAAGACAGGACTTTAAGTGAACGTAGAGAAGACAGAGGTGATGAAGATATCCAACCAACAACAACATGAACAACAAGCACCAATCACCATCAACGGGAGAAACTGAAAGGAAGTAGCCTCTTTCACCTATCTAGGCAGCATTGCTTCAACTACAGGTGGCATAGGCACAGACGAGGACGTCAAAGTCAGGATCGGGAAAGCAAGACAGGCGTTCATTAGCCTGAAACCAGTGTGGAGATCTTCTGCACTCAGCATATGGAGCAAGATGCGGATTTTCAACACCAACGTCAAGTTTGTGCTTCTATATGGTTCAGAGACTTGGCGCGTTCCGAAAGGCATTTCCAACAAACTTCAGACATTCATCAACAACTGCCTACGCTGGCTGGTTATTGAAGATCAGATGGCCAGAAATAATAAGCAACAAGGAACTCTGGCTGGTAACGAACCAACCAAGAACCTGTTGCTGAACAAATATGCAGAAGGAAGTGGAGATGGATTGGGCATAAACTGAGAAGGCCGACTGGGAACAGCACACGTCAGGCCAATTTCTCGAGTGGAACCCAGATGGGAGACGATGAGTTGGGCGTCCGAGGCGAGGGTGAAATGGAGGAGATCGTGTGAGGAAGAAATAAGAGCTTCTGGGCTGTCGTGGAGTCAGGTTCAAAAGTTTGCAGAGAACAGAGTGCACTGGAGACGCGCTACTGAAGCCCTATGTTCCACTAGGAACTCAAGGGACTGATTATTATTATTTACTATTAGTTAGGTTGGTGATCCGTTTTAAAGACAACCATTAGTTTTTGAGTGTTCAATATTAAATAGTATCTCACTGTTAAATCTGAATCATTTTAGAAATTCTGAAATGCCTAGGGGTTGGCATTCCTAAACACCGACAATAACCGTAGCTCTCTATATACTATAATTTCAAGTCATAGATTAGTCTTTGACGGTATCGAAATTATTCACTAAGGTTCTTAGAATTATAACAGACTTTTCATAGCAATCTCTTCACATAAAATAGAATTAAGTAGTCTAAATAGAAATGGCGGAACAAGACAAGACTTGACCTTGTTTCAAACTTCCCTGAGAGGATTGACAATCGACACACGTGTGATAAGAACTTAAATCAGATGTAAAAATGCAGAACTAAATTTTCATTTAGTCACTTGACAATGAACCATATTTTTTTCTGTTATATTGATCTTGGTGACTAGCAGAGGAATCTAGGACGTGCGTTTCGTCCTACTTCGGACTCGTCAGCTGGATGTACCTGCACCTCAGTGAGTGATGCTGTTCCTACCGAGGAGCCAACCCAGTACTCTTCGCTTTAAACGCCACAACGCGTTATCCACTAAGCCACTGGAGCACGATAGCCACCTCTTGTGCAACAGGATGTCATTACAACAACTGATTTACTTCTCCTTCATTGGGAAATGCAAATACCAAAAAATAATGAATAGTGTTTCCCTAAATTCTTATTCTAACTATCAGATTTTATTCAGTTCTCTCGTTTGTGCAGTAGGCACGGAGCTACACTTATTGTGTGAGGACTAATGGTAGTACCTAGTTGCCCAAACCTCAGTAGGCGGAGAGGTGATCGAACCCCGTTACTCATTGATTGAAATTTAGCTGCCTAAACCAGTGTGTCACAGCTCCATGATTTCAAGGTGATATTTTTCATGGACTGACAACCTTCGGATGAAACAGCTCTTCAGTAATCTCTTTGGTTTCCAATAGTTGTCCAACTGATATCAGTCCGTGATGAATATCAGGTTTCATCTTTGATTATTTATATTGTCTGCATAAGAAAATATGGGCGTCCAAGTTGTCATCTGCTAGACAACCGAAGTCAACTGTTAGCGACATGATTTAGAATCCATCGTAGTGTTGGGTTCGCATCCACACCTCACCTTCTTCCTGACTACAGTATCTCTTCTTGTTATTTGCATTAATCCCCTCTTGTGATCTTTTATGAATTTCTTTGACTTTTGGTTGGATCAATTCTTTTTTCGTCTGAGGCAACAACTTGAACCATTTTGTAGTCATTCCAGATCCCATGTTAGCTGATTTGCATAATTCAAACTAATCAACCTACTATTTGCAGTATATTAACATAAGTTTTGGAATTCTTTTCAAATTAAAAGATTATGACACTTCCTAATGGATGAAGGATTGCAGAATGCCTCATTAATGCGATGGCGTTGAATATCACCTCTAAAGAAAGTCCAGTTTCATATTGTAATATCTTTTATCTTGATTTCAACGAAATACTGTCATTGGAAGTACTTTCATACGTAAAAAATGTCTTTGGAATCAGTAAACGTTTAATTCTATGTCTGAAATTTCATCATTTTGAAACACTTAAAAGACAGCCATGTTAACCGAAACCGATCAAAAACATTTTTCCTCATTTCTTATAATATGAAAATACTCGAACTGTATTTGAGTCTTGTAGCTTCTAGATGTGTTTAAATGTCTATCAGTGATCTTTACTCCATGGGATTTTCTCAATTTATGGCAGAAAAAAGTTTAAGTGAACCAGTGGACTGACGATTTCCGATAACCTACACTCTCCATGTACAACTCAAATTTACTGTGAAGTTATGTTGAAACTCATTGTTAAGTACTGGGAAAAGATCGACAAATATAACGTAGAATCTTGCACAAAAGTGCATCGGTTCAAGTTATCACACTTCACAGCAGCGTGCAAACAACAAGTGGGTAGAAAAAAGATTATATCAGAATAGACAAAAGTGTATGAGAGGAAACAGAATATAGAAAATGAAGGTTAGTGAAAACATATAAGCTTTGGGAGAGGTCAAGGGTTGAATATGTCTGCGCCATTGTGACCCATTTCCAGTCATGTCACTATGAGTCTTCAACCATTGATTCGCGCTATCCGAATCAAGCAGTCTACACCTCTCTACACAACTTACACTAACAGTCAAAGTTGTTATCGACTGGTGCCATGTCTTCGTCTGGCCACACGGAACCCTCTTCTAATGTAACCCGACTTCCGCTTGCATAACACCTCAAGGTAGGTGGTGGGTCGACAGGCCCAACACATGTCCAACCCACCTCAGTCGATGAATGTTCACAACCTCATCAATCGACTTGCCTATCTCACATAGTACCCTTCGCCTGACATCAATACTGCATACACGCTGATTCCACAAAACACCAGCAATGCTACGAAGATATCTCAGATCAAAAAATCGTAACCACTTCATATCTCGTACTTTTAATGACCATGTCTCACAGCCGTATAACAAGACAGAACGAACTGCAGAGCACTATACTCGTCCTTCGATAGATAATCGGATATCTCGCCAGTTGGCACCACAGATGACGCAAGTTCGTAAATGTGAAACAGTCCCTTTTATCCGTGCTGACATGGCATCAAAAACCAAACCATTCAGCATGATTCAACTCCACGAGTAAGTCAAGTGATCGACACATTCCACCACTTCACTCCCTATCCTTAAACTGGGAGATGGTGCAGATCGAGCCTCAAGCATCACCTCAAATTTGGAAGGTGCAAAAGGCATACCAAACATACACAGATTCATCCTCATGAGATTCAGAAGACCTTGGATCTTCTCAGTGTCTTTATTTAACCGAACAATGTTATCTGTATACTCCAAGTTAACTAGATAACCTCCAGGGAGTAGATCAGTCTCTGTGAAGTCAGACGCACCTTACCCAAGGTTATGTCCGATTATACATAATCTATAACGAGGTTGAACAGAGGGTATCCCTGGCAGACACCAGCTGTCGTCATTTCACATGATAACTCTCCATGGACTCTTCACGGCTGTGTAAGTTCGAGTAGAGAGATTTGATTAACGTTACGTACTAGCTCGGTGCTCCCTTCACAGTCGGACACTGCTACAGCACCTAACGACTTACTAAGTCGAGTGCTGCATTTAGGTCAGGAAATATGGTTCTCACTACCCTCCGTGTCAATGGTGTCTTTTAGAGCAAATGTTAACGCACTTTTGTTTTTATTGTGCATAGACACCAATTAACAATCAACCAACTAGGTATCATAGAATAAAACGGTACAGTCGGATATCTAAGCGCTTGAGACAGTATAGCGAATTGAATACTGTAGTGTTAACTACGAATGAACTGCGGAATACGCAATTGGAAAATCTAAGAAACGCCAAATACGATTTCTGGAAAGGTGTATCAATATAACAAACTAGTTTTTTGGGATGTTCTATATTGAAAGATTTTATCCGAGGTGAATCTTCCGCTACGTTTTTAAAATAAGTATTATGGTAATCCACAGTCTTTCAACTCAAAAAAGTACTTTATTTTCTCATTGCTTTTAGCTTGTGATGTTATTGTTCAGTTGTGCAAGTATCTGAGTAAGCCACAGTTCAAAAGACATTTGGATGCGTTTTTGGGAATACTAGCAGCTGCAGTGGATAGCAAATTACCACTTGCTGTCAGTGCTGCATCTGAAGCCCTGAGAGCTATTGGAGATCGTTATGGCCCAAGTGTGCTACGTGGTCGAGTTGAAAGCCATATTGAATCATACGTTTCTGAGAATCTACTTGAATTATTACCATCCTCCATATGATACCATGCATAACAATACTTTGCTGATCACTCTGGTTCTGAAAATACATAATGTTAATCAATAAAATATGTGTTTATATGTTTTAGAATTTTTTTTCTAGTATCTTTTCACTTTACTTCGCTCTCTTTAACTTCGCAAACTTAAAGTTCAGTATGATTGACTTTCGTTTAGTGGTTAATGTTAGCCTATCTGGTGGAGAATACTATGTAATTGCTGACGTATTGAAACTCCATAATCTGGTGTCTGGAAGATTTTCCTTTCCTGCAGCTGTCTTGGTCTATAAAGGTTATTTGAAACAGGTGGTCCATTTTATGAATTTCGAAAGCGTAATTAGAAGACAAAGTTTATCTGAACAATGTGATGTATTTGCGCAATACATTTCGAACAATCTGATCACACATTTACTTGTCAAGTCAATATATATTAAACCGAGGAGTGTGTGTGTGTGTGGGGGGGGGAATGCAACAATTAACTCAATAGGCGATTAAAATTAAGAAAGATGAGAACAAACAGGAAGTGGCATAGTTGGTCCTAATCTTGGTAAGAAAACAAAGTTCGCCAAGCAAAGTAGGTGGAGTGCAAGAACAAATTGTTTTTGTACACATAAAGGTGGTTTGAACTTGTGTATGGCTATGGCTCCCTCAAATCTCAGAATACGTCCCTGACTGTTTCTGTATAAAAATTCGAAAGCTGTTTGAACATTAACTTTGTGACGTGTTTCTATGATATGTTTAGCTATAGATGAAGAGGGTCGTCTCCCACCAGCGTTTATCACTGTTTCACACTCTGTTTGTTTTCGAAGCCATTCAGGTGCATGTTCTCTCACCCTCAACTGCATGACTCGATTACTCCTCCCTATGTATGCGACCACACACTTGTAAATTGATAAACACACTGGGATGTGACGTAATCATTGATGCAGTGTTTAGGTTTTCGGTGAAGCATGTGTCTTGTTTCTTCCACAATGATGAGATTCGCCGCGCAATATATTTTCTTAATGGCTGATGTCAGCCTACATCTCAAAATGATACTATTCAACTCCCCTCTATATGGTAGAGTGATATGGACGCTTATCTTAGGAACCGTGAATAGGGTCGGCTTTGGTGCTACTTGACCTCTACAACGGTCTATGAACTTCATCGGATATCCATTTTCTATAAGTGCTTTGGTCAGTAATTTGGTATCTTCATCCATCGTACTGATACGATAGATCCTAATAAACAGGCACTCTATTAGACCTCGCTTGGAGGTGATACTTAAAAAATATATGCGCGAGAGGAAAAGTGTCACAGGATATTTATCTGTGAATAAAGATCTCAAATGAGGTTAATAAATGCGTACATCGTAGAGATCATACATGACTGACACAACTGTTGGGCACTAAACCCTAAGTCTGTAAATGGAAAGCATTATTCCCAGTAAAATCTGATAAAAATGGTTTACCAGGTCAGTAAAGGTGACATTCCAATTGCGATGTTTGCTTTCACATTCAACAGTATGAATGTGAATAGTGCAGGACCTATACATAGATGGTATATAGTGAGTTAACACTGCCACACAAAAGGATGGAAATAGATAACATGTGATCTGTCTCGTTTAGATTCATTTTCAAAGCAGTTAGTATATCTTATTATGGTGATGTTTATTACTCTTAACGATATGAAAGGCTTTCAGCCACTTGTGAACACGTGGCCCACTAACTTAGGCACTCAACTTTCAAGCAGTAGGCTCCAGGTTCGAGCTCCGTTCCAATTAATTCAATTTGGACAATCGTGTAGTGTCATAAGCCATCACACATTGGGTGTACCTCATTATCTAGTAAATATACACATGTACCAGGTTGAGTTGTATTAGACAGTAGATAGTTGTAGTCATAGTAATTGCCTACATTTTAATGAAACTTTGAAACTATTCAGCCAAAAACGTTGCTGGTGATACTTATACTAAGTTATGCATGGAATTCACTGTTGTGGACTGACCGATAACTGTTACCCTGATGTGATGGCCGAGGTTGCATATTACAGTGACCCAACAAGCTACACCGGCTGGGACACTTGTTCCCTCGAGGTCCCACCACACCAGAAGGGTCTGTTGGGGATAGTGGTTAGACAAAAAAATTGCTTCACTATGATGGGAATTCGAGGGCGGAGTCGTACTGCTGACCGGATCAGGGTGTGATAGCAGTAAGGTGTTTCACCTGGACAACCAACAGTGCCCCGCTGATGCTGCTTTATGAGAATAGGGTTGGTCCTAAAAATAGCACACCCCTGCGCCCCGTGGCATGCCGACGCCGATGCATAAAACAAAGTAATTCATGAAACTCCTAAAAAGGGTCGCGTGTAGCCGACCTCAAGTAGATGTCTCTTGAGCTCTGCGGTCAAATACTAACCGGTGTGGGAAGCCTGGAAGTGTCAACCACCCTCATGACTTCGTCAGCAGACAAGCTCCCTCAAATCAGTGTTCAACCTCCACATCTTTACCTTCTGATTCCCCCTCACATGTCTCGGTTAATAATCCTACATCCTCAATTCCCTTCATTTCTGCAGCTCTTGAAAACGATTTAAGTTCACGGAACAACCTTGGTCTCCTGAAACCATACTCCGTCAAATCGGTCTAAAAGCTTCGCTAAGCGAAACTCCAGCAAGGGTGTGCTTGTGAGACACGCATACAGGACCGAAGTGCAGTTATTCGCTTAACCTTACCAAGCCATTATAGTGGATTTTTGAAATTCACCCTTCAAGTATTTAGAGATTCGATGGCTAGTTCATGTGGTCTTGCTAATGTAGATAAAGCATTCAGTGTTGAGGCAGAAAATACACTGCTCGATCGGATCCCAGCTGATAGTTGCTCATGAGTTATTCGACTGAGAGCTTACAAGGGAAGGTGAAACTCGCTGTTATCTCTTTGTAGTCTCTGCTTATGCACACAATGACTGCAGTTTGGAAGAGGTGTAGGATAAGTTCTACCGAAAACTGTCCGGCCTACTATTGAAAGGCCAACGTCCAGATATAGTTTTCGTAGCTAATGATTTCAATGCTCAAGTAAGTGGGCTAAGTCAAGCAATAAGGTACTATCGAAATCCCAGCCAAGCGAAACAGATAACGGTGGTCGGCTGCTACATTTATGCTCGGGCAACCATCTGTTTCTGGTCAGCACTAACTTCAGACACTGTATGACTTGGCGTCCACCGACCACAACTCGGTGGTGGTCACAGATAGACCATATTACCATCACTTGTCGGAGGAGTGAGTTGGCAGATTTCCGCTCCTTCTGGATAACATGTTTGGACAGCAGTCGCACGTTAGTTCGAGTGCGTGCATGCATGGGTCGAAATAGACGTAGAATAACTCAAGCAACAAGACCATTGTAAGTTGAACTCAAAAAGAAGAGCACTAAGGCTGGCTTCCGTGGGGAATTGGCTAGACGGTTATTAGGACAGAAAAAGATCACTCATCTGGCAGAAGAATGGCTCCTTCTCCAGTTTGCTATGAAAACAACCTTGAAGACTTGCCGATTCTGAAGAAGTGGTTTAAAAAAGCCAGTGGATATCAGCAGCTCCTTCTGACTTAATGGATGCACGCGAACGTATCCCTGCAGACTCCAAGTTCAATGAGGAGCGGAAACAACTCATGCAAACTAACAAAAAGTCTAAACAATGACCATGAACAGTGGCGGGGAGAAAAGGCTAAAGAGATGGAAAAGGCGGAGGTAACAGTAGGCAGCTATTCAGATTTATTGAGGAAACTGGGACGAGAGGGTCAGTAGTGAGTGAGACAAAATTGGAGAAGAATGGATCTGTGATTCACTCGTCGAAGAGACAACTGGAATGATGGGTGGAAACACTTCGACGGAGAATTCAACTGGCCCCCGACTATTATTTCGTTGCTCGCCATCCGATCAGATTCTGAATAGAATATTGAAGTAGGCCGCCTCAAGTCTTACAGAAGATGGGAAGGCTGCAAGTAACCGTAAAAGAGTAAAGCACATTAGGACCAGACGGACTAGTATTGGAAACACTTAAGGGCTGTGGTTGAGGATTTCTGGTCAGCGTAAGTGAAGTGCTAGCTACCGTGTGAAACAGACATTAAATCATCTTAGAACCTCGTACGCAAGTGCATCAGTTCAAGTTGCCATACTTCAAGGTAGTATACGAAGAACAAGTGGGTAGGAAAGACTGATATCAAAGTAGACAAAGGTGGATAGGGGGAGGCGGAATTTGAAGAATAAAGTCAGTCAAAACATTCAAGCTTTAAAATACTTCAAAATATGAAAATATTTCTACGCCATTGTGACCGATTTTTTTCAGCCATTTCATCAGTGGTTTCCATCTCCTGATTCCTATTGTCTTGGGGACCCCAGTCAAGTAATCTGTACCTTTCGCGATTACGACGCAATTTCAGACATTTCATCGACCGGTGCCAGGTCTTAATATGACTACCCTGAAACCTGACCCAACTTCCCCCTAGCATTGCACATCAAGGTAGGCAGTGGCTCGGCGTGGCCAGTACATTTCCAAGCCACCTTAGTAGATGGGATCAAATATGACTTATGCTGACTTGATCCATTCTTCAAGAAAGTAGAGAAATCCTCTAGTGATAACCACAGTGTAACCAGTTTGACGAACATAATATCTAAGATTCCATCTTCTATAAATATCAGAGCTCAGGGAAAGCAAATCCGAGAAAACCAGACCGGGTTTAGACCTTACCGTGGGTGGATGGACCAGTTATCCACACTCTCCCCGGTTCTGGAAGACATGCACACTTACCAACGCCCGACATTGGCTGTATTTTTCAACATCCAGGTGGCGTTCGATTCCGTCAATCGAGAGGTCTTATGGCAATATCTCACTGATAGAGGTATGAAGTAGGCGAATCACTCTGTATAAGGCTATGTACTCGGACATCGATGGGGGTGTTAGAGCCTATGGTGAGTTATCAAATGTGTTGTGTGCGTCAAATGGCATCCCTCATGAATATCCACTCTCTCTCTACTCCCATTTTATTTTGTCACCGAGGTACTTGTGGAGGTCTTCCTTCCGTGGTCTGCCTTTAGAAAGATTGATCTGGTCGCAGAAAATGCTTTAGTTAAACCTAGAGAGCACGCAGATGACATAATCCTGTTAGCTGAAGATGTCAACGGAGTACAACGTTTTCTGAACACCCTTAGTGGCAATCTGAGAGTGTTTGAGATTCGTTTCCCACTATCTAGATGAATTTTGTCGCTGTAGGAGTGGTCTTCAGCGGTGCTCCGGCTAACAATACGCTGGGAAATGGTCAAGCCCGATGATCTTTTCACTGACCAAAGGAGGCGAATCAGCCCTGGTGGGCCAGTGGTCGATGTTATCTCTGAACGGGTACAGAAGGCTGTTGGCAGTTTATGGCATCTCCGTGATATCGCATTGCATATTAAGGGCGGGGTATACTGTGCTGTAGTTCGCTGTGTTATGCTGTATAGTTGTAAAACATGGCCATTAAGGGTAGAGGATACGAGAAGTCTTCAGGTATTTGACTCCTGTTGACTTCGTAGTACAGACTATGTTATGGCGTCACCACGTCAGTCAGACAGAGTTTTAGGAAGAAGACGAAAGTCAATTGATGCAGTTGTGAACCTTCATTGACTGAGGTGGCTGAGATGTGTTACGAATGTCTAGTGAGGGTCTGCCTCATCACACAATGTTAGCTGAAGTGGGTTTAGGCTAGAAAAAGGTAAGAATTGGTGAGACCGAATTATGGCATCAGTGTATGTCTTTGACTGATGAAGTGATATGTGAAGGGAAATGTAGGCTTTCCACTAGGGGTCTACGTGACAGCAGTGGTTAGAGACTATAGATGAAGTGACTCAGAATCTATCTCAAGGGCACAGATTAATGCTCACATTTTCCTCATCTTAATCTTCATACCGAATTCAATATTTTCTTATTCCTCCTAGTGTGTCTTATCACTATCTTTAACCACTTTGACTGCTTTCTTCTCTACTACTTTATATTTCATTTGAGTAGATTGTCACTTGACGTGCTGATATGAGGTGTGGACATTTGAACCTTTACGCAGTCATGATTTATCCTATTTTGATGATGAGAATAACAAGTATAGACAGGCGTAGGATCTAGCAAAGCGACGTACACAGTGTTACACTTCGAATCGGGATACAAATAAACAAAGAAATGAAGATAATTTTATCAACAATCTTAGAAGGATACGGAAGCAAGAGGACCACAATCTATAACATCTAGTAAACCCTAATCACGACGCTTATACGGTACATACCAGGAGGTGAAGAGTTAATGAAATGATGCTTAATTTTAGTTTAGACGACGTTATCAATTTCACAACCTATTCCTAGTCCATTTAGCACTGCATTTTAGGATGGACGGTGCACTGAACGAATCCATTACAGAATATCACTGTCTCTAAAAATACAGCATTCAACGAGCTAGTACACATCTGTTATGAATCTGTTACGGGTATAAATATTCTGCGAAGATAACTGCCGGTGTCTACTCGTTGATCACAACACTGGAGGTATGAAGTGAGCTATGATTAGCATTAAGAAATACACGAGTAACTATTTACAACAAATTAATAACATGTAGTTGTGATACAGAATGAGTTAGTCAGTTATCCATGATATACATACATCAAACTGTCAATTATACTGACTGACTGAAGATCTAGATTGCAAAGTAGCCTTTTCTCAAGTAGACAATCGTGTGTTAGCGTTCATCTTACTGATTGTTGTTCTCATGAACATTATCCACTTCATTCGTTCAGCAGATCCAATATCTTGATGTAACCTTCTCGAAATAGAATTTTCTAATGTGTCGAGAATTTCTTTTAATGAGTTTCTTTCTTCTACAGTGCAACATTCAATTGTAGCATTTTGTTTCATTAAATGTTCGATAACATTCCACAGAAAATTCCTTGAAAAATAAATAAACAAATAATGTGGAAAACATTAGCTTACAAATTGACTGAACCGTCATAAATATATAAAATCTTCGAAGAAATGCAACATTCTCATTGACCATTAGTGAACGAGTTTTTTAAAAGCATATTAACCTAAAACTGATCTTGGCAGAGGGTACACTAGATAATGAATGCATAACAACGGGAGATATTGGGAAAAAACATTAAGATGACGGTGAACAGAAGGTAAACTAACTGGCATTGATCTTGATGACTAGCAGAGTAACCCAGGATGTGCGTTTCGTGCTATTTGAGACTCGTCAGCTGGATGTACCTGCACACCAGTAAGTAATATTGTCCCCACTGAGACTCGGACCCAGTACCCTTCGATTCAAACACCAGAGCGTTACCCACTAAGCCACTAGGGTACGATAGCGATGGTAATGATGTGAACCTCAATTTCCTGAAATTATTGTTAAGCATCAAATGTACTTAAACACTGCTTGTTTGAGTTTGCCATGTCGACTGAAGAAAGGTAGCTCCAGGGTGAATAAATCAAAAAAACAATATCAATTCACAATATCTCGGCTATTCGATCAAGGTTGAGGGTGGAAATTTAAAGCTTTCTGTTTGGAGTCCGCAGCAGAAACAAAATCTACGGTCGGGAACTAGACAACATACTAAAGACTAGTCCTATATCACTGAAAATCTTTACTTTTAACCTTACAATCTTGACCTTTTGATTATTCTGCACCTATTTTCTGTTTTAAAATTTTCCTTCTCATTTTGTCAGTGCTGTCAATAAAACCTTTTTTTCGTACAATTGGTTCTCTCTTCTTCCTATATCGATGAAGTACTTGGCAGAATAACAGTATCAATAGGAATCAGACATTAACTTGTGTTTACTCGTTCAATAATTAAGCGTAAAACTTGGACACTGTAGTAGAGTTTAATTCCATATTAGATTTATTTATTTGATATATTAGCGCACAGTGATACAGTATTATTTACTTGATGGAATTTCAAGCATAAATTACCATTGCTTATAATCATATCAATGTAAGTACACCACTTTCGACATTTGATTTTTATACTTCTGTCATCTCATATTATTTGTTTTCCTTGGCAGTAAAATTTTCCATATCTCTGGTGTAGGTGTCACGTCATTCCTGCTGCATATGTTGGATGTTCATCGGATGGACAAAGACTATTCAGTAATCAATTTCTCTCTCTCCACTTTATATATATATCTTACTTGACCTTCCATTCATTAACATGGAATTTGATAGATTAGATTATTTTGCTTAATTGCTTCTATCGGATCCTCAAGCTAGCCGACAAAGCTTATCTCTGAGTGAGCTTGTAGGTTTAAATGCCATTCTAATTCCAGCCTGGTTGAGAATCCTATGTCAGGTTTTTGATGTACCTTCCTTATAGGGTAACGCAATGGAGGCTGTAAACCCCTTTATTATTCTAACAGGTATCTAGACTTCAAGTCATCTCAACCAGTGTCAGTTAAGGCAGGTTTAGTCAAATGTCTAAATGATAGAGCTAGAAAGTGACTTGTCAGTGCAATAGCCTGAACAAAGAACTGAAGCACATAAAAGAAGCGTTAATAGTTAATAATTATCCTCTGGAGTCTATTAAGAAATTCGTACGAACTCATAGAAAACGAAATAATAACAGTAACACGAGTATGAATAATAAAGACAACACAAGTAGAACGAAATTCACAGTCTCCATTGTGTTACCCTATAAGAAAGGAACATCAGAAAATTTACGTACGATTCTTGACAAAACTGGAATTAGGGTTGAGTTTAAACCTAACTACAAACTCACTCAGAGATCAGCTTTGTCCGCCCAATGATCGGATAGAACCAATTAAGCGAAGTTATCTAATCTATCAAATTCCATGTAGACTGTGAGGTCAAGTATACAGGTCAAAGTAGCCGGTAGTGATCAGTTAGAATAGCGTAACATAGGAATTTAGCTAAATGTTGAATGACAGACCAGAATAAGATCAGTAATCTAGAAAAAGAACTCGGCTATTGCAATGGATGCCTTAACATGCAACTGTACAACAGCGGGATGGAATAAAATCACTGTAACTAAGTCCAATAGGTAGGTAGGTAGAGGGAGAGGGAGAGGGAGAGGGAGAGAGAGAGAGATTACTGAATAATCTTTCTTCATTCGATCAACAACAGACAGACTTAATAGGAATGATGGAACATCTGTGCCAGAGATATGGAGAATCTTACTACCAATAGAAACAAAGAATATGAGGTGGGTGACAGGACTATAAAAGTTCGATGTCGAAAGGAGTATGATTTCAATTATATGATTATGAGCAATAGTAATTTATACTCGTCATTAAGCAGCTAATACTGTAGCACTGTATCCTAGTTATAAACAAATATATTATAAACAAATCTAATATCGATAATTGAAAGTCTACAATTAGTAGACAGTGAATTGCCTTGCATTAAAACAATTTAAAAAAAAATAAAATGAAAGCTACATAGGAATAAATAAAAATGTGATTGAACATACACTTGAATATATTCATCTTGTTTCCATAAAACTGATAATCCCATCACTGCCCATTTCCATGTGATCATATTGTGTGTTTCAGAGTAATTAAACCATTTATACAGTGTATCTGTTAATCTTGTCTTCCAAATTATATAGTCTTCACGAATTGTTTGATCATTACTATTGTATTTAATAGATAATTCATTACGAATTGGGAAGCATAATTTTGTACCATTATTTATCATAAATTCTACAAGTTGTTGATAGTTTTTAACAATTAAAGTGGACCGTTCTTCTTCTATTCCATCATATTGAACAGTATTGGTGGTATTGTTCATCTCTGACTTCATAAAATGTCTATCTGATTTCTGAAGTGTATCTATAATTTTCATAGATAGTTGTAATGCATCCTTAGGACTAACTGTAGAGTAATCACATAACATATTTGTTAAATATATAATAGGATCTATAGATCTTTGTAAATAAAAAGCGATTTCAATGTTCAACATATCACTGAGTAGTCTACACAGATGATTGTATGCGTTTACTTTGATTGTATTAATACTTTGCATTGGATTTGGTAATTGTGAATATTTCTTATCCAAAAGAATACTGTTCCCATTATCACTGGGTATATTTAGTAATTTTTTATAGCCTTTTACTAACAATTCAGTTAATACTTTTGATATTAGGATATTATTGAAACACTGACGATAAGTATTATGATAAATTTCAATTTGCTGGTCATAACTACTTTTAAAATGAGAATAAAGCATTAATTTGCAATAAGCATGTTCATAATATCGTCTAATTTTAAAATTGGGTAACAGGAAAGTTCTGTCCTCGTGTTGAGTTAATAAACAATGAATCTTTTTACCTAATTCAATATTTGATTCATTCAGTGCACACTTCATTGCAACGACAAAAAATACATAATCATCAGTAGTCCAAGCATCGAAACGTTTAGGTGAACCACCAGATTCTGTTCCTGAGATAGCCTTATCATTAAAATATACCTCTATCTCATCTAAATATTTATTCAACAATTGAGAACACTTGTAAGCTGAATATGGTGTGCGTTTGTCTTTACGATTATTCCATTTACTTCCGTTGCTTACAGTCAACGATTGGTTCACAGGAATAGGAGTTTCATAAATTAATTGAAATAAATTTGCTAGTGTACCAAGTTCTGGTTTGAAATTTAATCGTTTTAATTCATTCAATAGGCCTAAACCGATTGGAATATAATTTTGGCTTTGTAACCAGGAGGACGATGATGATTTTAAGATTATAGTTGTTTGTGTTAGTGCATAAAGAATACTCGTAAAAATTGAAATATTTATTGGCTCTCCACACGTTTTAACATGTTCTATAATATTCAATATCACATCCCAAACATTTTCTTCACCTGTTTTAACAGTTGTTAAATAGTGAAGAGAACGAATAAGTAGATTGTAAGTTTCAAGATCAAGACATTTATCACCATGTTTTGATGACCATGCAAGTTTAGTTAATTCTAGAGCACGATCAGCATTTTCAAATTTAGCCGCTCCGCGAATCATACTTCGATATGCTTGTGATGTGTTCAAAATATTGTGTTCTTTGTGAAATAATAATTCTGCAGTTGTTTGCATAGTCCATAACCAACGTCCTAATTTAGACACACTATTCTTTGTGATACCATCCAAATTATCTTCATGAATGCTATTTACTTCATTTAAACTTTGTATTGTCTTTTTACCATCTTTGCATAGAACAGATTTCTTAAGAAAATAGATTTCATCAGGATCAGGTAGATAACTCCAATTATATTTGCCTGATGAATAATAGTTAAAAAATCCACTTCGACCTCCATTAGTAGCACAGAGGAGATCCAGTAAACCATGTAAAGTTTCACTTGACCATTTATGTTCCTTATATAAAGAAAATTATAATAGATAATCAGAAAAGTGAAAAAGCGAAAAACGATAACGTGAATCTATTTTATGATGTTTGAATTCAAAAAATAATTTTTCTATGCATAGTATTATAATATGTACGTGTGAAACAGAAATATCTTCAATAGTAAATTATGAGGTGTTATGGGGATTTACTTATGGATTTCAGGTTGGTATTCTGAACCAGTGGCTCAATGATAGCGTGCTGGTTACGGAACCTGAAGGTCGTGGGTTCGATCATTGGAGGAGTCATGGGTGCCTACTGTTGAGGAGTCCGATTCTAGGATGAAAAAGCTGTCCAGTGCTCCCGGATTTTAGTGTTTCTCCAACTGATGTCAATCCATGATGAATACCAACGTGAAGTCTTCAGTACTATCTGATTTTGTGTTTCACAGAACGGATGTTACTGACTAATCTTTTCACGCTACTAATAAGAATAACTTATCAACATACAAAGTAGCCCTAAAAGGTTGTTCAAGTCACATGGTGAAATCTAGATGGTAAATATCCTTTCTATAGTAAGCAAATCTGTAATTTCGGAATAAAATAGGTCTGTGTCTACTCATCAACTTATTCAGCATTGTATTAATGTAACGATACTTTTGTGTTGCTCTCAGTTAAGTTACTGATTTGCAGGGTTGAGAAAAACTGTTGGTAATCAAGATCTATAACTATTATCCACTGAACTAAAAGCCCACCGCATAAAACTCACCAGTAAATCAGTTTACATTAAGCGTAGACAGGGATTTCGGGATAATGTCTCCACCTTTTGAAAAAGCTCAACAATTATTACTATTTCTACTGTAACAACAGAAACAGTTTGGAGGTCTTAGCGACAAATGCTAACTCAGAACTTTCTTCAGCTACAGTCGGTGAACTTCCGGAAAACGCCGATACAGTATTAAATTTTACTTCAGATCGCTTTTTCGTTTTTAACATAGGTGTTGCGTTTGATGTATGGTTTGGTAAATATGGAGGATTCTTCAGCTTCAATAAATAAGGCTAATAAACTTCAGGTTCTCCTTAGAAAATTGTGGTCACATGTGCACTTGAAGTATGTCTATTTCGTGTTCCTCAGAAGTGCCAGAGATCTAAGTTCTAACGAGATGGTAGACATTTTTGGGGGAAAAGCTCTCGTTTTCAGGACTAACCATAGCTTTTCAATATTAAGTAGGCAGAATGCTGATGATATCACTAATTTTTCAGATAATAGAGACCGATCAATTCGATCCATTCAACGACGGGATAATACAAGTAACAACATAAAAACTATAAGCGTCGTACAACAAGGGGTTATCGTGACTCGCTGGTCTACTGGATAACGCTCTGGCGTTCGAAGCAGTCGGCCCCAAGTTTGAGTCCCAGTGGGAACAACATCGCTCACTGAGAGGCAGGTACATCCAATTGATGAGTCCCAAGTAGGACGAAACGTGCGTTCTGGATTCCACTGCTAGTCACTATTCATCACTAACATCTATATATTAGCTGTATTTTTCTCTCTTTTTGCTTTCGGTCTTTCTGACTCTCATACACGTTTCTACACATTCATCGTGTCTTCTCCATTAATTAGTCGGGTCGAGAATCAACTAGGAATTCGTTGAATGTTGGTGGTTGACACTCAATATCCGTGCATTATTAGCAGCCATAGCATACAGCAGTCTCTAAATCACAACACCTTCAATTCATGATATGAGAATCATTAAGGGTTTAGTATCTTTGTGGTTTAATCAGTGTATTATTTCTGTTTGTTATCAAGACATAACCTAGTTAGTAGTTCACTGATTTCCGAAAGAATTTGGTGAATCAAGTCAATGGTAATGTTTCATTTCTGTCAAAACACTGATTAAGAGAATATTCACATCAAAAATCAATATAATCTTGATCCGCTTGCCAGTAAATAGGTAGATAAGTTATCCTATTCGATAGTCCCACTAAATTCTTTTTTTCCAGTCACATTCTGCAATTCAGTAACCGGATCCACTAAAAATCTAATGATCAGAGTATATGTGATGCTAATTGCAGAAATAAAATTTCCCAATGACAAAACGCGGGTACGAGACATAGATAGAAAGTCTAACGTAAAAACTGACATAGAAGTGCGTCAATTCCGTTTGACAAGTGAATACGAGGTACGGTTTGAAGAATATTCCCCCCAGTATGTAAAATGACCTTATATGTTACAGTTTTAAAACAATTGTTAGCGTCAAGTAACATATAACTGAAGTTAAGAAAGAATTGATAATGGAGTCAGATTGTAGAATAGTTTGTGAGAAAGCATTGAGGCATACTGGACGTGTTTTGTGTTGGACAGTATCTGTGGTTTAAGAAATGATATATCTATTTGAGTACAAGATATTGTTGTTAAAAAATGTGATCCAGTTATGTACAGAGTAGAAGTTTACCACGACGCAACACAAGAATAGTAATGAAGCAAGTTCAAAGTGGTAGGTGTGCACAATCGTGTGACATACACAAAAAAAATCAGATTGATACTAACAACTCTAATGAATGAATCCCAGCTCCCAAGATCAAGTCAATTATTCGACAGCACAACTAGCCATATAGCCCTGCTGAAAAGACTAAAAGAGGATATCGACCAAAGAAAGATATTACACCTACTATTTTCCAAAAAACGTGAAGGTTTCAAATAGCAAGTTCATTATTTTTAAAGTCAAGTCAATGAAAAGCAACATGAAAAAAATATACCTTTGTATGCAGTTAATGATACCGCCAAGAACTTAAAAGTTACAGTCTTTTTCTTCTTTAACGAAATAAACATCAAATGCTTTAATTGCAATCAACACTAAATTGGACAAAGTGGTCGCCTTCTTCACCTTTGCTTATATGAACACCAATTGGTTATTAAATGCCATAATATTTCGTCGCTCATATCAATGCATGAGGACAACTATGGACATGAATTCAATTTCGAAAATGTAAAAATCTTGGACACAGGAAACACAAAGAATAGCAGAGAATTCCTAAAAGTTTGGCATTCAGGTTAGTCAGTAATCAATAAGTGTATAGGCATAACTTATCAACCAATACGAAAAGTGATAAGCAAAAACAAGGTCAGAAATAAGACAGAGAAACAGCCAATAGGAAAATGCATGCAACCAATGTTACAACAGTCAAAGGAAACCAATTCGTCAAGGCAAGCTACTGAATTACTCACGGAGAGATATTGACAGGTCACTTTATATTGAAGTTATTATTGATGATGTTGTCTAGACAGTGAAAGTTTTACGATTAAACCACCTCGTTCAAAGAACACAACATAACCAAGAAATAAACATCGCTTTATTGTAACCCTCTATTGATGTTGTCAACTAACTAAAAATGACTGTGTACTTCACATATTTTAGCAGATGATAAACCAGATAAGTTTACATCAGTTCAAGTTGGAAAATTTTGCAGCAACAAGCAAAGAAATGCAGAGGAAAAGAAAGATATTAAATTAGATAAGTGTATGAGAGAAGACGGTTTAAATAAATGAAATATAGTGAAAATGTGGAAGAAGAGTGAGTGTATTTCAGCTATAGTGACTGACTTTGGGCTATATCACTAAGTTTTGAGCTATTCATTTCTATTATCCTGATGAACTCAATCAGGTAGTACACACCTATTTAGATGGAGCAGAGCATCAGTCAGAGCCCTTATGGAATGGCGCTACGTCTTGGTCTAGCCATTTTTAGCTATCTATTATCCTAATCCTACTTCGGTTAACATCATGTGCTGAGGTAGACAGTGGTTGAGCATGTACAAAGAAATCAGTGAAGGTTCACAATCTCATCGACTGACCTGTCTTTTTATATGGTCAGAACTTGCAACCTCCTCATGCCTTCAACTTTCAATGTCTATGGCACAAGTTGGCAAATACCGTACTGACTTCTTGTATATGGGCTGTGATTTCATCGCTAACCAACCCATTTGGACTAGTGTAACTTTTAAAGTGGAACAGTCAACGCATCGTACAACTTTACTCACTATCCTTCAACTAGTAGTCGGTATAGTTAACAGATTTGAAATGTATGTCAAACATACATTTCGCCTCAGAGTTCGGAAGAATAAATATTTGTCAACATCTTCGCATAACAGTGGTATACCATCTGTGTACTCTAAGTCATCCAGAGAGTAGGTCAATCCCTGAGAATTCAGAGGTACACAGGGTCATACTGATCGGTACATCTTTAGCAAACAGGACCCTTCAGTGCTACGTAACAGAGTATTTTACACCATTGTAAGAAGGTCATTGTTAAAATTATGGTTTCAAGTCTCTGCATGTCTTCATGTGAAATTAATCGAGATATCGATGATCCCATTGAAATTCTCTTCATTTTTTATGGTACGTTTTACCACTGAATTGGGAACACTTCATTATCTAAAAAGCAATGAGTCCAATCAAACTTAAACAGTGAAGGTTTATGCATTGTAAAAGCCTTGTAGCATGAGTGAGAAGAAAAAAATAGTATCTCAAGTCAGTCTTAGTTCAGTTGATGCATATAATGCTGGCATTTAAGGACACCACTAATATGTCATTATTTCACCCTAGACTGGATATTCTGATTACTCTCTACAATTTATGTCTCCGAGTATTTACGCAAGGCGATATAACTTAATAACCGATGTAGCAGTGAAGTTTATATTGGACAATAGGCTTTCTCTTTTTAGAATAGTCAATTTGGCTGCATAATGCGTATTTTTGAAGCTGAATTAAGCTATTGCTTTGAAATAATGTCATTTGGATACTCTTGTATGATAGCATGATGTGCACGTCATTTTAAGGGATAAGATGTTGAGTAGGTCATAAAGTTGGGCCGTTTCTGTATGGATTTATGGAACTCCCTGAATCTAAGTTAGTCACCAACGTCCTAGTTGGGAGGTCAATTTCTGTTTCCAATGCATGTTGTACTGTTATTTTGAATTTTTTGACGAGCACGGTTTGTGCTGCATTGGATAAAGGTTGTAGAATTTTAGGTACTGGTCTACCTAAGTAGGTTATTTGACTCGCTTTACCTCCGAGTGAATTATATGTTCAGAAAACGTAGATGACTGCTGTTTTTGAGTTCACCTGATGAAGTGATATGACTTAGTACGGTGTTGAGTCAGACTGACAGTAGACAAGTAGTCGAACAATAGATTTCCAATCACAGATCGTAAAACCAGTTAAACCATACAAAAAAAATTTCAGACTGAAGTATATAAGACACCAACACACATTAAAGTTATTTGATAACAGACTTTATTCAGAAGATAAAAAGATATGGTAGTACAACCAATGCATGAAGAAAACTACTTGCTAACTATCATTACGAGGAATAGTTCTTCATGCATTTTCACCGCAAGATGTTTATCCAATGAAGTCAGTAAACATAAAGAACGATATATCAGAGATTATGATTAGAGTACTAAAGCTGTTTGGAAATGGTAAGACTCATAAATGCACAAATTCTTTCACAGCTATATTATACATATCAAAAAGATGCACAGCTGATGAAGAAAAACTAAGTATCAGCTACAAAACCAACTACAACAACGGTGATAAACACTAAATTAGAAAAAGTGATTGCTGTTTTTGTTTGCATCTACATGTATATCACAGCTAGCAATTAAACGTCATAACATTTCATCTCTTGTATTAATGCACATGGACACAAATTTCGATTTTAAAAATGTAGAGATCTTGGATGGAAGAAATAAAGAATACCATGGAATTTTATAGAGGCTATGCTCTCAGAACAATCAATAAACGACAATTTATAAGCTAATAAAGAAAATAATAAACACCTAAAAGATCAGAGGTACAAAAAAGAAATGAATAATAAGGAAATCTGTGGAATCACTAACAAGATAATCGAAATAACACGACACTTAAACAGGATATAACCTATTAAATCACTCAAAGAGAAATACTGATATGGTCAGGTTTTCAGACGTCTCCTAGATGGAAAGGATTAATGGACTAGTAGAAACGTCTGTAAACAGAAAGTGATCATGGATAGGACAGTGTTTGCCCCCTAGACGCCATGTTCAGCTCCAACACAAAAGGAATTCAACTAGAAGTCTGATAGAGCTAAGAAAATTAGTTATTTGAATGGGAAAAGAACAACAGAATAACATGTTATCATTTCATTTCTCCGGTTCCTCATCAGCCGCTTACAACCTAAAAACACTTAAGCATCACATTACAAGAGAATTAGGACATACTTTAGTTTGAGTTACATGAAGTTAGTTAATAGGGAACAACATGGTCTGATATAAAGGATACAAGCATTCAGATGAAGTTAACCAAACATGTTAAAACGTTTCACTTATATATGCCTCTCAAAAGAAAGTTCGAGAAAAGAACATGAATAGTTATGAAAGATTACGTAAGAAGACTAACAAGTCGGCTAGTTGATGATAAAGAACAGACAAATTATGTGATAATAAAATGAGCTGAATTCAATTGGTAGGTCAATCATCAAAATTATGTACAAACAGAAAAAATGTTCTAATTATTTAGTAAAATATTTAAACGCTTTTCAATTGTAACCAGCCCGATGAGAAACCAGTAAAATAAAATGATATCATGTTATTCGGCTCTAATCATTGCTCTTTTTCTAATCAAGTTCATAAAAGGGAATATGTATGTGAAATTTCTGAAAAAACGTTTCCTTTCCGAATAGTTTAAGTCACTGAATCGCTTGGTGACAATACATTGCAGAATATCTATAAAAAGTTGATTTAAGTATGATGATGAATGTCCAGGCTCAGGTTGCTTTCCTCGTCAAGTTACTGAGTTTGTGTAAACCACCTCCTTCTCCCAGAAATCTTCAACGTATTACTACATCTCATATCGAATCAACAAAAATACTTATTGTTAATTTTAAGAACAGAGATTAGAGCTTTGAAAGAATTAGTTGAAGGATTTAGGCATCGTTGGCCGGATAAAATTCGCCAATTTTATTTATGATCTGTAGCGTAAACGATGCAACAATTTTTATAAGACTCTATCAAAGATTCTGATTGAAGAAAAGTTGTGTGGTGGCTTTCCGGAAGATCCTAACAAATGTATCTACAACTTATTGTGTATGAAATTAAATTCCATCAAAACTGAAGTACTTTCCTTAGGACTGATGTTTCATGTGCCCAGTAAAATTAAAAGGAGGATTGATTACATTCCAGTCTGATGAAGATGTCTTCATCACTACTGTCTACTATTTCTTAGTCAAACAGTAAACTGATTTTCTGATCATATTAAGGAAGTACTTATAATAGTCGTTTCAACTACAGGTGGCGGCACAGATGAGGACGTCAAAGCAGCTAGGATAGGAAAATCAAGACAGGCTTTCATTAATCTGAAACCAGTGTGGAGATCTACACTCAGCATAAACAAGATCCAGATTTTGAACGCCAACGTCAAGTCAGTGCTTCTATATGGTTCAGGGACTTGGTGCATCATGAAAAGGATTTCCAACAAACTTCAGACATTCATCAACAACTGCTGCCCACGCTCGATACTGATGATCAGATCAGAGGGTCAGAAAGAATAAGCAACACGGAACTCTGGCAACGAACCAACCAATATAGAGAAGAAAGTGGAGGTGGATTGGACATATACACTGAGAAGACCGATTGGGGACATTACGCGCTAGGCCAGGCTGTCGGCTGGGACTCGCATGGGAAACGACGAATTGGACATCCGAGGGTGACATTGAGATGGTGTGAGGAAGAAATGAAAGCTTCTGGGCAGTAGTTGAGCCAGGTTCAAAAGACTGGAGAGAACAGAGTGAAATGGAGACGTGCTACTGAAGCCCTATGTTCTACCCAAGGGACAAATAATAATAAAAATACACCAAATTGTTACTTACAGTAGCTATTTCATTGTAAAGTTGCCATGCATGGTTGGGAGCAAGAAGTAAAATTAATCGATCCATAGCTTCATCATTACTCAACGATCCGTCGACAGCACGTTTAATTACATCTTCTGGAGTTTGTATAGGTATCCAACGATCTATGCGTGGAATCTAAAGGTAAAGATTAACTTATAAGGATTATGTAGGTGTATAATGATATTTTAGACATATGACTGAATTTGATAAACACTTTTTGAATCACTAATTCAAATGAATGGTAACATGGTGACGATGCAACTGTGGTTTATTGGTTTAGATATATGAGTCATGGGTCCGAACTCCGCTCCACCTACCGAGTTTTTGGCAGCCAGATAATATCATTAGCCCAAGCAAAATAGGTGTGGCTAATTGCCTGCTGCATTAAGGTGCACAGGATTTCTGCGTTTGTTTCAGTTTTCAATCCAACGAATGTTGTGTAAGGGCTTGGATCTCAATAGGTGGGACAGGATTGGAATACACAACCAATTACAGCTGTTATGATACTTGTAATTACCCGTTGGTATACAGGGCAGAACCGCATGATCTTTATTGGCACCAGTAACTTAGTGGATAACGCTTTGGAGTTTGAAGCGATGGGTACCAGGTCCGAGTCTCAGTGGGAACAACATCACTCGCCGAGGCGCAGATACATCCAGATGATAAGTCCCAAATAGGACGAAACGCGGACCCTGAATTCCTCTGCTAGTCATCAAGATGAATATAATTAGAGCTGTAGTTTATTGGCTTAGACATTTCATTTTCAGTCAGTGGAATTCATGTTCGAAATTTGCCTGGATAGTCAGGTAGCATTATGTACAGTCACATACAGTGTACAGTGTCCGTAACATTTTATAAGAACTTGAACAAGATTTCTCACTTGTTATAGCGAAGGTTGAAAATGGAGTTCTTAAATCAATACACCGAATTTCCACAGAAGCATAATACAATTGTTTCACTTATTCCAAAGTCATAACAATAAAAAAAAACATAAAAAATGATGTAATTTGAATTCTTCTATGTTATATGCTTAATTTCGGCAAATATTTTCAATTCTTGGGTTTCCATTTCACCTTTGATCATCACCCAGTAACAGTACTAGTCTTTCAAACCACAGTTATCCCAGATGGTCAGAAATGATAATCAATATGATGCTCTCCCTTTCGAATCCAGTTAGATTTAGATTAGGATGAGAAGTTCTGACTAGACAGCCAGTGTGAATACGACTAAGCGGTAGTAACGCGTTAATAATTCACATGGTAGTCGGGCAAAACTGCTGGTGATTGTAGCCGGACCTCGTAATTCAGTCGACAGAGCATCGGGTCGAAAACTTGATGGTTTCTGGTTCGAATCCGGCAGCGGTGCAAATTTCCATTTCACCTTCAGTCACTACCCAATAACAATCTATATATCTGGAATTATTATGGAATATGTCAATGTAGTCAGCTGGTTAGCAATTTGGTTATTTAAGATTTATTCAATTAGGCTTCGATAAGTGTAACTGTTAGTCAATACGATTCATGTCATTAACTAATTATTCATAGTTTGGCTACACAATCTTGCTTAAAGTTAAACATACATTAGTCACGTTAATTTTCATTCGCAAAAATCTTAAAAAACGACAATTTACCACCAATTAATGTAGCGTGTTATGAATAGCTACCTAATTTATTTTGAAGCAGAAGTATAGGAAACCTTCAAATGAAAAGTTATAATTGTTGAAGCCAAAGAAAGTATACATAAAAATTATATTTTTTCTCTAATACACTGACTGGAATCTAAGACTGAATAATATAACACAAATCTTAAAAGTTGTTTCCACAATGTTATTTTATGCATGAAGAACAAGTTTAAACTACTTTAACTGTCAAGCAAATAAGCATTTATCAACATACATCACATAGGAATTGATAGATGACATCTGACACCGAAAAGTAGTGTAGGAAGAGAAGATTAGGAATAAGGCTTATTGTCATAGTAAATTAAAAACAACCATTAGAATAGAAAAAGATAAGCTCATCTTACTGCATGGACGCTTTCTGTACATAGATAACCTAATATGATTTCAGTATCAAGATATTTATTACAAAAATGTGATATATACATTTTACTTATTAGATTATTATCAATAAGAGTTATGGACATCAATATAGAATGATTAATACAGATAAGGAGGAATGGATACGTTTTAAATTGGTAGTTCATGAATTGAAAGACAATTTTCAGTTGATACATTGTAGTCATTGAAATGAAAGCTTAAGTCAAAGTGGGAATCAAACACCAGTGACTTGTATCAGTAACACCAATCTGTTAAACAACGATTATCTAATTCAAATAATCCGATGAAAAAGTTTATTGTTTATTGAAAAGTTAATGATATTGTAGGATTTAACCTTTCTATGTATAAAGATCTCTTTGACAGGACCTATAGAAATCCTATGGCAACGTTGAAGTTGAGTTATCATCATCATCATCATCAAAAGTTTAGACAATCTACTACATGTACATCGACAGACAGATAGATAGGTAGATACAAGATGTAAACAGCGTAATGAGAACACGAAGATTATCTGATACAAGATGATAGAAATACTAGGAATCATGAGGTTAAGTATACAGTCAACTTTCACTATAATTCATAAACAATAAATACAAAGAAAAAGATCACTTAATGGATTTATTTTAGCGATCCATATACAAAGAAAAAAAAACTATTACAAAATAGAAGCAAACACCAATACTTACTTCTTTGCTTAAAGTTACAATATCATTTGGAAAAAAATCTCTAGCAGCGACTCTTGCAGCTAAACGACCTTTTGCTTTTGCTAACCAATGATTACATGTTCTAGTGGCTGACAAAAGAGTGAATTCTGGGCCTAATCGATAATTTGGAGCATCTGGAGAATGTTGTACACATGAAATTAATGCACGTATAATAGATGTAGAATTTCTGTAACGTTTCAATGGTGGATCAATATCAAGTGAATTCATCTCATCAGTTTTTAATGATGATGATGATGATGATAAAGTTGAAAAATAGAATTTATGAAATGGAAATAAATATTTTCTATTGGATCCATTGCTCATGCATGAGTAACGCAGCATTCCTGTGAATCTGTAAAAAGAAGATACAATTTGATTGAACGTTATTAATTGAGGTGACTAAGATACACCTAAATATGCTTGAATAAAATTAGTATTATCACTTCAAAACAAAAAGTGATAAACATCCGCAAGCTACTAAGAGTATTAGACCTAAGAGTAAAACAAAGAAACTCTCCAGATTTAAAGTTGGTATTCATCATAGACTGATATCAGTTGGAGGAACAGTGAAAACCTGAAGGTCGTGGGTTCGATCCCTGGCGGCGTCATGGTTGCGCACTGCTGAGGAGTCCCATACTAAGGTGAAACAGCTGTCCAGCGCTCCCAGGTTTCCAATATTCCTCAAACTGATGTCAGTCCATGATGAATACCAACTTGAAAAACCACTAAATCCCCATAAACCCCCAAATTAAATTCATCTAGTGCTCGTTAGTGACTAGCTTCGAGAGGTGATTCCTGAAGTTTCAACGAGAAGTCATCACCCCCGGGGCAAACCTGATGGACGTGAGGACAAATATTCAACGATGACCTTGAGTGATAGTCGTGTTATTTCTTGAACTCATAGAAGTTTGGAATATGAACCATCGGATTCCGATCCAGTGGCTCAATGGCAAAGTGCTGGCTGTGGAACGTGAAGGTCCTGGGTCCGACCCCTGGCGAGACCATCGGTGCACACTGTTGAGGAGTCCCATACTAGGACAAAACAGTTGTCCAATGCTCCCAGGTTTCCAATATTTCTCCAACTGATGTCAGTCCATAATGAATACCAACTGGAAATCATTAAAAGTCCTCACAAACCATTAAATTAAATAAATCTTTAGATTTAATCAAAGGACCGTGGATCTCAAACGTTGAATGAAAAACTTAACACGGACATAATAATTATTTGTTGTACAAACCTGTGTATAGTTATTGTGTTGCATTACCAAAAAGATATTTCATACTAGACTAGCCTATTTGATATAGGACACAATGATATCGTATAATTTACTAGATGATGGTTCAAGCGCAATTTACTGATCATATTCATATAAAGGTAATCACACAACTTCCTGCCTTAGTTATTTAGAGTTCTATTGCTTTTCATTCTTTGATTTGGTTGGTAGTATGGTTTTCTGTGTATCTGGAATTGGTATTGGATCATTCCTACTAGATGCATGACTGTGAGGTAAAGTACAACCTGGTGGCGGCAAGCTTAAACCTTTGGCTAGTGAAAAATTTCCATTGAATATATTTCATCAAATTCTTCCCTTTCAATTTGTTTTAATCTTTTTAATGCATCCTCTAAGTGTATAATGTACTCTTGCAAGTTTTTAAAGTGCTTTTAAACTGTCGTTTGTCAAGCTAAGAAAAAAAATAAAGGAAAGATGTTACAGTGGATAGAAGTGGACTTATACACAAAAGTACACTACATTAATACTCTTAGAACACCTATATCGAATTGCAGATTTTTGTACGAGGTGAATGAACTACCATCACCATCAAAATTACGCTCGATTTTCTATTCTTTCACCAGTCCAGATCAGACGCTAATGTAAAACTAGCTGCCCGTTTCACATTGTTGCCTTTATTGTTGTTATTATTAACACTATTCAGATGCAATAGTTATTTCGTTTAAAAACATCCTACAGGGAGTGAATTTTTTCAGATAGTGCAAGCTGAGAATTCCATAGTGTATCATGTATCAAACTAACCGATCAAGGTAAATCAGGTTAGCAGATTACAAGAATGTGGTTAGGTTTACATGGATGAACTCTACCAAGATGATTAATCTAGAAAAGAATTTAATCATAACTATGCATGAAATAACACACTATCATACAACACGCTGAGACAGAGTTATAGTTCTGAAGATTAGTGTAGTTAAGTGGTGTGAAAGGTTGATCTCTGGTCATCACTTCAATGCCTAACACATGTAACGGGAATAATCCAACACCAAAATTTCAGTTATAAGGAAAATCTTACTACCAATCAAATCAAAGAAAAAAAAATTTAGTAGAGCTATACAAAAAACTAAGACAGGAAGTTTTATGATAACTTTTATTATATGAATATGAGCAATAAATTGTGCTCGAATCGTGATCAAATATATAATGCTATATCATTATCATTGTATGTTTACCCTCAAACTACTAGTGAGAAATTAATTCATTCCAATGTATTATTCAGATAGTAATTCACATGGGATTTAGAAATATTCTCAATACTGATAACGATAAACAAACCTTAGTGACTATCGTCATTTGCCGTTTATAAAGTTGTACATAATCATTAGTTAATAATCACCATTCATGTAAAATTTTTATTTGTTTTCTGTACAGTAACCAGTTGTAAATCGTTATGCATACAAATTTTCAAAATCTATCAAATACAAGAATGTAAAATGCTTATAAGTTAGAGGTACTACTCATCACAGACTGACATCAGTCGGGGAACCATTGGAAATCTGAGAGCACTGGACACCTCTTTCGTCCTAGTATAAGACTCCTTGGCAGTAAGTACACACGACCCGGTTAGGGATCGAACTGAGAATCTTCAGGTTTTATGGGTCGTGTGTACGTACCGCCAAGGAGTCCCATTCTAGGATGAAACAGTTGTTTCGTGGCTTCCAGATTTTCAATGGTTCTCCAACTGATTTTAGTTCATGATGAATACTACCTCTAAATTCAAATCCTCATTCATCTTAAAAACACATTACTTAATAGTTAGTCATAAGTATTTGAAAACAGTTTACATTGTTAACCCGTATTAGTCGAAGGAAATATTAAGGAATAACAATTTAGCCTATTTAACAGAAAAATTACCACCCTCCAATGGTTTTAGGCTCAATCTCAAACAATATAGTTGACAAGTTTACATGTATGCATTCCTGAACTGTAAGTACTTACTCAAATAACAATGAAAAGTGGTAATATCTATATACAATCAAACTGAAAGTGTTTCAGAGAGGAACAACAACACTAGTGGTATTAAAAAGAAAATTAAATATCAATGATAACTTTACACTACCATGATCAGTGAATATCAGAAGTATAGCACAGCTGATGATTGCTTCGCACTAAAGATAAAAATAATAACCATCCTATTTCCATATCCTCGATTCTTCGATTGTATTCACTTTTTAATGAAACATTAATATGTATAGTAATGATGGACAGTAGCTAACAGTGGAATACAGGATGCGCATTTCATCCTATTTAGAAATCATCCTGGATTATACTGCTAGCCACTGGCCATCATTACTATATATAATTGAAACACAGGCAATATTGAGGCATCTATAAAGGAGTCCATATACCAACAGAGACTGATCAATTCAGTCCAATCAATGACGGTGTAATATAAGAAATAACACTGAAACATCAATATATTGATTAAATTTTCAGAAGAAAAAGAAAGGTATTTCCTTAATTTAAAGGCATTTCTATTCACAAAATATAGTATACAATAAAAATTTTTCTTTTTAAACCAAGAGTATAAAAGACATACAAATAATCATATAGTAAAAGAGGAGATATATTCATTAAGATAGACAATAACTAACATATTTTAATCCATAAAAAGTGATTATACAAACATGTATACATTTGAAAGTCGTGTATACTATTTCCCTCTTAATGAATAAGTATGTGGATTTGGATTATAATTAGCATTTTTATTTCGTAAAGCTATTGAACGTGTAACACGAATATTATTATCAAGATTATCCTGTACACTTGTAGTCATAGAACTACTCATCTTTCTTGTTGTTGTCGTCGTCGTTGTTGTTGTTCCAAGATTGTGATCAACTTTAACTTTACCAAGGATTTTATTCTCATTTAATAATGGTACTGATTGATTGGTATGTTTAACTTGTGATTGAGATGATATACTTATCAATCTATTAACTGTATTATACTTTTTTTTCGTAGTTGTCATTGTTGCACACATCACCTTCTTTGATAATGTTCTTAATGCTGTTGACACTGAAGAACTTACTAAGGATATATTGATATTAGAATCTTCTATTAAATCATTAAAATTTACACTAATTGATTGAGTATTCAATGTTACTGTAGGTGATTCATTTTCATATAAAGTTTTTGTTGAATTTGATAAGTCAGATAATTGAGATTTACGCGTATTTCGTGTTGTTCGACGTAGTGACTTATTATTAGTTGTAAATGGTTCCGTATCACTTGGAAATTCAGATGTTGAACTTTGAATAGGCGGTTGTTCCGATTTCACTAAGACTACAAAGTGGAAAAATAAATATATACATATATATATTATCATTTTGACTATCTGAGATAGGCATGGTTTGACAGACTAGTATTGATACTGAGTGATGATTGCACCGCGGCCGAATTCGAACCAGCAACCACCGACTAAGCTACAGGGGTCCAACTGATGACTAGATTTTTTTAGTTCACTTCAATCATGGTAGTCGGACAACACGCTTGGTGATTAAAGTGAAATAAAAATCTGGTCAGCAGTCGAACCTCGTAACTCAGTTGGTAGAGCATCGAGCTGGAAATGTGGAGGTGTCTGGTCCCAATCCGGTGGCGGTGCAAATTTTCATTTCACCTTCAATCATCACCCAGTATCAATATACATATGTACAATGGAGGGAAATGAGTATAATGAAAATAAATTCAAGAAAAATTAACACAATATTTAGGAACAATAGCACTGATGTGAAAACTCATACTTGATTCAAATTCACTAAGGTTTTCAGACAGGAATAAACTAGGATAAGCTGTCCAACTTTTATAACTTAAAGTATACAAGATTGCAATGAAGTTAAGGCAACAAAAATGTACATAGAAAACGAAAATTAAAGCATCTTTCCAATAAACACTTTTTTGTGACTTTTGTGCATTTGTTAGGATATACTTCTAAATATATTTCCGTAGATGGGACTAATAAGAAGTTTAGTTTAAAATAGCGATTATAATTTTAAAGTAAATTTACATCAAAAAATTACATTTAATAAAGAACTCAAAGAAACTTGGAAGACGCTTAAATTCGGCTTGAAACTCTTGAACAATGTTCAACTTTAGTCCGACAAAACATTGAACTTCATTTCTACTAATGAACAAAAAACAAAACATACTTGGTGAAATACATCCTCAAAAACAAATGTTTATTACCATCCAATTACACTGAAATTACCATATGACGCGCAATTATCCTTTGGTGTTATCGATATGTAGTTACGCTTATTCCTGACTTATTTGACTCAGTAGATCCAGTTCCCACAACAGACCATCAGGGAGTCTATTCTGAAGACAGCTAGAACACATTGTCAGTTGGCAGATGAGTTCCTACGTGGATACCTTGATACTGCCGGTTATTCGTAATGTTATATTGATCTTAGTGACTAGCAGAGCAATCCAAAACACGCGTTTCGTCCTACTCGGGACTTATCAGCTGATCAACCCTGTATATCAACGGGAAATTACAAGTATCATTACAACAAATGGCACCCGTTGCACAAGAGGTGGCTATCGTGCCCCAATGGTTTAGTGGATAACACTCTGGAATTTGAAGTGAAGTACGGGTTTCGAGCCTCAGTGGGGACAACATCACTCACTGAGGTGCAGATAACCCAGCTGGTGAGTCCCAAGTAGGGCGAAACGCGCGTCGTGGACTTCTCTGCTAGTCACTAAGATCAATATGACATCGTGATGCACTTATGCGCAAAAACAGTGAAATGAAAATAATTCACTCAAGTAGGGTTTTAACCATCAAATGGAATGAATGAATAAGTCATATCCTTAAAATTTAAAGGGAAGATAGTTCAAATCACGTCTTATTTATCTTAACTCTTTTAGTATCATATGGCGAATGAATGACTTCTGATTGTAAAAAAAGGCTTCCAAATACATCATCGAATTTCGTGAAAGACAATGTCGAATTAGACTAGCAAAATGATTATGTTAAAACTGTTGAAATTACATTTTATGGTTTAAAACTATAAGGTGCAGAACAGGAGATATTTGAACTTCTGGAAAACAGACCAGCTACCTTACAATAATAACTTCCAATGTAAGATAGAAGTCTGTTTTATCAAGTATGACACTTGTACGATTATCTCTAATGATCACCTCAAGAACAGAGCCTCGTCTCATACTGACATATGTGCAACTGCCCTAAATCAGTGTTTTCCAAACAGCATATGTGATTCATAACTAAGTACAAGAACCTATAGGTCAATGTTGAAGTTTGACTAGAGGATGCTGGCGTTTAGTAAAACTACCAACAAAGAGAAAGACTGAATAATAAATACTACGGGACGACTAACAGTGCTGGAGAAAATCATAGAGAACCATCCAAACAAAGGTTCATTGTTATGCTAATCACGCAAGAATAATCATATAAGTCGTGGAAAAGTGACGCATGAGAAAAATACATCTCTTAATCACTTTTCATTTTATAAAAAAGCTGCTGTATAAGTATATCACTTTATTTACGTCTCTACAATTAAGTTGCAGTTGTCAGACCGTAGAACAAAGTAAGCCATCACCAAAACGTGTCAAAACGAATTCGGCTACCCAGTATTATCCCATTCTTGTTGTCAATATACTTCCGAAATAATACTTTCATAAACTAGCTACTGAACTGAAAATTCTAGTACACCGAAATTGCATTGAAGAAAATGTTTGACAAAGGTTATGGGAAAACGCAATTTTACAACCCTGTTAAAGAGGATAAGGAAAGAAATTAGAATATCTTCCTTGACAGCTTGCTGCAAATCACATCATAAAGGATTGATTACATAAATGTCTAGTACAGTTATACAAAATACAGTCAGAATAAGACGTAGTGTTAGTGAGTAACACTTTAAGTTGCTAAGCTTCACATCAGGGCATCTAGGTAGAGGAAAACCAAGATGAAAAATAACGTCACATCGTACGATGATTAAGATTAAAATAATATGAGGATGTACTTGCACCACGGAAGTCGATTCTCGAACATAACACCTAATCCCCGATCATTGGTTTCGATTTTCCCATGGACCTCAACCAGCAAGTCTGGGCTTGCCTACATGGCTCAGATCAATAGTTACAGACTTCACGCACTCATTCTATGTCTTAATCTCATCATCTCTTTTCAACCCAAACCTATTTTAGCTAATATTGTGGAACAAGACAAACAGTAACTATGCATGCGCAGCACATCTTACAGCCAATGTATGTTTACAACCTCATCAAATGATTTACACCGTCTGCCATAAACTCCTTGCCTGACTTCTGCATAGCTGGTGTGGTGGTACCACGACACATAACTATGCTAAAAAGGTAACGCCAATCGAACACCTGGGGCCTACTCATGTCTTCTATTTTTAATATCCGTGTTTCACAGCCGTATGATAAAACGGTGCGAAGTGCGTCGTTTTAAACTTGACTCTTAAAGAGCGATTGAATATTACAGCGATGCCACAGATGGCGTCAGTTTTTAAAAGTCAATCATACCTATTTTATAAGTGCATAGATGCCATCGGTCTCTGACCCATGACTGATGATCTGACTTCCCATGTAGGTCAAGTGGTCAGTGTGTTCAACCACTTCCCTATCTATTGTCAGACGGAGTACCAACGCAGAGCAGTCCTGGGGCAGACAAACTGCCACTCGATATGCTGAGAAAACACATCTTTCCAGGAACTTCACGTGACAAGGTTATGTCATCCGCAAAACTCCAAGTTTACTTAGGAGTCTCTGGTGATAAGGCAAATCCCTGTGGTCAGACGAAGAGGGGAAGTCCTTCATAGTCACGTTTACGACAAAACTGAATAAGAATGGAGGGGGTGGACAACCTTGACGGACACCACTCGACATGCACAACTAACATTTCCATGAGTGTTTTCATACAGCATTTTCAACAGCGTGATGTACTTATCTAGAACTTCTTTCAGGCGGAGACGCTGGCGTTAGACCTTATGGTCGACGGAGTCAAATGCAGTATTCAGGTAAAGGAATAAAGCTAGTGTCGGGCGTCGATAAGTACACCTTTTCGAGAACCTGACAGACGGTAAGTATCTGGTCAACACTCACACGACCAGGTCTGAAACCTGCCTAGCTTCTTCCGGTTTGTTGTTTACGAGCTTCATTTAGACGTAGGATCGTGGATACTAAGTTCGTCAGACTTATTTATTTGTGCTTGTCAGTGACTGAGATACCAGAGGGGGTCATATCTCATTGGTACAGGCAATAATCGTCAACCACCGTCTTTGAATACCTTTTACGCTTGCCCACTAGCGTCAGTTCATGAAGTCAGTAACTGCTGATCTGAGCCGTGTAGGTAAGCGTAGACTTCCTGGCTGGGGTTTATGAGATAACCGAAATGCGTGGTTGGACAGTAGGTGATATGTCTGAGAATCGATCTACGCAGTGCAAGTGCATCGTTATACAGAGTCCCTTTATTTTTTATCGCTTTTTCGTCTCGCTCCACAACTTTCTATAATTTCGACTGATTTAATACCTTTTTCTTTATTTTTCAACTTGAGTTCTTTCTACCTCGATATGCTGATGTGAGGTGTGGCAACTTGCACCGTTACGCAGTAGTATAATGTTAAATGTTGACTCTGAGCGATTGGCTTGATTTGTTCGATTCTAAATGTGATGAAGCACATCTTTTGATGATAAAAGTAGAAAAACTGGCGGTACTCAAGAGATTTGTTACAAAAGGTGTAACAGCTAAGACATGCCCCTATTAGTTTGGGAGGTTGTTGATTTGTAGAGTCAAGAAATCAAGCCACTTGATTATGAAATGTTACATTTTGAGGGACTGACATCAGTCCGAAAACCACTTAGAACTTGGGAGGACTGGAAAACAGCTACTTCATCCTGGTATAGGACTCCTTAGCAGTATGCATCCACGACCCCGTCCCTCCAGGAATCGGACTTAGGACCTTCCGGTTTCATGGCGAACGCGTTAACCATCCAGCTATTAGGTCGCAATCCAACGGTTTACAGTTTCCTATTTCTTTTAATTGATGATATAGCGCGACTATCATCGAAGGTCTTCAGTTAGCGTTCGCTTCACTTCCAACTGGTTGACCCAGCAAGTCACAGCTTCTCATTAGAACTTCGGGATACATAACTCAAAGCATGTTACTAAATGTTAAATTATTTATTCAGAAAATTAAATAAACTATAATATATTTATTGCCTCTGAAGTGACTCATTTTAAAACATAAAGTTTTCATAAAGTTTGTTGTATGAATACAGAAATCAAATTACCTGGGCGCATATCGACGTCATTCAACCAACTCTTATCAAACCAAAACTTTGTAGTCCGATCTATGTAGTGAATAAACATGTACAAGTGCCGATGAACTATAGCACGCCGACACAATGTTAACTCCATACCATTCAGTAATGTTGGAAGGATAGCTAGTTAAAGCAAATAGTAAAAGTTTTCACTATTGGAATCCAAATAGATAAAATTAATTATGCGATTACTATATATGCATATAATGGATACACAATTACTTATTCTTGCTTCATAATGAAGTACATTTGAGATTCACCTCCAATTTCTTTGTGTACTTTAAATACAAACAAGAGATCAGGGTAAGATTCAACCAACCAACCATCATTACACAACAGGTATGTAACTTACCAACAAAGAATAGATTTCATGTTAGAAATATCCTGTAGCTTTGCCATGAAAGTTTTACATGTTTATTGATTTTCATCATACGTTTGCATATGGTACTTTTCGCCTTCACTGAACATTAGTTTTGCACTTGGTAATTATAATTTTAATAAATTAACCATCTTTTAGTTGGATAAGATCAACATTATGAAGCTTGTAAACTTGTTCTCGAAGCAAATTTTTGCTTCCAGTAACCACACTTCACAGTAGTACACAAAGAACAGGTGCACAGAAAAAGTGACATAAAAGTAAACAAACTGGTGCGATACAATAAGCAATTTGAAGATAAAGGCTAGTGCAAATATTTAAGCTTTAGAAGACATCAAAGAGTGAATACATCTGCTCCACTATTATCCATTTTCAGCCACGTCACTAACAGTCCTCAACCACTGATGCCTATTGTCTCGGGGACTTCAATCAATCAGTCTACATCTTCTCACAAGACTCAGGTCGAAAGTAAGAGACTTCATCAACTGTTGCCATCTCTTCATCTGACAGCAAAGAACCCTCTAACAATCTACTTCAACTCCTCCAGCATAACATATCGAGGTAGGTGGTGGATCGGCATACGCAAGACACTTCATTCGATGAAGGTTCATAGCCTAATTAATCGACTTGCCCATCTCGTCTAGTACCCTTCACTTGATCTTCACATTGCTCACACAGTGATTCCACCATATGCAACCAACGCTACGAAGACATATATGATCAAAACCCTGTAACCGCTTCATGTCATCTACTCTTAACCGTCATCTAAAAACTTTTGAACTTTTACCACGGTCAGCATTTTATTTCCCTAGATTTTTCACAGACTATTTCTTCACTCACTGATTAACAGTACTTATAATATGTCACTGATTTTTCTTTCTAAATACAGTCTAAAACTACGTAAGCCATTCCATAAGTGTTCGGTAGTATTTTTATTTTTGGTTGAAGCGATAAACGTTTTTATGATAACTTGCATTTTTCCTCTCGTTTGAGTTTGTCCACAGTGGTGAACTTGTTGATGGTTGCAATACTGTATCATAGTATACTGATTGAGTTATATTTGACCTGACTTACTGACTGCAGCTGGGAAAGTATTGACAACAAACTACTCAACATTACCCAGGCTAACTGCTGAAGTGTGAGAAAAAAACCGTCTTCAGCTCTATCGTTAAACATTTCGTAGACTCTAGGCATCTGGTTTTTTTTGGGAACCTGGTTCAAAGTTCTCTACAAAGTTAAACCAAACCGTTCAAAAAGGGGTGAGGATTATACACTTATAGAAATTCACAGCTTCAAACTTCAATTGTTTATTCAAAAGCAACATGTAAAAACACTTTCTGTACCATAGTCTTAATCAGGTAATAATCACCTCTGATAATTTACTTGGTTGTGGCTAGCAGAGGAATCCAGGACGCGCGTTTTGTCCTATTTGGGACTTATTTATTGATATTAATTTGCAGATCTTATGACATATTTATTGATTTATTTGTACCAAATACCAAATCTTACTGTTCACTGTATTTTATAAAAACTATTGAGATTGTGTCTTGTGTTATAAAATATAATTTCATTTCAGACATACGCTTATTGATTAAGTTTGACCTTTGACTGAAAAACACTCTGCAACATTCTATCATTTTAGTTATACATTAACGAATATACAGCTGTGTAAATGAGTTGGTGAAAAGATGATTAACTTTGCTGTAACTTGTATTCATCTCGGAATCCAAGATGCGCGTTTCGTCCTCTCTGGGACTCATCAGTTGGAAGCACCTGCAACCTAGTGAGTGGTGTTATTTCCACTGAGATTGAAACCAAGTACCCATCGCTTCAAACACTAAAACATTATCCAATACGTCAATGGGACACAAGAGCCCCCATTTAAGGAACGGGTATCATTTGTTGTTATTTGATACTTCTAATTTCCCGTTACTAAATAGAGTCGAATTGCTAGAGCTCTGTAAACTCTTGTTTGTTTTTTGATCGCAAATTAATTAAAACTGTGGAAATTTTCTCAGTATCGCCAGTAGAATACATTTTCAACTACTTATCTGCAATATTATTATCAGTTCAACTCCAGATCTTATCGCTTGCTGTAGATTGAGTTCCTGGTAAATTAAACACTGAAGTCCAGTTTGAAAATCTTCTTAATCCAGCATATGATCTAACTGTTCCATCTTTAAAACATCTAAAACGACTAAGTTACTTCACAGAAAACCATATCAGTCAGCTAAACTGATTGAAACATAATAAAGGGATCATAAATAGTAAAATACCAAGCGAAATAAGGGAAATGAAAAAAGCATAAGACCAAAATCAGAAGATATAGGCTACACTACTCATCAACATTTATTACCTAAATATAAATGGAGCAAATGATACTTAGATACAAAACCCTTTAGTACATGTAACTATAATTTATTCAACCGGTTAAATGCACTAAAAGTAACTTACTAAATAATCTTAAAAGGAAATATGGAGGATAATTTAAACAAGGTAATTTAGGATTTTTTAATGCTTCACAATTTGGAAGTAGCTCATATTGGGGCGAAGAGAATCGAAAAGTAGAATGAATATCAGTTGGTCCATGAGGAAAATTTTCACCGAATACTCTACCACCTTCATACAATTGACTATTTAAGAGATTAAAAAGGAAAGTATACGTAAAAGAACGTTATATACAAAGTAATAAATATGAGAACAGAAAAATTATTTTCTTTGCTCTATCATAACATTAATTACGGTTCCCGTAGACAACACACCAGTTATATCAGAGAGAACGAGTTAAACTGATGAAATCATTAGTGTTAATGAATCAGCTAGATCGTAAATTACTCAAATAGAACTCATCGGGCTTTAGAAGTGAACTTTCAGGAAATGAGGTCATAGTCTGAACATTCTATCCACCTACTTTAATGTGTGATATATACCCGTCTGGATATGAAAGAACAACAAGTATTTTAGTGAAGGATCTCTTTCCAGCAATTTCATTTTCAAAGTTGTACAGTGGCAAATCTATACATTTTCCTTCTAGTGTAAGGATTTGATGGTTAAAAACGGTTTGTCAAGTATGGCATATACCCCTTCTTCTTCTTATTTATTTTTGTCTCCTCTACCCCTCCCCCCTCTTTTCTTTTCATTTTCTTACTTTGACACGATCCATCTCCTAAGTAATTTGCTACTCATTCTTGTTGCTAGGCTCTGCTTGAACACAATTCAGTTCCCAATTATGTCGTTATGTTACGAAACCTCTTATCTAAACTTATTTTGATTAATATTCGCTACTCATCAGCTTTTGGTTTTTCGACTTTAATGACAGCTCATTTATTGACACTAATTGTATTTCCTGCCATGCTAGACAAACCGTTTTTAACTATCACATCCTTACACTGGGAAAAAAATGTATAAATTTGTGGTTGTACAGTTTTGAAAATGAAATAGCTGAAAAGAGACTATTCGTTGAAATTTACTTGTTCTTCTTGCATCTACTTTAGTCTGGGCAAACAGGGACTATCATAAACCCTCATACAATCAGTGCTTCTCATAACTAAAAAAGCACCAATCTCAGTTACATTAGTGCACTACTTTTTTATTTCACTGAGTTACACGTTTAAAAATCATATGTTGAAATAATGGATGTTCAGCAAACACTGAATACCTTCGATATATTTTACTGCTATCATATTTATTTACTTCACATTCCATTTAGAAAACGAAACAAAAATCATTGGTGACTAGCCTCGAGAGGTGATTCCTGAAGTTCCAATGAGAAGTCATGACCGGTGGAGTCAACCAAGGTGTACGTTAGGACAGTTACTCAACGATAACATTGGATGTAGGTTGCGCTATATTGGAATTGACAGAAGTAGGGAATATGGACCACTGGATTCTGACCCAGTGGCTCAATGATAATATGCTAACCACAGATCCTGAAAGTCTTGGGTTCGACCCATGGCGTGGCGGGGTTATGGGTGCGCACTGCTGAGGAGTCCCACACTAGGACGAAACAGCTGTTCAGTGCTCCAGATCTCCAGTGTTCCCCAACTGGTGTCATTCCATGATGAATTTCAACCTACAATCGATTGTTTCTCTCAATTTTAAACACAAAGTGGGTGAAATATAGACACCAAGAAATGTGTCACACAATGTAGTGTGATCTCTCCATAGGTAAAAAAAGGTTCGACTGACATTTGCCAAATCACACTACATGGGTCACCATCGCCGTGACATCCAGTTTCTCATTCAGAGTCGAGTGTGACATGACGCAGTTCATGCTATTTTACGATATAGCTGTGAAACATGGCTGTTAAAGGTAGACAACACGAGGAGGCTTCAGGTGTTCGACTACAGTAAACTTCGTGGTGTAGTTCGTGTGACATGGTGCCACCACATCAGTTATGCAGAAGTCAGGCACACAGTTTGTGGCAGACAGTGTGAATTGTTTGATGAGGTTGTGAACCCATACTGACTCGGATAGTTGCGTGATGCGTTACGCATATCTAGTCACCGTCTGTCTTGTTTCACGATCTTGGTCAAAGTAGGCTTAGGTGGTAAAGGAGTTAGTGGTGGCCGAACTAAACATGGAATCACTGCCTGAATTCTGTGATTGTTGACCTGAGCCGCATAAGTAATTGTAGACTTTGCCGTCAGAGTCCGCCTGACAACCAAAATCTTTTGGGTAAAGATTACATGGCTCAGTGGCGCAGATGCATCCACGCACAACTTTCCTTTTATCCGGCATACCGAATTTCACTATCATTTTATTCCTACTTGTTTTCTTTCGACGACTATCCATTACTTTGACTACTTTTATTCTTGTTTCTTTGTCTTTTAGCTTGGGTTCCCCTATCTTGATATTTTAGTGAGGTGTAAACGTTTGAACCGTTACGCAGTAATGCCAGATACTACGGTGATGTTGACTGACTGCTGTAATTTGACAACACTGTGAACCTAATAAAGAATAGATATGGGACTTAAAAGGCAAAACAGTAACCAGACCGTCAGTTCCTAACAATTATTCCCTGATAGTTCGGATCGTTTCAAGACCGTACGTCAATGACGGAGATCATGACATCCAGTCCTTGTGTTAAGCATACTAACTTTTAGTTTCTGGGTTGGAATCCAATGATCAGCAACTTTTAACTTCAATCAATCAAGTCAAAAGTAGGGACCGGTGCCCATAGGTGATAGTGTATGGTAACGGCGTCATACTAGATGGTATCGTTTAATTCCTAAAATGACGTGTGGCTTATATCTTTAGTGCCCAATTTTACATGTGATTGTAGATTAGCATCAATAGCTTTTTCCCTAATTTCATTTCGGGATAAAAATTTTCTTTTTCCCTCAAAAAAGTAATTACATTTGAAATGAGTCTTTTATCGTACTTACTTATTTACTGAACGTGATTTTTCACTGGGAAGCAGGAGATAATTTCTTAGAGTAAAATCAAACAATATACGCAGACTGGAACAAACCTCAGCACAAATCAATCGATTCTGATCCGTTTGAGAGTATAATGGATTCATAATGCGTGAAGCACGATCTGAAACAAGTTCTTAAAGAGAATTGAGAATAAGGGGGCGGGGATATTTGATTTGGATACAAATAAAGAAGAAATGGAAGACTGACATTAAAACAATATATGAAGTGATCTAATCGATATAATTGAAGGCATCAGAAAATGAATCATTACCGATGATTCTCTCTGGGTTTTTTTGCAACTGTAAGAAATAGGTATAGCGCAGTTAGTACCTCTGAGGTGTAGGACTCCGTATTAATTTTTCAGGATATAGATAGAGACAAGACACAGTTGAATTATACTTTAGCGAAAGCAGGTTATGCAGAAATACAATATGATGCGATTTTAATTTCTGCTGAGTTATGTAACCACAGTATGCCTTGTACTTGGAAATAAGGTGACTGACCAGATTCAAAAAATGACAAAAGTTTCAAGGGTGCAGCAATAAGGCTAGAAAATAATCTATCTATACTCCAACCATCGACCTCAATAGAGTGTAAACTGGGCAAACTTGGACCTAGAACCTCAAAATTGATGACAACAGAATGAGGAAGGTATGTGCCATACAGGGGAAGTTACCATATTAAAAAACGTGCATTAAATATGCAGTAAATTGCATGAGGAAATTTAGGAAGTATATTTAGCCTCCAGCCTAATAGAGTTCTGTTATATTGAATAATTTGTTGACTGACAAATTTAAGTTGGTCTTCAGTGTGATGGGTTTATGTAATCCCATTACGTCTATAGACAATGAAATCAATGACACAGTTAAGTAACTCTAGATTATTATTTAATAGTCTCTGAGCTTTGGTATTTGATCGTGAACATCCTATAACACAATTAGGTAGAAACTGTTGTTACTTAGCTTAGTTATAAATAATTGAGGGATGTCTAAGCCGTGTAAATGTTTACATAGTATTTTTGTTAACCTTGTAATAACCAAAACAAAAGAGATAAAATATAATGTTGAGGCCGGTTAACAGAAGACTTGAAGGAACTCAAATCATAAAGGAAGAGGAGAAAAACAAGGGAACTTAATTTCTAGATACCCCTAGCGTCAAAAAGTACAAGAAAATCCTAGAGACTCAAAATGTATAGAAAAACCAAATAAACATATCCAGTTCTGTATGAAGGCAGTTTCCACAAACAACGAATCATTTTAGCACATAGCATTGTTTAAATTGAACTAAAACTAGTTGAACTGTATTCGTACTAGTGATTATTTACTCCACTTCAACAAGATAATAAATATTTGTGGCTCTAGTTGTAAATCTCCGGGTAGTTTCATTGCTTTAAGAGTTTGAGATCTCTTGGACAGTGCTTTAGATGTCAATCTAGGGGTCATTTTCAGTTCTGTTTTACAACCATTTCAATTCACAAAAAAGCGTCTATCGACAGAATGAAGACTAAAGTGATCATCTCAACTCATTTAAAGAATTACTCCACCCAATATTAAAAATGTTCCGGGAACTGTCAGCTGACTGTTTAGCCTGGTTAGAAATGAAGTGGCATATAAACCAAAAAAATTACTGTAGAATAGTTCTTATTGAAGATTAAGGACCAAGATATCGAAGCAATGCAAGACAGTGACAAAGTCAAGTACAAAGATTCTTAAATCCGTTACATTGGTTAAATCAGTATGCATATAACTCGCATGATACAACCGGACGATGTAGCAAACAATATGAAGTTTCCCGTTCTTCTCTTCCATATCTCACTGTATTATTAACAATGTCAAATAAGAGTATTACTTCCTTCAAATACACATGTACATAAAATCGTCATGAGACAGCAACTCATATAGCTCTCAAAGCTTAATTATTGATAGGATTCTATCGATCAAGTGTGAAATGTGATTAGTAAGCTGACACACATATACATCTAGATATATTTTGACTGAATGACTTTGATTAACAATCGGGAAATGAGAGCTACATTTATTATCCAACTAGCAACCAGTTTATGAATGTAATCTAGCATTATAAAGGGCTAGTCACGGTTTGAATAACTTAATGGTAAGACCTGTGACTTCAGTCCTAAGTGACTCAGATTACAATCCCTATAAGAATATAAAGTTCTTCAGCATTTTAAGCGTACGTCGCCAATGCGTGTCAACACACACGAAACCAAGACAAGGCTTTTCATAGACAGATTTCAAATAGCTAGAAATATTCAACTTGAATGCAGTAAGTCAACAATTCATACAGAGATACATGTCTTGCCGAATACAACTATAGTAATTTGAGATGAATAATCTCCAAAGAGGGGATATTAACTTGACTAAATGTTTACTCACCACTTGAGGAACTGCATGAGCCAAGTAAAGAAATTATATCCAATCCACTATAGGGAAACCCGTCAACATATTTCTGAAGAAGTTGAAGAACAGAACACCAATAACGGAATGTCTTAGACACATCTTTCCCCAAATCGCTAGCATCCGTATGTGATTTCAGTATATTTCGAAGATTTTGTGGGAGGTCTAAAGACACCATATAAGCTTTGTGTATCTGTTATAAATGATATTAATCCGCCTAAATCTACCTGAAGCTGTTCAAACTGTAATTGTGTTAATTCTTCTTGATCTAATGTCGATGCGATGAATTCATCCCAAACCGGCATGTTTTCTCCAAATGAAGGTGAACTGATAGGTGTCTTCTCCTTTTTATTATCACTTGAGACAGAACGCTGACAAGATTTGCGTGATTTCTTTCCTTTCCAAACACCAGGAACAGTATCCCAGTTAATATCATCGCCACTTAGAGCTGCACTTTCTAGAATCATGTCAATACGTTGTTTACGCCGGTATCTCCCACGTACCTAAAGAAATATATTAACAAAACAGAAACATTACATGTTGAGCAACTTCATCAATTTTCCTTTTCAGCGTTCTGTTGAATTCGTTATTTTCAAGTAGGAGATCTTCCGGAACTTCCCGATCCCACTTGCATTTCCAACCATGGAAATGAACGATATAATGAACAGTGTTTGTATTTTCCTGCGGAACTTGATCTATTATCTAAACAGGCATGGTATATTTAAGTCAGTATTACCTTAGCAAAGTAAATCAACTTGGCCTTGGTATTGTCAGGTTCGAAACACAGGAGCTTTTGGCCAATATCATAACGATGAGGACGATTATGCATGATATTATTGGTCTGGTATAGAAACCAATTTTAGAGTGGCTGCAAAAGAAAGAAATAATTTCATAAATTATATAAAGGTGAATGATCACTGAAAAAACTTCCAAAATGACTGGTTTACACAGTACTAACCGATATGGATTTACATAACTCCGACTACTTTCATGTAGAATGTCAGATCCATGTTTTGGATTTTTAAATAGACATTAGTAAATAATATTCATAAAACTACTGGCTACGAATAATTGGTTAAATGATATTCATATTTATTGCTGATAATGTGTTACTAGGAAAATCTGCAACACAACATGCCCTGAGGCTCAGGATCGGTAGCATAGACTGACCCTATTGTGATACCATTTGTTTGACGTTACTCTGCTCACTTAGTACCTTTATATTCTGGTTCTAATCATAATTGGTTGGCCAGTCGAGAGTAACCAATTTCATGTTGTCTGGTCCTGAGTGCTCACTGAGTTTCGTCAATTATTTTTGCAATGTGGCCACTAAACTAGGAGACTCACCATCGCCGTGCACTTTAATAGATGTTAGTCAGTTGAAAGTAATCAGCAGGAAGCCCTGGAACTAGGTGTTGAGCATGTTGGCACTCGTCAGAAAGACATATATGCAACCTTGAGGGAAATAGTGTCCCGCTCGAGATCCGTACCTGTGTCACCCAGCGCTGAAGTCAGAGACGTTACCAGAGCCATTAGGGCCGCGATCAACCTCCTGTAGGACTGGATTACGTAAAGCGATCGGTGGCTGCTCTTAACTATCATGCACTTTATACAGCTAACATTTTGCGATCATTTCGTTAGGCACTTGGCTTTCAATCAGTAAGTTAAGGTCCGAATGCCACAATACCTATCGGAGTTTCAACAGTCAGGTAGTACGCTGAGCCCCAAAAAAATGTAACTTATGTTCTAGTGCATTGATATCGATAAGATTGCTGAGTTTTATTACTATCATCATTAAAAGGATTATGCACATCGAGCTAAAAAAGCTATTATTCCTAGGTTACTTCAATTCTGGTCTGAACTACATGTTGGGGCTATGTAGACTGCCTGTTTGGGGTCCCCTGAGACAAAAGGAATCAGTGGTTGGGCAGTTTTTGTGATGGCGCAGCTGCATTCACTCCTTGACATCTTCCAAAGCTTGAATATTCACGTTCAGATTGTTTATTCTCTCGTAATGCTTCATCTTCTTTGATATCACTTTTTCATCTGGGCCACTGACAATGAGTCATATCACCTAGATCCTTCAACAGCTAGTTTATGTTCACACATGGACATAACCGGCTAGTCTGCATCTCCCTACATGCTTTGGACCAACGGACTATAACATAATGCAATGGTGCCATGTTTTGGTTTGGTCGCCCACGAGCCTTTTGCAGACTAAACCTACTTCACCTAACATTGTGCGATGATACAGTCGGTGACTACGCATGCGTAACACATCCCAGCCACCTCAGATGATGAAATTTCTTAACCTTACTAACTGACTTTCCTTTTCTTAAAACTACGCCTGACTGCATCTCTGACGCGGTGACACCACAACACATGGCCTATGCTACGTAGACAATGGTGGTCAAACACTGGGAGCCTTCGCATATCTTTTACCTTTAATGGCCATGTTTCACAGCTGTACAACAGAGCAGAGCGAACGGAGGTACAGTATAATCGACCCTTAATATGAAATCAGATGTTACAGAGGCTTCAAAATGGCGTCAGTTGGCGAAAACTGGAGAACCTTTTGCATTGGTGCCGGGAATTCGTCAGCTACTGCCCCACTAGGGCCGACCCAACTTCTTAAGCAAGTAAAGCGGTCAACGGGCCCAACTATTTCACTCCGTATTCTTAGACATTATGACGGAAGGCAAGAAACGGATCCCAAAAATTTACAGATTGCTGTTTAAGGTGCCCTGAAGACTACATTCTGACAGGGTCTTTATCTACCAGTGGTATGTCGTCTGCGTATTCTAGACACACTAAGGATTCTCCTGTGATAAGATCAACCCCTGAGTAGTCAGACTGGTGGGAGACCTCTATAATTAAGTTGGATAGGCATTAAGAAAGTGGAGATCCTTGAGGCATACCACTAGATTTACGAACTCATCTGATAACTCACCATAGGCTCTGATACGCCTGTGGCTGTTCGAGTACAGAGCCTTAGACAGCGTACTTACTCGTTACTTCTTTCAGTTAGAGACACTGTCATAAGATCTCTTAATCGACGGAGTTGAATGACACCCTCGGATTGATAAATACAGCTAGCGTTGGAAGTCGGTAAGTGTGACTGTATTTCAGAACCCGACAGAGAGTGAATGTCTGGTCGACACAGCTACGATCAGGTCTTAAACCTAAATGACTTTCTCAAGTTTTCTGTCCGGAAACTCCACTTAAATGTCGAGTGATAATTGAACCTAGGATCTTAAACACAATGTTCATCAGGCTTACTTCTCTGTGGTTATCACAAGAAGACTTCTCACCTTTCTTTACAACTGGGATAATCAGTGATTGAGACCAGTTAGAAGGGATCATATTTGACTCCCACATACTAATTAACAATTTATTTAATTTGACCGGTAACTCTCTGTCGTCGTCGTTAAATACCTACGATACTAGTCTGTCCAGCTCTTCCTCGTTTCGGATTTCATACAGCTTTCTCAACTTTTGAAAGTGATGGGGGTTCATATCTTTATGTTTCATTCAGAATCCGACTGGATAGTGGACAACGGAATAGTAGCTGGAGGTCACCTGAACTGTTTCTTGAAGTGTTTCATCGTTCCAGTAGTATGCCCTGTGAGTGAATAAGAGACCCATCAATTCGCAGGGGTTATTGTATATCTGATTTTCATGGAAACTATGATGTTCTATGGGTAATTTTTCTGATAAATATGTCCCATGATGCCAGAATAGCAGCTTATTTACTCATTCAATCATAGTTAATAGTATCCCGTAACTTGACAAGTGAAATAGCACTGTGGGGACTTTAAGAAATCCCAATACACAACAATATCTATTTCCCGTCTTTGTTTACATAACCGTCAAATTTAGCCTAAAAGAACTGACACATGAAGTTTACTGAAGTCCATTCAACCCATAAAAACTAAAAACTACAGGCTTAGTTAATGTATTAGTTGAGTTTAATGAACAGGAGACACAGTTGAAGATGCTTCTTGTTTGCTAATTTTCTTCAAGGAAATTCTTAAGCTCAGATGAACTGCAGGTCCAAATATACTTGTGTGCAACATAAAAAGATTCCTCCAAAACAACATGATCAAGTATGAGGAGCATTTAAGGAAGAAATAGTATAACGAAGAAGCATTACGAAGATTAGGATCCCTAGGTTGGGAAAACCATGATGACGGCTAAAAGATTAAGAAACAGTAGTGTGTGTCAAACTAATGCTGAGGAAAGAACGTACTCCGGCTGGTTCAGAGTACAGAGAATAGAGAGAAATTTACACGTACGCTGACACAACTTATGCAACTTTAATTAACAATGGTAAATGGTCAAAGTCGACGATATAGTGAAGGCAGTGATGACAGGTAGTAGTAAGTGGCTTTTTAGACTTATTATAGCAATCATTATGAAAGGCAACTCAAGAACTTCAATAACGAAGACTGAAGGCTGGGACGTCATCTGATATATTATGAATTATGGGAATGCGATGGCACTTATCCTGAAAAAGATTAGCATTACTTCCAGTTTGATGTAGGAACGGAGTTAAGGATTCTAACTGACTCAAAAAGGAGTTGGAAACAGTCAGCGCATCTGGGGCCTTTTCTGAAATTATGGATGCATCCAAAAGCATTGTTGCACAGTTTGAACACAATAAGGAGTGGAAGTAACTTAAATAAAGGCTGAAAGAGTCCACTGACTGATGGAAAACGCAGTAAATATGGGTAACAGTAAAACATCAGACCGGATTTATGCGGAGGGCTATCAGCTACAGAGGGAGCACTAAACAGCTTTGGAATGGAAAGATCTGTCGTGAGCGCATCATTTTGGCGAGCAAGGCTAGTCATGGAAACTAACAAGGCTGCAGTACTCCTCAATAATCTTTTACATATAAATACCTGATAATACCGGCCGCAGCCATTTATTTCTCATCGAGTGAAATAATTTTGCCAAATAGTTGTTTCTTGTGTGGTAAACAGTATGGCTGCGCACTTTCATTTGTTTATTTACTGGTTTCGACCGTGTTCCTGGGGCCAACCCTCTTTCCCTGATCCTAAATCAAATTTCTGTCAACTGATTCTCATTTTTTTATGCTGTGGCAAGGTGCGATAAATTGAACAAATACAATTAGATGTAAGGATTTCCTTTGATTTTCTCAAATCTGCAATGGTAACTCAGAAACATGACGGAGTAACAGGGGTCCAAAATATTAGAAGAATACAAAAATAACAACATATTAGCTGAGTAATTTGCAAACCTTAACGACACACCGGTGTGTCAACTGCAGGCATGCTTAGTGGTTATCAGAACTAAGTTTGGCCAGCGAATCCACAACCACATGAATTATTATCAGTTATGTCCAAATTACTGGGAGTGAGTCAAGTACTCAGAGGGATAAAAATGCGGTAAATATATTAGAGACATCTCAGGTCTCACAAAATTATAACAACCTAATTAAGTTACAAGCAAGCAACGGCAGCTTTAAAACTCGCGGCTAGGAATCCAATGTACAATCATGTTTTGATCAACACGTTTTGAAGAAAATATACGTTGTCCATAGTAATAAACCCCAATAAATAGCGTGACGTTACGAATGGCTGAGGATAGGGAAGGAAGACGGGAGATTTATAGTTGCGCTGATTGAAATTGAGGTAATGATATTAATTTTAGTGTGGTGATTTGAGAGGTAAGACGTCCGATAGGAAAGCATACGATTTGGTCGAGTTTGTGATGGTAGTAGCAGTTCGAGAGGATCAACTTGAAGTCACCTGGGCTTGAATGCTGCGAAATCAGCTGATTGTTTTGAACTAACCAGTTTGGATGAGAACAGCCGTGCAGCCATCCAGACTTTTCTTGAAGCTCTCGGTAGATGGAGCGGTTGCGACCGCGGTGGGTAATGAGTTCTTGTGGTCCTAAACTTGAATACTGGAAAAGTATGAATGCACATGAGGTATGGCTGGTGAACGATAGATTCCTTTCGGGTTAATGCGAGGATTGCCTAGTTGATTGTTTGTAAAATTCTACTGTTCATGTGATTTGGATTTCTTGGCATTTTGTGGGCCGTTACCAGTCGTCACACAACTTATAACAGCCAAGGTGGCTCAGGTTAACGTCCCCTAGCGTCTCTTCGCAGCGTTTTTGCCGCGCTCCTGTGGCGTCCTTCGTGGCTTGTTTTTAAGCCTACTTCAGGTGGTTCGCATCTCCTTTAACTTGTGATGCAGTGGAGTTTTGAACTTCTGATTGAGGTTATATATAAGTCTTGTGTGACTTCAGAAGGAATTTCGAGGAGAAGCCATCTATCTGGCAGCGTATAGTGTCGCTCTGTGTAGGCTTCGGAGACTTCTCCTGAACAACTGGAACTGGTGTCTGATTTCTTTTTTAGTAATAGTCCAATGCCTTTCTTAATGATCACGTGGGAAACCTGCGCATCACAGAGAGAGGAGGATTCTTTCTGTGAGTCAGGAGTCCATCCAGCATATATCCAGGCTAAACGCCCTCCCAACAACATATACCAGAATGAGATATCAATAGGAAGCAAACGCTTGTTGATAAGCGAGCTGTCCCGCCTAATAGAATTAGATGTCTTAGATCCACTTATTATGCTACCAATACAAACCAATGGGTTGCCTCATTTCACTTGTAACGCAAACTACACATCACCTATTACCACACTATGTGAAGACGCATGTAACGGGACATGTATAACTGACATCATGGGTAAGTTCATCAGTCATAGAAATCTATTGACATTGCTGCTCATCAACGCACGTCGCCTACGTAAGAAAATGACTGCCCTTAGAACAACGGTTCTAATTACCATACCGACAACACTACTTATAACTGAATCGTGGTGTCCATCTGGCAACCTGGATGTAGATTTATACATAAATAGATACACTCTGTTGCACTAACCGAGGTCAAAGGCATGGCGGTAGCTGTTTCATTCAAGTGTGTAACCACGTTACAGCAAATAAGTCTGAAGACAACATACTAAATGTGATACCTGGCTCACTGTGGGTCACCTTACACGGCGATCAATACGAAATGCTTGTGGGTTCCGTAAGTCACACACCATGTCAAGAGCGGAAATGGATGCACTTCTAGCTAAATCGTTTGCACGTGTTTCCTCATACAGTGTAATTTTCAAATTGATCGCTGGTGACTTCGATCTCCCCGTAGTCAACTGAATAGCTGGTTGTGGTCCACAGCGCTTCGATGAGACACTTGATGTGATAGGTATCTACGGCTGGAAGCGATATGCCCACGCACCTACTAGTAGTGGGATGTTGGACTTAGTATTTTGTCGTGACATCGCCCCACTAACTACTTACGTCAGTTGCAAATTTTCACATGGTGATCACAGAATGGTATCCGGTCGCTTACCCATCCTAACACTAAATACGTGTAGCGAGCGAGCTTCACGGACTGCTGAATATCGTAGCTATAGAGATACGGGTTATAAACTGCTCACAGAGCTTCTTGGGTTCTCCACTCGTGGCGACTATTTTACTACTAACTCACTGACTACCACAGTATCCCCTTCTAATTGGGACGTCACGTCACGTCTGGATGCTGTTGCTCCTGTGAAAACAGTGAACCGCTCAGAATACATTCCTTCCGCATACCGCAAAAAGCTCAGGTGGCTGTGGAATCTGTACCACTCCACTAAAGATGTCCCCTGGCTGCATGCAATTCATGATACCCTGGAGTCAGTCAAAGGCCTACGTACACAAAAAGCCCAAAATGAGGAGTTAGGAACCTTTTGAACCAGCTCCAAGATATAAGGTTTAACATCACTTCTGAAAAAACGCCTTCAAACAGTGCTTGTTCCATAACTAGGTGGTCTGCAACAACACAGTCACGGTTTGTTAACCATTTGGCAATCAGGTTCAGAAGTTCGGTTGAGAAACATGAATTTCTTGGGGATATCATACAACTCTTCATCGGCCATCTCTTGACTGTGGTATTCACTAGCAAAACCACAGCTAAAGCCATCAGAAGCCTAAGACCTACAAAAGGAATGGGAATAGGCGGTCTCGATTCAATACCCCTAAGGAACAGTCGATGGGATATCCCCCTGATTCTGCTTAAACTGTTCACTCTCTCGATGGAAATTGGAACGTATCCTACTGAATGAAAAACTAGCCTTGTTATTCTGCACTAAGAATCTGGAGTTAAGATTAGTGTCAGCAACTACAGATAGATCAGTATAACTGTGGTCCCTCGGCGAATCATGGAGAAAGCTGTGAAAGACTGTGTTCGAACACTTACTTGCAGGGGATTTTATAACGAAGTCTCATCATGCGCTCCTGAAAAGTAAATCATGCATTACTTGTCATTTCAACTTCTTCAACGTCATCACAGTAGTTGCGAGGCACGCAAAATAGTCCACCTTCTGTATTTCGATATATCGAAGGCATTTAACGTGGTTTCACAGTATGTACTATTCGGAAGGTTACGTGCAACAGGTATCAACGGCTCTCTACCGAGCCGGCTCTAAATCGCATTCGTCAGTGTGCACCAAGCCATCAAAACCTTATGACGAAGGCACACACCCCAAGGTCATGACTGCACTGCCTGCCCCACCTTCAAGAATATTGGAAGACTTAAGCAATAGTCGGATAATTCCCGATTTCGAACTGAGCCTGCTTCAGCATACCTTTTATATGCCACGAACAACGATATCTAATGCATAGTTTAACATTGTACATGATAGTCATTTCTCATTACCATAATGATTCAACCCGTAAACTGGTTTGTATTCATGTAACCTATGTTGTATAAAATGTGTGTATATATATCATATTATTATATTATATTTCTCAGTAATGGCAATCAAATAACTGAAATCAACTCAATTTTACCCACTCCGAGATACATCGCAAGTGGAGTTGTGTAAGACAGCGTTCTCGGACATCTTCTGTTCACTGTGTACGTTAACAGCGTTTGCAGTCACTTTGCCACAGACGAATTAAAATCCGTTTACTCTTGTTATAGCCATGGACCAAGTGGCACTATGACTGCTATTCAACATGAACTAAAAAGGTTTCTTCTTGGTGTACTGATACCCTTCAACAGTTCACCATCAACAAACGCGGATGGATCTGCATTGGTAACAGTAGCCTTGACTTGAAATTTGAAGTGTCTGGATAACAGCTACCGAAAGTCAGTTCTGTCTTGGACCTAAGTTGTAGATATTTCAGTAACTTGATTTTCCCCGAACAAGCAGTGTATAGCAAACCTAAGTCATGTAGACTCCTAGGATGTATCATTCGTGACTTTTATAGTACTGAATCAAGGGTTCTGCTCTACAAAGTATGCATGTGTTCAACTCTAGCATGCTTCTTGTTTGTTATAAATGGCCTCCTCATAAGCGAGAAACTAAAGGTCGAGGGGGTACAACACCACTTTACACTAAGAATACTGGGAGCTTAAGGCAGTCTAGACTACGTCTCCAAATGTAACATGCTGGGACTAGAACCTCTCTGAAAGAGGGGGCTTAAAAAGAATCCTATATCTTGTTATAAGTTGCCCTGTAAGCACGTGCGCTTGCACGGCATGGAAATTAAAATGGTTGCAATGTCGTAATGTGGACCAGATTGGTTCTACGATGGATTCTACCGCAAATTATCAACTCCTTACACCCATGCAGAACCAAACACATCTAAGAACATATGGATTTCGAGTAGAGACGTAGTTCAACCTCTGGCTGCCAAAATTTTCCACCGAGTACATACGTTAAAGCCCCTTGTTTTCCCCTTCTTTTAGTCATTTAGCTATGTCTCCCAAGAGTGCCACGCACTGTCGCACAGTTCTAAAACGTTTTCAACCAATCAGTTTTCGATTGGGCAACGACACGAAGGGAAAATGTCAAGTTTGATGGAGATGGACATTTCGTTGTGCAAAAGTTTGTCACATTTCCACTCCCGGAACGTTTAGCTCGGATGGTGGATCCTTATGTTGGCCAAACGAACCGTTACCGCCAAACTTACGTCAGGTATTCTGTACATCTATTTTTGACTGGACGCTAATCCAACACTAGCTGAGTATTTCACCTCTATGCCCATAATAGTGCTATGGTTGACGTCATTCGGATACGGTAGTCATTCTGTTTAAATATATTGTTCCAGTAGTGAACTTTTCGAGAGTTCCAAACGGTATGAAACATGTTATTTAAGGCAAATAGATCACTATTATCACTTCAAGGTTGCTATTTACATTGTAATATATATATATATATATATCGAATTCGGTCGAGAATCTCAACTACGAGACTAATGCAAGATATGGCAACACAAGGCTAACGAAAATCTCAGTATACATGAATGGGTTGATTAGCGGAGGTAAGGCAAACAAATGTCCGTAATGTCTGACTACGCCGTTGGGGGAAAAACTGCAAGTACGAGGTTTTTTAATTAGACTCGTAGAACGGTCTATACGAGTCGTTTGGGCAGAAGTATAGGAGTCAAATGAATTACAAAACTCCTAGACCGTAGTGACCCGTTTCAAATTTGAGCCTTTCGGAGCCAGTAAAATTCTGAAAGGCTTCTAGCCAATAGAAGTCTGCACAAGTGGGGGTTCTGGCCCAGTGTGTGTGCCTTATTTCCGAAATTGTTGCCCATTTAATAATAAGGATAATGATATGTATTTCATGTAACGCAGGTTACACGAATGCAAACCAGTTCACAGTTGTCACTTTTTTAAAGGTAGACCGCTACCAAATAATGAACACACCGCATCCATCCTGAAGGACCAAGAATATGAAAGACAAATCTCTTACCAAACTGCGAACCATGAATATTTGTTTTTGTTGTGAGAGTTAGAAATGCCTACTCAAATGATCACTTCGTGAGCATCCACCAAGATTCAACTTTTTCTGACTTAGCATGTGGTCCTCCGTCCCCTTTGTTTCTTTCCTACTATCTTGTTGGCCGCCTGTATAGCTCAGCAAACAACTTGGGGGTTATGGTAGCCTATCCACAGTTGACTATTCGGTTCTTTCGCGACATTTCCGTAAGAACTGTGAAGCGTTTATTAAGCAAGTGGGATTATAATTCAGAAAAATGATCGCAGCGGAATGGAAACCGAAGACAAAATAGACCAAGCCATCACCGTCAAAAGTATGATGGGTTGAAATCGACCCTATTTAGGCAGGTTTAATGTAGGGAAAAATTGTTTTTAAATACATACAGGAGGTTTGAATCTGTGGGTAGCAATTGCTTCAGTAAACGTAAATATTCGCCCCTGACCATATCTGCTCGGTGCAGTTGGCTGCATATCAACCTGGTGATTAGTTTCTGTCATGCGAGTGACGACATGGGGAATACTTTCGTCGCCTACACCTATCACGCTATTAGAGGTAATTTGTTTCTTCAGCCATTTAGACACATGTTCAACGATTCTTAACCACACGTCACGATCGTACCTTAATATGCACGTATGTGTACACGACTGTGTACGCTTATTGATTTTTCTATGGAGGGCTTCGGACTTTGCCTACACATAGATGGAAACTTAGACGGAAAGGGATCTCCCTTCGTGTCAATGTTAATCAGCTGGAGCTGCTTCCTTCCAACTTTTTTGATCCTCATTAACAGCTGGTGTGCATCGGGAGCCCCCTACCCCGCCTAGTTTTGACGATTCAAAAGTGAATTTCCGACCAACGTTACTCGGTGTAACTTCTGTGTGCAGATGACCTTGAAATCCAGGAAAGTAATCATACACGTCAAAACCGATTTCATCTTACCCGAACTGAAGGCGTTTCCCAGAGTACTGTGTGACAGAGAACAAGAAATGGTGTTAACCATCTCTTGAAGGAATTATTTGTAGACTAACAACGTCACAACCATATTTGTAATTTCATACGTGGAAATAAAGTACCTCAGTAAGGTTATTGAGCACTTCATCAATCACAGAATTAAAAACATACTCTGCAAAATTCATGTGAGCTTGTCATGACCAGATTGTGAAAAGTGCAGAAAATTTCATTAGTTTTTTTACCAAACATTCGGTAGTCTTCTATGAAAAGGCCATAAATACCTGCCTGGAAAGATATGCAGAAGAAGTCTATGCAGGAAAATATCTTTTCTTCTCCGAACTTGATGCATTGAAAGTTTTGGAGGATATTATCCTTCATTTAAAAGAGAAAAGAACAGTTTTCAACTCTCCAAACGACGTTGCACTAAATCCTTTCGTGGACTAAGGTTCAAATCGTACGAGGAGCACATGGCAACACTGAATCTATATCCTTCGGAATATGCATGAACGAAAGACTACCTGTTAATGAACCAGAACATATTAAGTGCTTCAGGTCATTAGCCTGATCGTTTGCTAAAGTTGCTTCTAATAACAAACTTGAAAAGCTCCCCCAATAGTATTTGTCTAAAATAAATCCTCAGAGTCTTCATAGCGAAAACTTGATTTCCACTTTATATCACAACGTGACCTTACAGACCGTTGTAAATAACCTAGTCATTTCATATATATTTTTCGTCTTCATTTTCTGGACTGTCAGATACAAGAAATAGTATTCCACTGTTTCTAGATGGGGAAGATAGATAAGTGAGGGCTGCTTCCAGTCACAACCATACGAAACCATTTGAAAAATAATCCTGCTTTCTCTTCACGTATCTCAGGATCAAAAAAAGAACTACAACATTATTTATTTTCAAGGCATTCTCTGATGCAGCAGATGTCGAACTAACAGAATATGTAGTTCACCGCATCTACTTCACATAGTTTGAAGTCAGTTAATTGACCTTGAGGCTTACTAAAAGCATGTATGTAAATAGCGCGTCGTTTGTCGTGGTTCTATTATAACGTCCTCGTACTGTTTGTTATTTATTATTCAGAGTATGTATATCGTTTGTCCTTACCAAGTACCTTTTCCCTTATTTTTTCCTTCTCAAATTCTCACCACTTAACCTACATGCCGTCCTGCACTGGCGTAGCAGCTACCTACAGACCAAAGGAAACCCTAGCAACAGTTGGCGCTTACATCTGTGTCACAATTATTTGCCCCTTAAGGTAAATTTTTAGTTCCGGCAGTGTTTCAAGTCGATATTTGTATCATTTGACGTTTGCACACTTGTACTAGCCTCTATTTCTGTGTGCAATGGACACAACTGATGGATCATGCTGATTAGCTTAACGTAGCAGGGAAAAGCTTATAATTTTGTTCAACTGACAAGCTGATTCTATTCACATGTGATACTAATCACTCTCTTGCTCTGGAACGTATGCTTACCATAAAAGAATCTTACAAGGTCTATAACACTAACTGAGTAATACGGTGAAATTTTACCACAGTCCTGAAGATTGAAGCACATTCTAGTGTAAACTTAACATTTTTTTGCCGAAAAATTCCGAAATACGCCGAAACTGTTTGCCATATGAATTCACAGAAATGTTTTTATTTTATCGGTTACAAAGGAACATATTTGATCACCATCATAACGTACGTCCTCAGTACATTATCATCTGACAATCTTAGAGATGCGGTAGCCCCCAGCGTAATCGATTATCTCCTACTAGAGCGGGGGAGTTCGTGAGCTATATCAACCCTGTGACATTATCAATAACTATCTAAGGAAGCCAGTTTAACACTTTACCACCTCACTACTGTTTTCTTAACTATGACTGCTTGTTTTGAATTATCCATTATACTTTGTAGCTCCCATTTCGTCCACTGATAGTCTCCAGGAACACGTCATGTATATTATTCTACTTTTGCTTCACCATTCCACTTCAGACACCTTTGCAGATATGCGTTGCAACAGAACACCTTATTTTCTCACCAGTCCATTGGTTTGTAACGGACTCAATCTACAAATGAAACCCATAGAAACATTTGGCTTATGAAAAGTAGAATCAAGAGAGCAAACGAGACTTCTTTATTCACTGAAGAAATAAAGGCGAAAAACGACATCAATATCCATGCTCCGAGTTCCTACACTGCCACCACTGATGTTGGATAAGCTTCAGATGCGACAAATAGTACCAATACCTCTTTAACACTTCCAGCCTCTCATATACTACATTTGTGTCGTATAAAAACGGTGTCATGTATGCAGTACGTATCGCTACCTATCTCATTTGTGCACATAAAACCCTTTAAATTCCTTCATCTGCTTCTACTTTACAAATGGTTTACCGTTTTAGTGTTTGTTAGTTTAGTTTTTTACTCAATCTCTTTTGAAGCGCTCTGGTTTGTGTTTCTATTATCTTTATGGACTCAGTAGACAGGTTTTTTGTATTTACCGTAAAATCTACAAATTATTCTAAGTATGTATGCAGAAAATGTAGATATGTATGAGTTTTATAATCCTGTATTTTTTTTTAGGTGTACAGTTTCATCGTTCTTGGCAAATGAGTTATGTATGCCGAGTGAGTTGTTCTGTATTCAAGTAAGGGAATGTATGAATATGGTTTAATGTGTTGTTAGTCTTACCGTGCAATATGACTGTGACTTTATTTACACCTAGGAGGTTTTTTTATTTTGAAACGAAATGCTGTATGTCAGAAGACTTTCTGAAAACGTGACATAAATTTATTTTAAGCATACCTCAGGTATGCCAAAAGCAAAGGCAACTTTAAGGTCCACTTCGGGTTTTGAGTGTTGGTTTTCAAAAATTCTAGAGAAGCCACTCCAGAAGGTTTTTTAATGTGGTCTTATTTTTCCCTAAAATCGATTCATGTATGCTTTTTCTAATATCATATAGAGGCCTGGAATATTTTGGTTCGATGCACTAACATATTGGTCAGCCATAGTCTCCAGTCTTCAAGAATCTAACATTGAAGTTCAGCACAAATCGTTGACTGCTTTTCATGCACAACTTGACAGAGTTTTTTCTGATCAAGGACTTCAACTCTTAGCTATGTGATAAAGAAAAGGAACGCTGCTTCGGCTTCTATCATTGTCTTATGAACTTTTGTTGCTCGCAGGGACAGTCTGCTCCAATAACAACTGTATCTTTCTTAAAAAGTTCGACTGACAAAGTGAAATTACTATTTCGTCCTGTGATAAATAGGTAGAAGAAAGGAGGAGGAGGAAATTCAGTGATGCAGTCCAATTTTAACGCATACCATTTCACTAATTCAAAATAGATTGATCTAATTTATAAGCATAAGGTGGTCACCCGAGCTCATTAGTAAAGAAAAACTTATGAACATGGGGAATGTCAAAATTACCAGTAAGTTATCATGGGAGAACTTATAAGGCTTTTAAAAATATAGATGAGTAACTTCATGACTCATTTATTTGAATTGAATGGATACAAGCTTTTGTTACAGGACTATTATTTGTATGCACCGCGCTGTCTCATTAGTTAAACTATGTAGTGGGGAGGGGGGGGAATCTTTTTAAAGAGGAATTTTGCACTAATACACTTATATGTTATGAAGATGCGCCGACAAAAATATGGTTTGAATCATTTCTGACTAACTGCTAGTGCATGAGGTATTCTCTTTGGATACTGATTTTTATGTTTAACGACAAATAAGGTTACATTCCTCATGACAAAGACTAGAAAAAAAAGGGCCAAATGACAATCAGAGAGGGAGTTTTGATGCAAAGTGTGCATTGGTACTCAATAGTTCTGAACTATCTTGACTTAAGGCTCTTCATATATGCCACAACCCAGGTTCTTAACTTTCAAGCTGTTGGATATTATTTCCATCTTCAAACATAGTTTAAGAGATATAGAGTTACTTATCTCACACTATTTGAGGATGCACTTCTTAGATATGATAGTTTCTTCTGAGTTATTTCCGTATCTATGGCGGAATAGCCGTCTACATAACACTGTTTTGTGAGGTAGGGTTTTCAAATCTAGGGTTAACCGTTGTCAGTTACGTATGGAAGTGAATAGGTCAACTGAATTCTCCGATTTAGAGATTCTAGGCTATCGACAACGAATCAGTATTTAGATGAACCACTCGACGCATAAGTCACTTTCTAGGTTTGATTTTTCTCCACATACTACTGGAAGTGATACAGCGTCATCATGCAGTATGCCTAAGAGATCGGAATGTTACTTAATTATTGTCGCAATGTTTTACTTAAAAATTTTCATGAAAGATTATATGAAGGAAATAATATCACCCATATCATCCTGGAAGTTGAAAAGATTTTGTTATCCTTTGTAGCGCATAGAAGATGAAACATAGCTAGCAATGGTTTGTATTACGTTCAAAACTTCTATTTATTTTTCAGTATCTTTACTAAGCATTGATCATTCTTGTTTTTGTGTTATACGTTCATGAAGAATAAGTTGAACTCGGGATATCATTCAGTATGTGTGTTACTGTATCACCGTCTCCAATATTAAACGGATTTATATAGAACTAGTTTGTTTATTTCCCAAAATCCCGAGTTGTTTTTGACTTTTTTAAGTTGATCTGTTACTCTCAAAGTTATCCTCCTGAAAGAGTTTTTTTATAGCAATAAAAATTTCCAAGCACACCGGGGATACTGCAAACAGACACGTAAGTAATTCAGAAAATGGTGAAATTCGAACCATTCAGTAGTTACAACATAGTTGTCTAAGTTGAAGTGAAAATAGCCTTCAAAACTGTATTATCATCTGTCTAGTTATCGACATTATAGTGAATGTGTATACTTTGTCAGCTTATCTTTTATCTTTTTCGTTCCAGTTTTTCATCCGTTCTGGGTGAATTCCTGGAACTCATCGCTGAAAAGGACCATTCTGCAGACTATATTTAAAATTTTATTTGATTGAAGCAGCTTTAAGTCATATCATGAAACGGATGTATGCAGTAGGTACGTCTCAACACATTCTATTTGTTTACTAATGTTTTCACTTAGCTGCACTGAAAAAAGTTAAAAAGAATGTCCGGAAACACTTTAATGACCAAGAAGCTCCTGAAATTCACAAAGTTCTATCAAAAAAGTTGTTCAGAAGTTTGGTTGAGGTAATTTTAAAATTTTGCTACCCTCATCTTAGTCAATACTGTTGATTTTCACCAGTGTTATTTTTTGAATATTTCTCCTATTATACGTTTGGATTAGGGGAGATGGGGAAAAATTGGCGAAGACCACTCTAATTTGTGCAGTCACCGCTTTATTAATATTCTAATGTTACAGTCAGGATTGTTGCAAAGATTCATTGTAATTTGATGTGGTGAACTGATTCAAACTTAGTCATGTTGTATGGTTTGACTGTTTTGAACTAAACCGATACATGATCCCAATGTATTGAGTATTCTGAAGGAAACTGAAATATAACGTATCATCTTACACATGTTCCTCACTTGTTATCTCTTTCTCTGGATGGTCACTTAGGTTACCCTACTTGACTACTGTATGACTGAAAATGTCCATTTCTTCGATCAGTAGTGGATAAATGATTGTAGTCCCTGTCCGTATGCTGTGTCTTCACAGTTTGGAACTCTTATCACATCATTTACTATGATCAGTATACCAGTAGGTTTAGTCGTCTTACCATGTAGATATGCATTTTACTCTACAGATTTAAAAGTGTACAGTCTACTACTACGTCACTTTATATTCCATTTGCCTGTAAATTTAGCATATATTCTTAATTGAACGTGTTTCTAGACAAATGATTATTTCATATAAATAGGGATATCAAGTGTTTCCCAGTGTTTTCACTTACAACTAATTTTAACATTATTCTGGATGAATATGAGCAAGTGAGTGATAACAGGTGAAAAAGTATGATGAAATCAGGACTCATGAGAACTAGTATAAAATCAACTCTTACATAGTGACAATATTGAGTGACTCCAATATGGATTTCCTTATTTCATGACAACATGAACCAACACTATCTGTGTCTTTATACTCCTGCATTTCATGCAATTAATCATCTAAATTTTGTTGGAAAGTATTGAAATAAACCTTTCAGTTGGTTTTCCACTGAATCTAATTTCCATGATTACTCATTGACGTTATTATTTTGCTACTTGGTAAATATAAAATCGTACTATGGAAAATCATTCTTAACCTTATGATAAAACTGAAATCCTGATAATAATCAGGAAGTTACCACATAATCTCTTTACAAAATTCCAGATGAGAATCAATATAAACCAGTACTTCTAAGTGTCCTAGTGCTTTTTCGTACCTTAACGATCAAAAATATGCTAATATGAAGTGAAAACTCATCCTGTCTACTGTAGCACTTTGCACACATATGCTAGGTATTCAATGAAGAAGTGAAGTTCTTTTCGCCACTGCAGATAATTATCAACCAAATGTTTTAATTCAAGGTTTACTTTAATAGGTATATCACTAGTATTCCTAGTAAAAGTTCTAGTTTAGGTATCTTTAAAGATAATACTTTTCAGCAAACCCGCCGACTGAATGATAAATCCTATTTTGTTGAATTAGAAAAAAAACTATGTTATTTGCGTATCAGTTAACAAATAGTGCAGGTACATCCAGATGATTAGTCCCAAATAGGATGAAACGCACGTCCTGGGTTCCTCTGCTAGCCACAACCAAGTAAATAACCATAATTAACATTGAGGCAATATCGAAACATCAGCATAGGAGCCCATATACCAATAAAGGTCGAACGATCCGATCCAATAAAACAGTGAAGAATTACAAGTATGTCAATAAATAGCAATAATTAGAATGAGTTCTACAAGGGAGAGATGTTAATTGGTTGGAGGCGATCGGCAGGAAGCCCTGGACCTGGATTTCGTGCTTGTTGACACTCGTCAGCTAGGTGTATCTGCGACTTCTATGGAACTGATGCCCTGCCTGTGATTCAAAGGCACGTTACGCAGTGTTGTAGTCAGCGACTTGACCACTGAGCTATTTTGGCCGCGACTGACCTCCTGCAGGACTGGAGGCGGATCATCAGCCCCGTTGGGGTTGCAGATACGCCTTGCTGACGAGTGCCAACAAGCACGAAACCTAAGTCAATCGTTTGAGTTAGAATCAGTTAGGAAGTATACATCTTTTCGAAGTTACAAAATCAGTCTGGTGATATGCAGCAATATTTTCAAAACACCGTTCCATGGAGTCGCGTCGACTATCTTGAAAAAAGGCAAATAAAAAATTGCAATGTACTACACTGTTGACTGCATCGCTTCATAGATTGAATTCGTCTGTCACAACAGTCTGAATGAACAGATTTATCACGACTGACCTACTTTAAGTGAGTTATTTACAATTACGTTTGATGGTTCCAGTATGGACGTCAATAAATTTATAGATTTTGCATGAATTAAGTGGTTGACCAATTTGCAAATGACTTACAGACTGCATGTCCACTACGGACATTTCTCAAAGTTGCATGATTTTTACACTCACTAAATGTGATTTCGACAAGGTTTTCACTTCAAAGTCCAAGTACTTTGTGATTTGACCATCTAAGATAGCCGTAGTTTGGCAGACTAGTATTTATACTGGGTGATGATTGAAGGTGAGATGAAAACCTGAACCGTGGCCGGATTCGAACCAGCGACCACCGGGTTATCGGCCCGGTGCTCTACCAACTGAGCTACGAGGTCCGACTGCTGACCAGTTGGTAGAGCACTGGGCCGGTAACCCGGTGGTAGCTGGTTCGAATCCGGCCGCGGTCCAAATTTCCATCCCACCTTCAATCATCACCCAGTCCAAATACTTTGTAATAGATTTGGGTCTTTAATGCAAATGTCATTAAATAAAAATATGTACTACTGAACAATATGAGTCGATAAAAGGCAGTCAGCTCCTGTGTGAGCTGAGTTTGTTTGCGCACACTACTGATGACCTTGGCCTCGAACGAGCAAAGGGTGTATTCAGTGTTTCAGTAATTAAATCGCTTAACGAAGTCTGAAAGTTTGCTATCCGTCCAGTTATGTTCAGTAATACATTTCATGACCTAAATTACAAAGCTGTTTTTGCTTAGTTTAAAAAGTTATTTGTGAATCAATGATGACCACTGCTTTCTGTTTGTTATTTAGTGAAATATGTGCAACAAACAAACAAGTCTATTATATTAATTTGTTACAAGTCAATTCTTATTGGTTTCATTTCCTAATTTTTATGAATAGATATTCGATCTAATTTCCTATCCTTGTGAAGAAGTACCAGATGAAGATGCGAATTTGAATGCAATCATCAATGATTTACTCGAAGCACTTCATGATGGTCCACTAACGGTTGATCCTTTAGATGTAGAAGCGAACGAATTAGTACAGTTACTTAGTTCCCCAATATGGCGTGGTTTTGCCACTGCATACACTGAAGTGGCAACTAAACACTTTGATATGCCTGAATTACCTGAGATAGCATTCACTATGTCAGGTTTAGGGGGCACTTATACTACCATAGGAAGTTTAATGGCTAGCAGAATATCTAATATGCATGTATCTGCCAAGAGTTATGGAGATATGACAGTAAAAGATGATCGTAATGGGATTTTTAATGATCCTTATGCCTCAAGATCTGTTATTTATGGAATTAGTAGTGATAAAGGTTACACTGATGTAAAGAAAAACGAAGCTACACTTACTGGAGGTGGTGATGGACCAGCTTTACCGCCTGTTGATGGTGCAGTCAAAATGGTTGGAATTCAAAAAAATTATGGTGAAGATCTGGTAAGTTATGATTTTTATCATTTATCGTTATTTTGATTGATTTCTATATGCTTACTAACATAACTAAGGTGGCATATTTTGCTGACTATATTTTGGTACTGAATTTTAGAAGTTGATCGCCAGGAACCACTGAACACTCATTAGAAAGGCTTATCTACAATCATGAAGGAACTGGTGTTCTTTCTGTGATTCAGATCTGTGTCAATAAATATCTCTTCAGTTAAATTATTACCCGTGCTGTCAAATTAGTCGGCAGACTTCGTTGACTTCTGAGCACTAAGAACCGTACACGTACATCGGTTATAATCTGATAGCCGCAGCCAAACCAATCTGAAGTCAAATTCTGAGAGTTAATAAGAGGAAGGAGAATTTCTGATCATAAAATTATTGAAATAATTGATTTTTGAAATTGGAATCCGATGGGAACAATATAGATTTACTATAGTTTTTATGTGTGTTTCAGAACTTTTAAATCTAATTTATCTTATTCTTTTTGACATTACGTCTTGCTATAGTATATCCTGTCATCATAACTTAAAGCCTTATAAATTACGAGGAATAAAACCTTTCATCAATCTAAAGATGAGATTCCAAAGAGAAAGACTAGAGAAAAATTTTGCTCCATGACCATAAAGTTTTGGATTTGATAGTTCAACTACAGTCGATTTTATCAATATAATGGTAGAATTTTACCTCTATGGTGAGGTATAATTCCTAATATGATCGATATTGTTTTGCATATACGATCTGTAATTACTTCATTTGTACTGTTCTACTTGAAGTGTAAGAAATGAAAAGACTGGGACACAGAAAGGAATGTTCATTACTGACACCTCGCACAGTAGTGATGAAATATTGTACAATTTTCACTAAGATAGTCATTTACACAATGTGCTTCATTTCCTCTTTTGCTCCTTGTCTCTTGCAATTCTCTGAGCAGAATCTTTACCCACTGCTGGTAATTGCTTATGATTTTTGCCGCCCTCTCGACATACACTACTTATACTGGGTTGACGATTAAAAGTGAAATGAGAATTTGGACTGCGGTCGGATTCGAACCAGTGATCACCGGTGGTCACTAGTCTGACAAACTATGGCTATCTCAGATAGTCAAATGATATACTACTGATATCCATTCTGATCATCAGCTCCCACTACAGAAGTAGTTGACAGATCAAACAAACGAATTCATATTTTATTGAATAAGTGAACTACTACTAATAACGTGAACAGCAGCTACTTTTCTTTATGTTCATTTTCAGCTGTCGATTTTTAAAATTCGCTTAGCACTTACACATTAGAATAGTATTTAAAAAATCTGTAGAAATGATATTGGCTCTGTAACTAAGGGTTGAAAGAAAGTCACAAGGTGATAAAGCTAGAAGGTTAGATCAAGGTCATCAAAAATTGTTTATAGGATTACAGTAAATAAACACAGAAACGAATAAACTGTCTTAGAGAGATTACGACCAAGGCAGAATTAGGGATTAAGTTTATCTGTTTTGAACACAAAGAGCAGGTTTGTAGTCGTAGTCGTCAGAGCTTCTGCTGTGTTGAGGTGGTGGATATGCATTCCCTTCGAAATTTTTGCCTTCACGCTATAAATGACTTTGAAAGAAGACTCTCATGAAGCACAGTGATAAGAAATAACCAAATGCTCCAGAATCTAGCTGTTGACGGCTTTTCACTGTCCTTTAGACAGCCATGCCAGATAGTGTTTAGAGATGCTTTTGGATAGAACACGCTTTGTGCAGTTTATGTAACCATCTTCACAACAGCAGGTGAGTTGATTAACAAATATGGGGATGGCCTGAAGTGGTAGTTTACCCTTTACATACCCTCCAATAAGTTATTGACTGGAGAAAACAATCCGAAGCTGAACAGGAAAGCGAGATCATCCCCCTTCTCTGTTGGTTTTTGGAACTAAAGAATTAAAATGAGTGGTTTGATTCCTTAAGCCTGATATACAGAAAATGTTATTCTTTTGTATAGATTAGTGAATTTTATCATCAGGAAATGTTTTTATGTCCTTTTTAGTTCCACTTAACCTTTGTTTCAATGTTTTATGACTTACAGTTTTTAAAACACTTTCAAAAGCTGTGCAATTGTTTTTATTACATTCAAAGAAGTTTTAATGAAACCAAACGGACAGGGGTAGCTTCTACTAGAAAAAGTCTGGCATCCTCAAAAATAATTATAACAATAGTACCAGTCTTAGTTGGATGGAGGGAAGCCCTATACCTTTACGAAACTGATGTCCCGCCTGAGTTTCGGACCCGCGCCACTCAGCGATGCAGCCAGAGATGTACCACTGAGCTGTTCGGACCCCTGCTGGCCTCCTGTAGGACTGGATTGGGCACATTGATTGGTCACTGGAGAGTAACAAACATGTTATCAAGTCCTAAGTGGTGATCGCATTCTATCGATCATTTTGCCTTGTGTGACCAGTAGGCTAGTTGACTCAAGATTAAGATGCACTTTGATAGATGCTAGTTAAATGGAGGCAATCAGAAGGAATCCATAGAACTAGGTTTCTTGCTTTTTGGCACTCTTCATCAAGGTGTATTTGCAAGGGAGAGGAAAATAAAGAGGGAAGGAGGCTTTGCCTAATAATTGTGAAAATGACATCGACAACTATAGAGTACAAGGCATTAAACAGTATATAGGAAAGTAGACATTTATTTGAAAATTTATGCTTTGGCCATGGTTAGGTTGATAAATATAAACGATGTTTACGTATAAAGGGATCAAGTTTTAAATTATAAACATCTGGCAGTTCAGTCTCGCCTAAAAAAGCCTTCAAGGGAAGAGTGAGGAACTTTGTAAGTCATTTGGAGTCAAGCATTAAATTAGCCTAAATACTGAGAGGCACAAGATGTTATTGAATGAAGCTACTGATATTCTTCCTTTGACTTAATATCAGGTTAACTCATTCATTAAAAGATGTGAAAGATCCAATGACAGTGAAAGAATCGAGTAGATAAGAATATTCCTCTATCAGGTGCATCGGTGAACACTGGAAAACTTTATGAGGCGCTTAATTTTTATCTTTTATGTTGACATTCTCTGTCACACTACTCTGATTTGTATATAAACTATATGCCATTTTTCTATATTTACTTTCACCTTATAATCAACCTTTAACTTATAAGCTTTTTATAGTAGAGTTTTGACTCATTGTTTTCGAATATTCGGCTACCAATCATTTCAGTCTATGCAATTGGTTAGTCTCGTAAGTCATTACGAATTCGTTGAAACTTTGCGATTCATTGACTTAAATACTCCATTTTCAAGTAATCTATTTTTATTTCGAGTCTTGTAACGACCAGCTGTTGATACGTTTTCGTCTAGTAGGTACGTTGCTAAGGAGAATGCTTAGAGAAGTGTGAGTTTAGGGGGTGACCATGAGAATCTGGAAGGGAATAGAGGAAGTATATAGGATGTACTTACATTTAATAATGAAAGATAACTTGACAACGAAGAGGTGGGGCAATCTAAAAATCGAAAGAAGAAATTGAATGAATAAGATTTCGAATACGTTACAGTCTCACACTACCCATCGATGTTAAGGAAGCCATGTAGCGCTTTCATTCTTCACACGTTGTGTGTGTTTCACTGTAGTACACAAATATGTTTGAGCCCACTGAGTTACAATGCAATTTGATTTGATCTATCGAACTCCTATGCTTCTAGTTTCTTTTCCTTTCGTCATTATATGCATCTTTTCTGTATTACAGGGTATAACAGTAACTCAACAACAATACATGTCTGCACATTATGGTTTAGTTAAAGAATTAGTGATCAAGCGTATTTTAGCGGCTTCTCGTGTTGAACAATTAGATCTACTACATGAAGGGGATGTTATTCGTGAAGCGAATGGAGTACCAGTTGATAATCCTGAAGTATTACAAAAAGTATTAAAAAATGCATCAGGCAATGTTACTTTAAAAATTATTCCTGGTTATCAATCGACACCAATTTCATCTCAAGTAAGTGATCATGTAAAAAAAAACAGTTTCCACCGTTTCGGTTGTGTCTAGTTTTTATATTATCAATGACTTGTGGAGAGATAAATGAAACTTTTTACATTCTGACTTATTCACGAGATTGAGAATAAAAGTTAATGTGTTTGGTTGAAATTCAGTCTCATTGGATAGTTGTTTGTAGCTCAGGTACCAGTAAGTTTTTTTGTAGCTGAATATTGAACAGAATATATATCACTATTCTAAATAAGTATCTAAATTATGGATCAGTAGCAACAATCATAGGACATTTAAATTCCTCAAGGTCGTCAGCATAACTTGTATTGAACATGTATCGAAACTTTCTTTAGATAGCTTCATACCAGGCAACATCACTACAATAATTTACAGAATTTGTTCATATTATCTTCTTTTTTCGTATGATTAATTCTGAACAGACATTGTTAATGACCAGTTTAAAAAGTGATGAAGATTGTGTAATAGTTCTTCCATTGGTATAAATAGTTTATAATCTCGATTTAATAATCCAACATGTAAACTATATCATGTGGATACATTTAATCAGATTTACTTGAATGAAATTTCAACAAGGTAATTATAATTGGAAATGATCACATGACAGTTGATAATGTGCAATAACTGAAGGTGAGATGAAGTTTTAGGTCATTTCACCTTCAATCACCACCCGTTATCAATAATACAAGTTTGCCAAACCATAGAAAACTCAAATAGTCAAAATGATAATTAATTCTGTTGTTTGAATCTGTGCATTGAAAAACAGTTTTCAGTATACAGTTATATTTATTCATTTTATGTTTTACTTATGCTTATACATATGGTGATATATTCATTACATAATTTACTATTCAGATAGATAAAGTAAGTCACTTGTGTAACTTTTTTTCTCTCTATAAGCTGTAACTGTATATTTCCTAAAACGTTTATTCAATCACTAAAGTTTGCAGTCATATTGTTAAAAAGGTATTTTTTTTTACATAAACCAATCAGATAATAATTTTCTAGCTGCAAAGATTAAATCAGCGTCCAAAAAACTAAGTTTTATTCAACATATATCGCCATTTATGAAGTCGAGGAACGCAATGATGATAATTTAATCAGAATAATATAAACTCGTTTTATTTAGAAGCGTAATTCTACATATTTATCATAAGGCCTGATTTATATTACTTTTCTGTGAATTAGTATTGAACATTTAACGGGAAAATAATTCAGCTACATATTAAACGATTTATTTAAGCAAAAAATACAATCTATTCGATTTTACATACGAGGTAAGAAACTTGACCTACCTTTCCTGCATTTTGACAACCAGTTGTCTATTTATTACCTCGGTAAAACCGTGAAAATCTATGAAGTAACCACTGTACCGTTTTACACATTATCATCCACATTATTATCGCTGAATTTTTGTAATTCAAGCACGTTTTCATACTAAACTTTAGTATATAACCATATATATATATATATATATATATATATATATATATATATATATATATATATATATCAAAATCGACCATGTGACCTAAAATTATAGTATGTAGAGCTATGGGAGAACCGCTGTTCGTTGTTTGTCTTGCTAAGCGGAAAGAAAATGGACATTTAGGCAAAACCATTTTCAGGAATGCAACTCATTTGAACAAGCATTCAGATTTCAACCCATCACATCCAATTAGTGAGAAAGTTTTTATTGCCTTCAGTCTCTTAAGGATGGCACATATTCTAGTAGCGGATGAAAATCAAAGGGTTAGGGAATTAAAATACATGAACAAAGCATGTAAAAGAAATGATCATTCAGTAAACTTTGTTCGTAAAATAGAAAATAATATTAAAGCGTCCTAAATCAAGGGCCTCAACAACAGTTATCCCTTACAGATCACGCACATAGGATTAAATTAGGAAAGCGCTCAAAAAAATACAATATCAGAGTGTTCTACAGAACATCTAACACAGTTCAAAACACCCTAGTTCATTTTAAGGACACGATCTCTCTAGATTTACAATTCAGTTGTGTTTACAAAATAAAAAGCTCAGACTGTGATGTAATATATATAGGACAAACTTCCGGTGAAATCAAAATTAGGAAAAATGAACAGTTAAGAGCTTCCCCTAGAAATTCAGTAGAACTGAAAAAACTTGCAAACACTTCAACCATAGCTCTACATGCTATAATTTCAGGTCACAAGGTCGATTTTGACAGAATCAAAATTATTCAAAAAAGCTTTAGGAATTATAAAGAACGTCTCATAGCAGAATTTCTTCACATACAAAGTAGAATCTAAATTGTCTAAATAGGAAAAAGGGAGCAGAACGTAGTTTGACTAGGTCTCAACCCACCCGCACATAATGACATAATTAACATAGACATCAAGATGATAAGAACTATGAACACATATGTACATATAAATCTCAATTTGTAATTGACACACAACACACTTCATATGGATGTCATCTTTATCTTACAATTCTGACAACGAAGAATCATTCATGCAGAAGAACACTTGTCAAGTTATCATTTATAAACTTGGAGGATATTGTAAATCCCGGTTTACTATAACTTTGACAAAGCTATTAGCCCTAAATAACGAAACGTCAGTTGAAACAAACTTATTTTGTTTTACATTCATGATGAATATTTTCCAGTCACCTGTTGACCTTCCCCCTCAAGAATATTCATCTAATCGTATAAATAGTCAATCATCATCTGATATCCCTAACGATCTCCTCTACTTTTTGTCAGTTACATTATCTATATTACCGGTTAATTCTGTAAACAGCTTTGTATTGAAGGTTCGATTCTTGTCATGTGTACATTTTGATATTATATAGGCTGTAAGCAATTGAAGACCGTCCTCGAAATAATAAAAATGAGTTCATATTATCGTGCTACACATGTTTTTTCGTGATGTCAATTTTATGTTTTGTACTAGTTGAATCTTGCTGGTCGAGTCACTTAGCTAGTGACTGGTATCCGCAAGTACGGTATGTGCTTTGCACCATTAAATTACAAATTACTTTTGAAAGATTGGCATGAGCCTGTGACTCACTTACCCTTGGTGGTGAGCTGTTGGAGGTAGTCGAAAAGTTCGGGTATCTGGGTAATTGTATGAATGCTGGTGGTGTGTGACGAAATTTCCAACCGCGTGTAGAAAGCTGGAGTGGCATACGTCACTCTGGGACACCTTTGGTGCCGTCGCGTTGTTAGTCTAACCTTAAAATGTAGGGTTTACAACGCTTCATTATGAGCGGTTCTGCTCTACGCCTGTAAAACCTGGGTCTTTCTGGGTGTTCGATCGTCGTAGTCTGCGTGGCATTGCTCATATCCAGTGGCAATACCATGTTAGAGGTACGATAGCGTGTGTTCCGGCACGGTAGAGATCGTCATTCAATAAATGAATTCATTTGGAAACACCGGCTTCGGTGGCATGGATATGTGTTACTCATGTCGTCCCAGATGCTTCCATATCTTTCATTGTTTGCTAGCCCTGGAACTGATTAGAAGAAGTGGAGAGATGGTCAGTGTATGACGTGGTGCCGTTGGGTGAAGGATATTTGCATCGGGTTCGCACCTGTTGGTGGGTCATAAATCTCTGGGTGGGGTCGGAGAGGTCACGCAACTCAGTGTCTTGAGACATTATCAGATATGGCGATCATACTATAACTCCTTTCTATCTCCTCTTGCTGAGCCACTTAGCTTGTGACTAGATAACATGTACTATGGGTAGATTTTGGTCTACCCTTTTTGTTGGTTATTGTTAAACTTTTAAGATTCCGAGAACCTGTTTCTGCTGATTTAAATTGTCCTTGTACGATAGGTTTGTTGTCCTAATGGAGTTGTTAGCTGCTGACTAAGGATTTCTGTTTACATTCACAATTTCGTTTGATTCCTTCGGTTTATTTTCTTCAACGATGATTTTTCTCATCATGATTTAAAAATATTTCATTCAATGTTATTCACCTTGTCAGTTACCTTTAGCTCTCAACCGAAAACTTCACATTAATGCAATACCAACTTTTTTAATACTAAACTCATTACTTTGAATTTCGCGTTTGATGACCTGTGATATAAGCTATTTTCTTTGAGATTTAGTGGCAGATTATGCTATAAGCTGAATCGTTTGTGATATTTCTTCCAAAGGTGGGTTCTTGTCACACAGGTAACCGAAGACTATAATGAGTTATAAACTAGCTTAGAAGAAGTACTTATTATTTGATACTCATGAAGTGACGTAATAAATATGAATTATTATGACTTGAAGATTCTTAATGTACTTCATCACCGAAGGACGAAAACTTGCTATCGAATAGACTTGAACTAGGACAGGGTAGTTGTCGAATGTCTTCTGATTTGCGGTGATGTTCTACGTGCTAATAATATGAAATGATCTGTTAAGATCAACATCCGTGTTATGCAACTTTAATTCATTACTTCTGAAGTAATTTCATGTTAGAACAAGACACGTATCAGAGAAGAAGAAATATTTCTTTTCAATGACTTCATTATCATGCTGTACAGTCGTATTTATAATCGATAAAATGATAGCTAGGTGCACTAAAACAGTTTCTCAGTCAATATACAAAAGAAACATTTGGTGTTGGTGTTGGTGTTAGTGGTGGGATTTGTTCATGTGGAAAAAATAGAAAATGGGTCACTGAATAAGCTACAACAAAATGAGATAACAAGTGATGGGGTAAGGGACAAGTGCTGTCAACACAGGTGTAAATTGATGATAATTTATCTGAAGCATGCGAAATCGCTCAATGAATAAGGAACGAATTGATATTAAATGGTGAAATATGGGTTGAATGTTGTCAATGAATTGAAATGTGGTGATAATGATGATAATAAAAGAAAAGTGTACAACGTGAAGTGAAATGAAATCGGTAAAATAAAGTAACTAAAATGAATTGTTAAGGCCAAGGGTGCATAAAGGTGGCCTTCCTCTTCACCCACTATTGGATATGCTTAATTCACCTTATCATCCATTGGCGAAGTGGCTTGCTAAAATTCTTGAACCTGCGAGATTAAATCTGTGTAAATATAGTCTTCTCGATGTGTTTTTGGTTTTGTTCGCTGTATCGAAGGAATCAACGTAACGGGTAAATATATGATATTGCTTGATACTTCTTCTTCATTTACTAATGTTCCACTTATTAGAACTGTTTGTAATCTATGCAAGTATATTGATTCTAACATTATTAACATTGGATTGCCCATCAGTTACCTAAAAGAAGTGATATTCAGATGTACGTTTAGTGTACAGTTCAGATTCAATGATGTGATTTATCATCAAACGAACGAAGTCATAATGGGGTCTTCACTAGGCCCTGTCCTGACATATCTTCATGGAGAAGCTCAAAAATGGGCCAGTTAAAGAAATAATCTCAGAACTTTACTTGTAAAAATAGGAACACGGATGATATTTTTCTTATTTGTGACGAAACATGTTCAGTGGATGAGCTATTAAGACGTTTCAATGTCTGTCACCCGTCCATCAAATTCAGTGTAGAAGAAGAGTTAACTTCAGCGTTCCGCTTTCTAGGTGTAATGTTACAGAGAAGATATGATGGCTCGATTGAAATGTCACCCTATCGCAAGCCAGAGTGTACTGGCCAGTTCACTAAGTTTGGTATTTGGGTACCTCTTAGTTGTAAAAGAAATCGCATTCACTCGCTGTGTTCCAGGGTCTATGAAATCTGTTCAGAAGAAACAGCGGATGCTGAAAAAGAAACTCTTAGAATAACACTATCGTATAACGGATACCTTAAAAGATTGATTGATAAAAACCTGATGAAACGAATTACCCCTCACCCTATTACTCTTTCTAGCAAAAATGTAATCATGAATCTCTAATTCAAAGGGGACACCATAGTAGAAGTGATGGAAAAATGTCTATCAAAGTATATCACTGGTACCTTTTATGTTGGTAAACTGAGATTGATCTTCTCTAGCCATTGTCTGTTTCGAAAATGCGTGAAGGATAGACTTATGTCCACATCTACGCGTATCTACAAATGCACATGCTCTTGTGGAGCTGACTATATTGGACGTAGTAAGCGGGTCCTCCGAAAACACATTGCTGAACCGGTTTGGTTTACCAAAAGTGAGAAAAGAAAAACAACAACATCCATATGTGAACACCTAGTGGAGTAAGGTCATTCAGCTCCTTGAGATTTATCCTGTAAGGTAATTTACAAGATTCAGTTGAAGTACTCCAAAGGTCTGCGTTTTCACTACTTATGGATAGCTGAAGCATTAGTTACATATGAACATGAACTGAAACTTCGCATTCAAAAACCTTTTATGAAACTACTTTCTCTACCATCACCTGAATAGTTCATTTTAGTTATTTTATTTTACCGATTTCATTTCACTTCACGTTGTACACTTTTCTTTTATTATCATCATTATCACCACATTTCAATTCATTGACAACATTCAACCCATATTTCACCATTTAATATCAATTCGTTCCTTATTCATTGAGCGATTTCGCATGCTTCAGATAAATTATCATCAATTTACACCTGTGTTGACAGCACTTGTCCCTTACCCCATCACTTGTTATCTCATTTTGTTGTAGCTTATTCAGTGACCCATTTTCTATTTTTTCCACATGAACAAATCCCGCCACTAACCAACACCAACACCAAATGTTTCTTTTGTATATTGACTGAGAAACTGTTTTAGTGCACCTAGCTATCATTTTATCGATTATAAATACGACTGTACAGCATGATAATGAAGTCATTGAAAAGAAATATTTCTTCTTCTCTGATACATGTCTTATTCTTATTCATGAATAAATAAGTATATTTCGTCAATTTCGTGTTATTTTAATCTTCATTCACTGAGTTGTTTCCATTCTTCTACATATTTGGTTTATCTTAGTTGGGAATAAAGTGAATACATGTAAATCAGCTGATAGAAGTCATGGCTTAGTTATAATTTGAGTACATGAACTTCACGAACTGCATTACCTTCAAAAATCTTCTATATCATAAGTATGGCTAATTTTCTGAATACATGGACATATGCAACCGGTTTCTGCGTTGAACTGATCAACATTTAGGTAGTAAACATTGGTTTTAAAATGTTTCATTTTGATTAGTAATTTATTTATTGATTGACTTTTGTATTATTTACATTATGTAACAGCTTTTTCTTCGAGCTCACTTTTCTTATGATCCGAAAAATGATAATTTAATCCCTTGTAAAGAAGCTGGTTTAGCATTTTCTGCTGGTTCTATTCTTCAAGTTCTTAAACAAGAGGATCCTTATTGGTGGCAGGTAAATATAACATATTTTTTTTCTGAATTTTTCTCCTTTCTCTTCAAATAAATGTTATCTTTTTGATAAAAATTTCTTGATAACTAGTTATACAAGTCTGTATTTGTTTTATGAATGACGAGAATGAAAGTGTGTTTAATTTTCTAAATCAGTATCAGGTGGCAATGTAGCGAATTCTTATGATGCACGAAACTGGTTTTCAAATAAACATCGAAAGTAGTCTTTTCCACTTGTGTAATTTACTTATAATCCCGAATATTTCTTCTGTTGAATTCGAAAAATCGATTGCCTACTATCTTCATCCCCAATTACTATTGGACAAGACATAAGATTATTCTTAGGATGATTTGCAATCTGACAGTTGCTTATATACAGACGAATCCCATTTTCATGACGTAAATTAACTTCAAAAACAACCAATAAGAACGATTTATCCCTTATGTGAGTTAAATTTGTCTACATACTGGCCCGAAAAGCTTAGTTCAGAACGAGTGGAACGCTCGGTATGTATTTATATCATTCTGATCCAAGCAACAAACTTCTCAAGAAAGTTTAAGCAGTTTTTTTTAACTACTCATAGTTTTAGTTATTTTAAAATAAAAAAACAACAAGTGTCACATAATCACAGCTGTCTTTTGCTTTCTTCCCCAATTGAATTTATGTCAAATCCGTATTTTTAGTAACTGTATCTAGGTTCCACAGCCATAACTTCGTCTGAAGCTATTTCATACCTTTCCGCTCAAGGTTCTACACTGAAGTTCGTCTTTTATCAATCAGTTGAGAAATGTGCAGTTTATCATTGTCTTCTTTCCTGGATATTGGTATATCCATGGAATTTATTGAGTTTTTGCCTTAGATTTTCATTATCAACGATGTGTGCATAGGATCTTCTTTTTTAAATAAGGAAAATGTTGAAGATTTTCACTTTTTCGGCATTTTTGGCTTTGGTATCAAGTCTTGAGAATAGGGCTAGTTTTAAGTTGCTGTTTATAATCCTAACTTTGCTTCAGATGAAAAGTTCTTTAGAGTTTCAGATATATACCTGTTGAAAGAAAGTTGCTTTCACTTTGTTAATCTGATTCCTAATATCTAAATCTACACTTCTGTGTATATATGCTAGCAAAACTAGGTAGATGTGTATTCCAATTTAACTGGATCTTTGTTGTCACATACTTTAAGAGTTTGGTGCTCCCTTTGTTAGTATTTAGGCTAATATTTGTATTGATGGCTTCTAAGCCATTAGTCTCATCTATTTGTCAGTGCTTTCGGATACTTGTATCAGGCGTTGATAAAATCGTTGTGGTCAACTTACCTTGAATCGATTGCTTTTAAAGGAGAAAAGTAGGTAGGATGTGATTTTAACCTATTACTTGTTCTTGTTTTAAAGGCGTTTATAAATTTTCTTCTGTAGATGGCTTCTGTTATTCATTGTCTTTAGTGCTAGTACATGATTTTGAAGAAATGATCATAAGGTGACTCGTTTTTCATCATTGTATTCGTTTCACAAGTCAATGGAAGTGTCCTCAGGGAAGAAGGACTTTTAACTGACACTGGATGAGATGACTTGAAGTCTAGATATCTGTTAGAATGTGTTGGTTTTCTGTAGACGGTAGTATCTAAACCACCATCTATCCTTCGTTTTATTCTGCAATCCAACATAGGTAATTCTCCTTGTTCATTTTCTACTTCGTAAGTGAATTGGATTGCGTTAACTACTGAGTTTATGTGTGTCAAGAAACTGTCGATATGTTCCGATTTCAACACTGTAAATGTGTCATCTACATATCGCCACCATATCTTAGGTGTCGGATTATATGTTCGTAAAGCCATATCTTCCCAACTATCCATAAATATATCTGCTACTATAAGGGATATTGGTGATCCCATTGCTACTCCTTCTGTTTGTCTATAAATCTTTCCCTGAAACTTGAAGACTGTCGAGGTTAAGCATAACTGCACTCCTAACATGATTTCACCAACCGATGCCTTGGTTCTTTGAGTAAGTTGTGAGCCAGTATTTAGTTGATTTCTGACTGCCTCCAGTGCCATATTGATTGGTATTTTAGTATAAAGACTTGTTATGTCAAAATTAACCATTTTTCATTCTCTTCTTGTGCAGGTCATTAAGTTTTTGTTTCAACTCGTAAGAATTTACTAGTCTAGAGTTGGGATGGTCTCTAACAGGACGCAATACTGATGCTAAATACTTTGATATCTCATATGTTGGTGTGTTCCGGAAGTCAACTATCGGCCTAATGGGATAACCTGCTTTATGAACCTTAATAGTAAGAAGGACTTTTCTCTCCTTCACTTATTCGATGGTGTGATCTGTACAAAATTCGCCTTTATTGGAAACAGTATACCCATTTTAAGTTGGTTTTCATCATAGACTGGCATCAATTGGAGGAACATTGGAAACCTAGGAACACTGGATATCTGTTTCGCCCCAGTATGGGACTCTTCAACAGTGCGCACCCACGACCCTGTCAGGGATCGAACCAGCGACCTTCAGGTCCCATGGCCAGCACGTTATCATTGAGCCACTAGGTTGGAGTCCAATGGCCGATATTTCCAACTTTTATCAGTTGGCCACGGAACTTGAAGGTCGTGGGTGTGCACTGCTGAAGAGTCCCATACTAGGACGAAACAGATGTCCAGTGCTCCTAGGTTTCCAATGTTCCTCCAACTGATGCTAGTCCATAATAAAAACCAACTTAAAATATTTCTAAATCCCCACAAACTCCTAAATTCAGTATATTTATTTATTTATTTATTGAATATTAACTTTGTCTTCATGTTCACAATAATACTATCGTGGGGTTTTCTTGGAACGTGATCATTTTTAGCCACTAAAGATTTCGTTTTCCATATCTTGGCATGTTACTCTCTCCACTTTATTCACCTTTAATCTTTCTCAATTACATCTAACCTAGAAAATAGTGAGAAATATCTTTGATTTTTTCTGAGTGCTGAGATTTACGAAACGTAGATTCACGGCTTCCTGCATATTGCCTTCAACCATCTATCAAGTAAACTGCACAGTGGTGCTGAATCTCCTAGCCTAGTGACCAAATTACGCATTTGATTAACATTGAAGACTCGACATCATGAAATTGGTTGGTTTCCAGTGAACAGTCAGAGTTTTCAAGTTTTATTTTAAGTTTTTTTTTGACTAGAATGGCATTTACTCCAAGTACTTGCTGGAATAAAAATTTTGACATTATATTGATTCAATTATTTACAACAACACTTTCACTGTCTGGCTGAATGTTGAGTTGGTGTTGTACTGTAAGTCTTTTGGAAGGTTTATGAAGGATTCTGTTAATATTTTTCATTGTTGTTTTGTATCCAAAACTCATTCGATTTCTTCTTTGTCCTTCTTTAATTCCTCTTTTTCGTAATACCTTCGAATAGCTTTTTTGTCATGCACTGTAGATATTTCATAATTTCTGGTATTGTCGTTTCATTTATAGTTCTGCTTCCTAACTGTCATATTTTCCTTCACTCTTTTCATATTGATTTTTTTTTTAACCTCATCAAAATGAGCAAATCAATCCTTTTACTTGGGTTGAATAAATGTGGATATATTTCACATCAAATTGATACCTTATTATCTTGTATACCAGTTGATCGTCTTCATGGACCGAAGAAGACCACTATTTTACAGAATCACCACCTAATTGGTAGTCTTATAAATTAGGAATGGAAACAAACGTTGAGAATTTTTTTAAAAAAAAACGACCTTTGTCTGTTACACTCCTGTTTGATCGATTGATAAATCTGTTTGTTCTTTGAATTATTAAATTTTAGGCAAGACATCATAATCGCGATGGTCGTGCTGGACTTATCCCATCCATAGTGCTGCAGGAAAGACGTAAAGCATTTATTCAAAGTGCTCATAACCCAGAAGATTTAACCTATAAAACGTTTGCATGTGGACTTGCTAGACGAAGAAAGAAAAAGGTATGTATATATACACTATCGTATGCTTGGAAAAAATAATATACTCACTCACTTTGAATTGTAAGGTTTCAGACAGTAACTACTAAGTGAATATAAATTATTAACATATAACAGTCTAAGTTGTCATACCTCAAATCAGTGTATGGACATAAAACGGAATAAAACAAAGGAAAGACAAGTGAAAATAACACAATCAAGCGCCACACTACGTCACAAATAGAAAATGAAGCGAGTAACTGTTATCGAAATATGATATAGGTGACTAAGATTAATGGAATATATGGATTTATGCGGTGTCTGTTCCTTCACACAATGTTGGCTAAAGTATGTTTAGGCTTTAAAAAGGCTAAAAGCGGCCAGTACATAAATTGAAATTAGTGCGTAAAGTCTTTTGACTGTTAGTTTGAGCTGTATAAAGTAGTAAAATCTTCGCAGTTGAAATCGTTGGTTACTTGCTGTAGGTGATATGGCTTATAGTAGATCTCAGTCATGCATGTACATCCACACCTTATCTTCATCGTAGTGGTCATACGGAAAGGCACTATTATCTCATCCTTCTTCAGCACTTTCTACAACTTTCTGCTACTTTGATTACTTTCTTCCTTATTTCTCTTTGTTTCATCTTGCTGTGGTCTACTTTGATGTGGTGATATCATGCGTGGTAGATTGGATCATTATTCAGAAATTCTAGGTTTCATTAAGGTATTCTGATTCCCTGTTGCCCTTCCCATCTCTTTAGCCTCTGTTGATCAGTGTTGCTTACAGTCCATGTGTAGACTCTTTCTGTTTACATGAAAGCTGTTGGAAACCTTGGAGAATGCATTCATTGTTTCACAAAAAGCTTATGTGATCCATTGGTTTTTCTCAACCTCTAAGAGTCACTTAGCGTCTTTATCTCTGCTCTTATAACAGGCTTGAGAAGGTGTATATGGAATGATCTTTCGATTATAATCCTTCTATGTCCATTTAGATATAGACATAGGCATGTTTACCGTTCATGCATGTGTTTGCAGAAAGGGTGCCAATATTCTACCAACTCTTTTCAGAGTAGCAGTGTTAAAGTATTATTCCATATTCTGTAAGTTTGATTGGTGAGCTCACAGTGAAACAGTGCTATTTATCGGATGGGATTTTGAGCATACGTTATTTTTCGTAATCACAGCATCTTGGTATGATTGATATCACTGATCATTGCATCAAACAGTGTCACTCTTCATATCTGAAATTTCGTTAGTTAGATGTAGTAATTATTTGAGTACACTCAAAGCACAAAGTCGCCACTCACTATTCAAATGGGATTCCGAAAGTATTGCCTAAGTGACTTTCTTCCTGGTTTAGCCTTCGTACTTCTGCATTGAAGTCACTCTCTTGGACAACAACGTCTCAGCATTTAATATCATCATGGAGTTCGACAGTTTTCAGTGAAATTTATCTTTCACTTCATTCAAGCTGCAGTCAGTGGGTGCGTAAGCAGCGATTATAAAGAGACAGTGGCGAGTTTAACTATTAAATCTTCATTACATTATTCAGTTGAGCAGTGCACAAATGACTATCAACCGTGATGCAGTCTAGTAGTTCACTCTCTGTTATGCCTACATATGCAAGTCTGTGAGAATTAACTATCGTTGCTCCAGAACCTTGTAGGCATTTTTGCAGATCTACCACATTGGTCGGGCAAGGTTAAGTAAATAACCATACTTGGCTCCTATTTACGTGTCTCACAGACAGCATACATCCATATACCCAGTTACCAGAGTTTTGGCTGGGGAGGCTTATGCAATTCTACTGAGAGTATGAACCGGGGAAACTACGATTCGTAATTTTATAGAGGGTTTCAGGAGATAAGGAACCTTAGTTCGTGTAGAAGTATTCACAGGGACAAAGTTGGTAATGATTAAAAGACACTTGATGATGACAACCATGAGGTTATTTGACCAAAGCTGGCTGCCTACCATGTAAGCTTAATTCTTCAGATAGCTGAAAACGAAAGTGGATTTGTAAGCCAACCACAGGACAGCTATTTGATGCCTATCGCACGTGACATTTCTAGGACTGATTTACCTACGTTTTGGTCGTAGTCGAAAGAAGTTCTCACGAATGGCACTGAAAGTCTACGGCGTAAGGGAGTATGTGGTGTTTTTTGGTACAGACTGAAGAAAGGCAAAATCAGCTTGGAATTATGTTTATCTTTGGGAAACACCTTGCTACTTTCAGGGTCTATACAGTCAGAAGTAAAAACATGACCCTTATTATTTCATAAGATTTCTTTTCTGAAGTTTCAGCTAGTCTCACCTTTATACTGCCGACCTATCTGGTATAATATCATCTTAAGAAATAAGAGTTCCGAGTAATTTAGCTAAAATGAACCATTTCGACAGTTAAACTTGACCGCTACACGAAACAGCAAGTGTAGGTGTGAAAGATATCGTTTCAGTGATCCTTATTTAGGAGATCTCACAAAACTTTAATTTTGCAGTTAGGTGTGAAATAATCTTCTCCGTTCTTGGTTGTTAGATTTCAGTAGTATTCAGAATTATAAAGTTAATAAATAATGTACTTATCTGCATGTAATATGCATGGATCCAGCTTGTAATGATTCATAAACCATGAGTGTTTTGTGAATTAGGAGTTAGTGATATAGCGTAAAATACTCTAACTGGGTGATACTACTCACTAATTGCACGAATGTGTGAGCATGCGAATGGGAGTGTAGTTTACGCTGTAAGGTCTAAGCAGATACTTCTTCGTTTCTATTGGCAATACGATAGTCAGTCTGTGGAACACGTAATGAGCAAACCCATTTATTGAGTATATATCATTCAGAATGAAATGACTGTTGGAAATTGAGTCTGATATTAACGAATCAGCTTCATTGGAAAATAACTTTGAGTAAGTTTCGCACCCATAGTTGTTTATAAATGAAATAACTCCCAGGCATGTGTAATTAGGACTAAGCAGTTTTCAGTAATTGTTTCCTTCTATAGAATAATAAACCAGTGAACAGATGCTTTATTTTATTTTCAAACCCGCGACACGCTAGTAGAAATTCAGTTACTTAAACCAATAAGCCGTATAGTGGGAGAAGGAGGGGGGATTAGTGAAGAGGTGTTAGATAACTCCTCAGATCACTTCGGAAACTTATCTGCTATCACTTAAAGAGGATTATTTCATCTAAGGATTGTTCGTGTAGAGAATGGTATTTCGTATGACTTTTAAATTAGTTTGCTGGCAATAAAAGGATTCTTTGGTTCGACTCCTTATATTGTTGAAATAAAATATTCATTTCGCTTACTGACGAATATATATACATATATATATATATATATATATATATATATATATATCGCTTTGTGTAATTTTTGTCGATATATTCACCTTGTTAACTCATATAAGGTAACCATTCCATTTTGTGCAAGAGATGCCGATAATTATGACACGAAGGATATTGTACTTTATGAAGAAGTTGCTATGGTCTCAGGTTTCCAAAGACCTGTTATTTGTTTAATTGGAGCTCCTGGAGTTGGTCGCCGAAGTTTACGAAACATGCTAATTCGTGCTAATCGAGAAAGATATGCATCAGCAATTGCACGTAAGCAACTACAAATAAATAGTTTTCCATCACTTCAGACTTAATTTGATTACAGCTCATTTTTATCTAGAGCAAATAAATAATCTTTCTGATTAGATTTACTTTCAATTCGTTATAACAATTAAGTATCTACCCTTACTTTCATAATATAGACGTTTGACCATACCTATTCTGTATGTATGGCAAAGAATACTGATTATTCATCCAAAAATGGGTTACCGAGTTCATACTCTAACCCGCGACGTTTGTGAGTGAATGTCATATGCCTAGACCTATTAATTTACAGGTTTAGGTCCTTTACAATACTTTCAATATGTACAATTGTAACCATAAACTGATATATTCCTGTTCTTGTGATGTTTCACTATAGATAGATGCAATGTGGCATCTATTTGGAAGAAATGCGAAGAGAAGTAAAGATATAGGGCTTAACGGTTTAATAATGAATTATGTTTCCCTGGCGTGGTTGTGGGTGCGCACTACTGAAGAGTCCCATACTAGGAAGAAATAGCTGTCCGGCGCTCTCAAATTTCCAATATTCCTCCAAGTAATGTCAGTTCATGATGAATACTAATCTGAAAAATCACTAAATCCCCACAAACCTCCAAATTCATTTATGTTTCACATGTCGAAAATGCTTCATCAAAAAGGTTTTTTCATTATCACTTCTTTATGCTTTCTTTTCAGTTGTTAACTGCTGTTCATTTTCTTGTTATGACAAAGTTGTAACTGTTTAACTGTTAAGCGTGTTATTTGTATCCTAGCCTAAATGACCATTTATTATGTGTTATCATGAAAGTGTAAATAATTTCGGTTTTTGTAACTTAGAGTTGCTCGTCAGCTACACAACTTAGACGAAACTGTCTCTTGTAGAAACCGGTTGAACAGTGTTCCAGAGAAGTTTTTTTGATTGAAATGCTGAAGCCATTTATAAATCAAAAATGGTTAGAGATTAGTTTTAAACAACATGGACTAAACAACCTAAAATCATGAAGGAGTTTCAATATGATATATTGCATTCAAAAAAAGGGAAACTTAATTGTCGCATCATTACATACTCTTCCGAGGAAAATGATAGCGAAGTCTTGGCCAATCAGATTCAACTTAGGATCATACATTTACAAGACATTAAGTCAGTAGCATGCAATATACATAAAAAAGTTGTTTTCTTCTTGAAGTTGTGCTCATGATGGTATCAGTTGTAACGTTGAAACTGGAACTCTAATTCAAACAATATTATAATCTGAAAATTAAACTGTATCATTGTAGTAAGTGACGAAAAATATCACTTTTCTGTCTTGATTCCTATTAACTTTGTGATAATCAAGAGAAGAGCAGTGAATAAAATGTTTTTACGGTTTTCATTCTAATCATTGGTTGATCTTTTTAACCTCTTAAGTTTGTTGACTATTTGGTATAATTGTTTTTTATATCATACCATCGTTGATTGGACCGAATTGATCGGTATCTATTGGCATATGGGCTCCTGTGGGGATGCTTCGATATAACCTGTGCTCTAATGATAGTAGTGATGGATTGCAGCTAGCTAGATTGAGGGGACCACAGAAATGGGAAGGAATTTCAGGTGGTAGATTAACAACAAATCAGAAACATGATAATAAATAGATGAAACTTCAAGTTCATTTACTGGATGCAGTTAATAATTTTTTCGAGCTGAATTTACACGTATAATTGTAGTGAAATTATCAAAAGATCTGTGACAGAAGGAGAGAGAAAGAGAAATCAACGTAGGCTGGCCTATAAATGCATTACACTTCACAGCAACATGGAAAGAAACACTGCATAGAAAAAGAGTGATATTAAGGTTACCTAGTGTATGAAAGTCTCGAGAATAAATAGATGGTAACCTTTATAAGAATATATTTTAGTATAATCCCAGTGTGTTTAGATAATCAAAACAAGATATTTTTAAATGTTTCGCCGTGTAACCCACAGCTTCTTCAGCAGGATATATGGATTTCTTTATCAACCTCAAAATATATAGTCAAGTGATACGTAATGAAAAGAATCCATATATTCCGCTGAAGAAGCTGTGGCTCAAACAGTGAAATATCTTGTTTTTATTTTCTAAACACTCCGGGATTTTATTACAATATATTCCTATAATGATTCAATCAGACTCGGTGCTCATCCTCTTCCAGGATATTCATAGTAACTATGGCTTAGATGTTTATAATCTGATTACTAATAATTGTTTATGAGATGAATTTCACCAAAATCTAGTTATACGTTACCACCGCAAAGGATGATGGTGGTCTTGAAAGTTAGGAGAGAGGACAAATGTTTTAAAGTAACTTTGAATGGCTACCTCTTCACACGGAGTCAGATTTATCCTAACTGCTGAATTGAAAGGTGGTTACAACCTCACTTTAGGATCGTAAGCTGCATCTCGTGTTAATTCACTCGTACAGGTAATCAGAGTCCTGAAATTTAAGACCAAAGATTTTTAGTGACTTCCTGTGTTTTATATTTGTCTGACTCATTTCAGCTTGTGATCTTAAGGTTAACCACTCACACAAAGTACTTAAATGAACGATTACGTAGAGAAGTAAGGAAGATTTTCTCCCACTGCGTTAATTTACTTAGAATGTAAGCTCAGGAGAGAAAAAATGGGAAAAGAAGAAGGAGTCCTGAAACTATGGCTTGATAGTGTTTGAGTGATCATATTTTATTACATCATTGGCGATCAAGGCAAAAAACAGACAGCTTATTTTTGCTTAAATACTTGTTTATTACTCATCACAACAGACTTTGGTGTTCATCCGAACATGGTGACAACAATCATGTTAAAGACTCTCAGACATAGCAATGAAAAACTAACTTTTCGCCTTTTCTACATCTACATGAGAGCTTAGATACCTAATGTTTTATAATACAGAAGTCACTTGTCAAAAGTTACTCATGAAACCTTTTGGTATCCTTACTTCTTAATGTCTTAAATCCAAATTAGACCGAGCAAAATGCAACCGAGAAAGAGTTGTTTCTACCTATTCCAATCATTTCTACCAAAAATTTTCCCACTCTAAAAGTAAGTGCATCGACTGTAATTATGAACACCTATGAGTATGGTTGTTCAAAACAAATTATGCATCAACCAGAAATGTCTTGTTGGAGACATACCTATTTTTGCTATTTGGCGTCCATATGATCTGATAATGCATTAGGCGATTACTGATAATTCATCGTAAGAATATATTTTAATATAATCCTAGAGTGTTTAGATCATCAAAACAAGATATTTCTGAATGTTTCACTGTGTAAGTCATAGCTTCTTCAGTAGAATATACGGATTTTTATTAAAATCAAAATACGTAGTCAAATATATTTAGTGAACGTAGGTCATTGGTTGAGTGATTTTCCTCTCCAACCTGAGTGCAAAAGATAAGTCATTACAAGTTCGTGCTTATTATTGTCATTTGTCAACCCATATATGAGACAGTCAAAGTGTGTGTGTGTGTGTGTGTATGTTTATGTATGTTGTAGCATGTGTTGTTTATTATACTTTTACTTATAAAACTGCCAATAATTGTCGTTGTCATTTTACTTCAATTCAAAAAAGTCATCATTAATGATTTTGTCGGATTACTGTTTGCCGGACATGTGACAAGTATGACCAATGACCTACGTTTCACTAAATACATTTGATGTATTTGGCTAGATATTTCGAGGTCAATAAAAAATCTGCATATTCTGCTGAAGAAGCTGTTGCTTACACGGCGAAACATTCAGAAATATCTTGTTTTGATGATCTAAACACACTGGGATTATATTAAAATGTATTCTTACAATGATTCAATCAGACTTGACACTCATCTTCTTCCAGGACATTCGTAACAACTATGGTCTGGATGTTTATAAATTGGTGGTAATTGAAAATGTTCAAGAACTGTCAGTATGACCGATTTTCAGCCATATCACCATTGAAAATCTCCGCTTTGCCTCGATGACCCCAGCGAGGCAGCCTACACCTCAAACGCGGTTCTAGCCAACAGCCAAAGACTTTATAGACTAATACCACATCTTCGTCTGATCACCATTAGCCATCCCTCAACGCAGTCCTATTTCAGCTAAGATTGCACATCGAGGTAGGCAGTGTCTCACCTTACACAACATTTTTCCAAGTCATCCAAATAACCGAATGTCCACAACTTCAGCGACTGGCTTTTTTTACCTTGCTTGTTGCCTCGCACCTAGGCTTGATATCAGTCACACAATGATCTTCAATTGTTTAATGATGGTATTCATCAACATCAAACTGCAGAACAGGTCACTGTACATCACCAACTACCTGAACTTTCGAATATATTAAACATTTTATTTAGACCGCAAAACTCAGAGGTTTAGTGGTTGTCTCTATGATGTATTGGAATCGAATTCTAGATGCCTCACTACTATGTATTCTTATGAGTCTGGTTATAAGCGAAAAGTTTCTACCACTCATGAACTATAATTGGTTGTTTGACTGGTAATTTAGTGTAAACCGCCTTGAAATATTTGCATGTATTACAGTATAAAGGTGTTTTAACAAGGTAGAGATGTTTTTTTTTTCAGTTTTGAAATCCTACTGGATTATCAATACTTTTATACCGTACGAGACGTATAAATGTTTTCTCCTTTAAAGTAAGGCAGTTTTATTTTTCAAGAAAGAGTTTTAACTAGCTGTTTCCTCTTTTTGTCTATACTTCAGATACATCAAAAGAACTGGAACATGGTGAAGAAGATGATGGTGAATTTATTGTTGAGCCTAAAACAAAAATGGAAATGGACAATCTGAAAAATAAATACTTTGAAGTAAGTCTAACATTGTTTCATTTTGACGGTTTCTTCGTGTTATCTGTTGTTTTATTATGCTAAAATGACATTTATTCATTTATACTCCTTTTAGTATGTATTTACAGTTACGTAGTTAAAGGTATTCAGTATACTGTAAGGGAAAAACTTGGGTAGAATATAATTTCATATTAGATTGTTTATTTGATGTAGCACACAGTGACAAAGCATAATTTGCATGATGACGTTTCGAGCAAAATTTATTACTCATATTCATATCAAAGTAATCATACGACTTTTAAACTTTCTTTATATAGTCCAACAGTTCATTCATTTTGAAATGGTGGGGAATATTTGTAGCCAAGGTGGACGGTTTTCATTGTATTGCGTTCTCTGAGTTGGGTTGTTTAACTGTGGAGCTTTCATTGTCTTTCTAGACAACATCGTCTAGACCCAACTCAGAGAACACAATACAATCAAACGTTCGTTTATTCATTTTAATGATAGTAACATTTTCCATATATCTGCAATGTGTGATGAATCATTTCTGTTACGTGTTAGGTATGGATTTCACCCACCTCAGAAGTATGGTGGCATTATGTAGGTGACACGTTTAACGTGTTGAAATCAGAACATATGCGGAATTTTTTCGCGCACAATAACTCCATAGTGGATGCAATCCAATTCACTTCTGAATTAGAAAATGAAGAAGGAGAATATCCTATGTTGGATTGTTAAATCAAGAGGAGAGATGATCAAAGCTTAAATGCATGTGTTTATAGGAAACCAACGCATTCGAATAGATACTTTGACTTCACACTATCTCACCCTATATCAATCAAAGTAGGCTTGATAAAGTGCATAAGTAATCGGGCTAGGAGTTTGATTAGTAAGTCGAAAAGCTTAAATACCGAAATGAAATACATCATAGAGACACTACCCCTCGGATTTATTAAAAAAGTTTACGAAGACTAATAAGATAAGGGGTGGTATTGTTAGTAGTGGATATAACATATCCAAGAGGGAATTCAAATACTCTGTAGAGTTGCCGTATAAACAAGACACATCGGACATTTTACGTAGAGTCCTTAATAATTTTGGAGGATTAGGGTGTATTGAAGCCCGAAAATCCCCTTAGAAAGAAACTATGTAGGCTAAAAGATCCAATAAAGTCAATTTAGAAAAATAACCTAATCTATCAAATACCATATCATGACTGTGAGGTCAGGTATGTAGATCAAAGCAGCTGATCTGGGTCAGTTAGGATAGCGAAGCACAAAAATGCAGTGAAACATACAATGGTAGACCCTACTAAGAGGTAAATGATTGAAAGAAGAACTCGGCTATCGCTCTGCATGCACTCACCCATAATCGCACTATAGGTTGGGATAGGGTGACTATTATTATAAAAATATTATTTTTTTCTTGAGTTCCCAGTGGAACATAAGGCTTCAGCAGCACACCTCCGTTGCACTTTCTTCTCTGAAGTCTTTTCAACCTGGCCCCACGATTGCCCACAAGCTTTCATTCCTTCCTCACACCATCTCTTCCATGTCATCCTCGCCTCGGACTCCCAACTCGTCGTTTCCCCTTCGGATTCCACTCAAGGACCTGGGCTGGCGCGTGATGTCTACAATCGGCCTTCTCAGTGTAGACCCAATATAATTCATCTCCACTTTCTTCTGCATATTTATTGGGTGATAGCTTCTTGGTTGGTTCGTTGCCAGCCAGAATTCCTTGTTGCTTATTCTTTCTGGCCATCTGATCTCAGTATCGAGTGAGCGTAGTCAGCAGCTGTTGATGAATATCTGTAGTTTGTTGAAAGTGCTTTTCGTGACGCGCCAAGTTTGTTAACCATATGGGAGCACTGGCTTGACATTGGTATTGAAAATCTGGACCTTGTTCAGGCTTTATGCTGAGTGCAAAGTAGTAGATCTCCACACTGGTTTCAGATTAGTGAAAGCTCGTCTCGCTTTTCCGGTCCTGGTTTTGACATCCTCGTCTGTGCCGTCGCCTGCAGTTGAAACGATGCTGCCTAGGTAGGTGTGTTGAAGAGATTACTTCCTTTAGGTTTCTCCCGTTAATGTTGATTGGTGCTTGTTATTGATGTTGTTGTTGGTTGGGTATCTTCACCACCTCTGTCTTCTCTACATTCACTTGAAGTCCCGTCATCACTGCCTAGCCTCTTCCGTCAACTTGTTAATCTTCGCCTGAAGATCTTCGAGTTTGTGCAACAAGACATTAGACATAAATCATTATGGTAGAAATCCAAATCTTCTAGGGTCTTCTCATAGGTCCAGCGTATTCCCTCTTCTCGCTCCCAACGGTTTGCTGCATGATCCAGTCCATCACAATCAGGAAGATCATCGGTGATAGTAGGCGGCAGCCTTGTCTTACTCCTGCCTTTACTTCAAAGGGGTGACTGAGCTTTCCATTGTGGATCACTTGGCATGTGGCTTTTTCATATAGCCGTTGAATGAGGTTGATAAAGGTTTGTGGTACTCCGTAGACTTGAAGCAGTTTCGAAATTACTTCTCGGTCGATGCCTTGATCGAAGCCTTTTCAAAGTCGATGAAGTTGAAGTAGAGAGTTGACTGCCATTCTATACTCTGTTCTATGACGATGCATAGCGTAGCGTTGCCATTTGATCCACACATGATTTGTTCTTCCTGAGGCCAGCCAGTCAGCCTGTTCCGGACGTTATTTTTAAATCCAAGGCATTGTTTAGTCTTTCTAGGATGATGCTGCTCAATGTTTTGCTTGTGGTGGATAGGGATAGGAGCATGATTCCTCGCAAGTTCTTGCAAACACCTAGGTTGCCTTTCTTTAATAGTTTGACAAGGTAGCCCTTCTTCCAATCAACTGGCAGGTACCTTTCCTTCCTTTCTTACAAACCTCCTGCAGGAGTGATGTCAGCATGTCCGCTATTGTCTCTGCGTCCGTCTTTAGTCCTTCTGGTGGAATTCCACTGGTCCTGCTGCTTTCCCAGATTTCAGTAACTTTATGGCGTTTAGGACTTTACTTTTGTTGTAGGGCTTGTGTTCACTGATAGTTCTATGGCTGCTGGTGATATTTCTGGACAAGTTGCAGGTGGTGGCCGATTCTAGAACTTTTTGAAGTGGTCAACCCATTGTTTCCTTTGTTTTTCCTCTTTGCTAGCTAGCTTTCCTTCACTATCTTTCAATGGTTTCGCCTGTGTTGATCTCTTCCCTCTCAGATAGTAATCTGGTTATTTGATATAATGTTTTCAGGTCTCTCCTGTTCTGCTTCACTTGCCAGTGTTTCGCAGAAGTGTCTTTTGTCTTCGCGTGCACTCTTCTTCACTTCTTTGTCCAGTGTTTTATACGTTGTACTGAGTTCTTCTTTTCGTTGTGCATCCTTGCACGGGTTTATCTTCTGCTTCACCATCTTCCTCTCCCTGCTCTATCAGCTTCCTCCGGTGAGATCGATTGCTTCTCATGTTTACTTTTCCTTTCTAATACGATTATGCAGGTTTCTTTTCACATCTCTTTCAAAGAGTTCCAGCGTCCTTCCACGCAGGTTCCTTCAGGGATGTTCCTCAATGTCTCTCATTTTGTTCTGATGGCTGACGTGAAGATGTCGTTTATAGTTTCGTCCTTCAGTGCAGTTTCTGTTCTGGGTGTTGAACTTGAACTGTGGTCTATCACCAACTTCTTTGAAGATTTTCAACTTGATTTTGAAGGTAGGTTTCTTGCACTAGATAGTGAGTGGTGTGATTTTTATTGTGTCCTGGTGTCTGGTGAAATCCACGTCGATGTCTTGTGAATATCCTTGTGTTTGTACACACTGCCTCCAGTCACCAAATCGTCGAATGCTCAGAAATCTGCAAAGAGTTCTCCTTTCTCATTCCTTACACTGAGTGCTTCTCGACCTGAGTTCCCTTCCTGTGTTGTCTGCTCCGAGTTTTTTGTCATTCATGCCACCCACCCCCCATTAGAATTTTGATGTCGCCAACTGGAGTCTTTTCCAGTACTGATTGCAGTTATTTATAGAATTCCTCCTTCTTCTCTTGATCTGGATTATTTGTTGGCACGTAGCTCTGATTGATTGTGACTTTCCTTCCTCTTGAGTTGAATGTTGCTGTCCCGATCCTGGAGGAGACTGGTTCGCACTGCATGAGAGCCTTCGATGTTCTTGGGGACATCATGACAGCCACTTCAAAACTCAGTTAGGTTGGTGATTGTCGTCTGGGTGACAATATCGGAGTAGATTATTGACACTCCAGTTGACAGTTTGGAGAGTCCACTTCCATTCCATTTGCTTTCGCAAGATCCTAGCACTTCCATGCCATGCCTCCTCATCTTTTTTGCAATCTGGGCAGCCCTGGTAGGTTTATACATGGTGCAGACATTCCATGTCCCCATCCTTACTTTCTTTTTCATCGAGAGAAGATTAGACACATCGGCCGACTGGCTTACCGAATGTTTTTACCAACCGGCGTCATTTCGTGTCTCTGATTCCATCGAGGAATAAGTTTGTTTTTATTTTTTGTAACTTTGATGTTTCTTTAGGAATTAGATTGGTTTTCGGGGATAGAGTTGGTAGCCCTATGCCCAACCTTCCCTGTTTATGCGGGCTTGGAACGGGCTAGTAACTAGTCAACTAGTTAACCAGGCGGGGTTATAGGGTGACAATACTAAAATCCAATTTAACTAGTTGGAGGGAGAGACTGATCACAGTATTTATGTTCATTGAATCCATACCTAACAAATGTAACACAAGTGACTCACCATATATTCCATACATCTGGAAAATTTTATAAACATTAAAATATATGAATGAGTGAATTGTTGGACTATGTAAAGAAATGTTGAAAGTTGTATGATTACTTTGATATGAATATGAGTAATAAATTCTGCTCGAAATGTCATGAAGTAAATTATACTTTGTCACTGTGTGCTACATCAAATAAACAATCTAATATGAAACTATGTTCAATATACTGAAAAGTAATTGAAATAAGGTAATTGATACATACATTCCATTTGGTTTTAAATAAGATCCGACCTTAGTAAATCGATAGTGACCTATTAGCCCGAGGGTGAAGAAAATAAAAACTTTCAACCCTTGAATTGGCCTTGCCTCCGATTCTTAGTAGGAACAACGTCACTCACTGGGAGGGAGATATCCAGCTGACGAGTCCCAAGTAGGACGAGACGTACATTCTGAATTCCACTGATAGTCACTATCCTTCATTAATACTTAAACTGATAATCTCAGTAATATAGAGGAGTCTGTACAACAGTCCATATGTTAGACAGTAGCCAATCAATTCAGTCCGACCAACGACATAAACTTACAAGCTATAACATAAAATTCATTGAATTCTGACCATGAGGCATAGTAATAACATGTTCGCCACAACATCTGTAGATCATGAGTTCCATCCTGAATGAAGTTATGAGTGAGCATTTCTAGAAAGCCCTTAAACTAAGGTAAGACAACAACTATTCAGCAATTCTGATTTGTTATTAGCTTTGTTAAATGATTTCATTAGAGATTCTTCAATCACTTCTAAATCTTTCAATCATTTTCTATTCCTTGATGGTATTAGAAACTCGTAAGATGTACATTTTTTAAAGAGGTCTACTATGTACATCATAACAAAAGGTTGACAATTATTATCTGATTAGAATAAAATATGGATTTTCTAGTGAAGAAATTGTTCATAGATAAAGAACAAATTCTTGCAGAATTACATCGATTTGAGAAGTCATACTTCACACTAGTACAAATCAGAGAAATCAAGTAAGCAGACGAAACAGTACCAGGTGATGATATAGCATTTTCGCACGCCTACGATAGCTTCCAAGTTACATGTTGCTTAAGAGTTAGGTTGTGATTTCCTTATACTTCACTAAATATGTATTTCATTTCACTAAACATTGAGATGGTAGGTAGAGTTCGGATTATGAACCTAATTCTCCATCAATTGAACTATGAGGCACTATACTCTAATGAAGTTATTTCATCAGGTGTTTCTTTCAACTGTTGTACATGCGTGTCTATAAACTGGTAACTACTCATCATTCCACTTACCTCTTTCTACCCCTAATTTCAATTCAGATCAAGCGGTAAGACTATTAGAAGAAGAAAATTAATCTGTAGTTGTTAGTAAAGCTTCATTTGTTAGAAGCACACCATTAGTACATTGCTCTCCGATTTTTCTCGGTCAATCAACGTCAACTTAAGATGTTGAACTACTGCGTAACGGTCCAAGGTGCTACACCTTCATATCAGCGCACCAAGATAAAACATAATCAAGATGATACATTGAGAACTAAGGAAGAAAGTAATCAAAGTAGTAGGAAGTGTGGAAGAAGGGATGAAACAATAATACAATTCAGGATATCCACTACGATGAAGATGAGATATGGATGAATGTGCACTGTTGAGATCTATTCTGAGCCATATCACATAGAGTCAGTAACTGTCGCTTTTGGTTGTTAGGCCGACCCCAGCATGTTTTTTTAAATTAACCTATGCAACTCAGACCAACAGTCAGAGATCTGATAAGCTGATGTCATGTTTTATGCCAGCAGCCTTTAGCCTTTTCAAAACCTAAGGATTACGCAATGAGGCAGATGGTGACTAGGCATGCGTAACACATATCCCAACCACCTTCATCGATGAAGGTTCACAACCTTATCGACTTACTTACTTCTTCATAAAGCTGCATGCCTGGCTTTTGAGTTACTGACGTAGTGTTCCCGTGATACAGGAAATATATTGAGAAAGAAATAATACTAAACACCTGAAGCCTTGTATCCTCCACCTTCAATGGTCATGTTTCACAACCATAAAGTAGGACTCGGGAAACTGCAGTGCAGTGATATCAACTCTTGATAAGCAATCAGATATCACGCCGTTACCATAGATGACTTCATTTGGTAAAAGACAATCGAATCCTTTGTATACATGTAGAGATATAGTCAGCCATTAACCCATCTGACTTCCCAAGTGTGTGAAGTGTTCATTGCGTTCAACCACTTCATTTCAGATGGTTAGACAAGGCACTAAAATAGACCAGACCTGGTGTTGAGAAGTGAATGACATGCATTCTCAAGCAGCCATTAAGGTGTCTAAAAACACTTTTTTTTTTAAAATTTCAACACCTTTTAGCAGGATTATATGTGATTGGTTTACAATGTCTAACAACTATGACTGTTTTAACAAGTCAATTGTATTATAAAATGAATGATGACCATTCTGTATTTTAGCATTAATTTTTACCTTACACTTTTTATGATAGTTCGGTGAATATGAAGATAATTATTATGGCACAAAATATAGTAGTATTCGAGAGGTAGTGAAATCAGGTCGTACTTGCCTACTTGACTGTTCAGTACATGCTGTCTTCAAGCTACGAAACTCAGAATTTATGCCCTATGTCATATTTCTTGCTGCACCATCAGTTAGTTGTATGAAAGCAATGTATGAATATGGTATGAGTATGGGATTCACTGAAAAATGGAAAAGAGTGAGTAATATATATATATATATATATATATATATATATATATATATATTGCAACTGAAGTTGTTTGTATTCCTATCGAGTTTGCTTTGAAATTTAGATAACAGTATGAATACAACTATTAAATTGATGTATTCCGTCATCGTGATTTGTTTAGCTGGTATTCATCTAGGTATTTAACAGTTTTGAAGTATTTATTTTACTTTTGAATGATATGAAATGGTTATTAGATGTTATCAGAATGTTCTCGTACTTCACCTTCTTACGCTTTTACTACAGTAAATTTGTGTCTTCAATTGATACTGGGTGATGATTGAAGGTGAGATGAAAATCTGGACCGTGGCTGGATTTGAACCAGCGACTTGATGCTCGTAGCTCAGTTGGTAGAGGATAGAGTCGGAAACCCGGTGGTCACTGGTTTGAATCTGGCCTTGGTCCAGATTTTCATCTCACCTTCAATTATTACTCAATATAAATACTAGTCTGTCAAACTACGGCTATCTCAGATAATCAAATAAAGATCTTGAACTGATATCAAGCTGTTGGTGTGTTCATCTTTTTGTTCGACGATATACCAGAATAACTCTGAAAAGTGTATACGTTTTAATTTTTGGTAGGAATTCAAAATCTAGACAACTTTTATGAGCTCTTTGTTCACTTGATAAGTCAAGCACACATTCACTCGTCCACTGCTGAATATAGAGACATTTTAAATGTAACGTATTTATTCACAGAGGTCGGTAAAATCGTTTTTTGACCTACAAATTCCAGGTTAGAAGTTGATTACTATGTGTGTGTGTGATTGATTTATTTGAGAAAGCACACAGTGATACAGTAATGTTTGCTGTGACCGGTAGTATGACCTAACACTACGAACGATACGAACCTAACGCGCAACTAATCGACTTTAACGCAAATCAGAACATCAACCACCACCACAATAATATTACCAACCCGCAAAGACAAGGAGACAGACAGTTGATAGAGATCTTTTTACTGTCTCAACAGCAATCAGTACAGTCGAAAGTGATGCTGAATGTGTACATTTCTAACTGACCTTGACAACACAATCCACATATAGGTAAAAATAGTTAACAAGTGATGAGAGTTCATCCTTGACAGGAGAAGGAAGAAAAATTAGCGACAGTGTGAAAGCAACTATGCAGGTTATTTTAAGGTCAGCAGGCACAACAGTAGGTGAAAGCTACGCAAAATTAGGGGTGTATAGCAATGTTAGACTCCTACCTATATTTTATAGAATAAGAAATAGGAGGATTTTGTTTAAAACGTCTAACACGATAGCTTTTGGTCTATCCTACTCAAGAAGCCGAATTATCGGATGGTTATTAACTTTATGACTATATAAATAGTGTTACTTGAACCGTCTTTTCATCGTTATTAATGGAGACATTTGACTTCTTAAAAGTTGCTATGTTCACTGGCTAAACATAGTTCAGTGACTTTATGACCTGTTGCTCCATATTGCTAAAAGCTTGAGTGAGAGGTGAGATGGAATTTAGGCTGTCATCCTTAAAGAGTGCCAACTCAGTAGTATCCATCAGTTTCTAACTGCAAGACCATACTAATTAATTATACTCAATCTATACATCATCGACAATGCATCATTCGATCTGTCTCTAGATTACAGAATACTGAGATGATCAGTACCAATCTGTATCCGGTACTCGTTCTTACTTATAGTTTCGGTCACCACTGACTTCCAGTGAGTGGAAATGTCTAACAATCTTATCAATAACTGGTACATTCTAACAAGTGGAGTGGCTTGCAATTTCTTTAAGACTAACCAGTAGGCTTCAGGGTTCATCGTCCTATTAAGAAGGACACTGAAGTGTTTTCTGTCATTTAAACAATTACTGAAAACCAGTGATGTCTAAATGGCCAAGTTGATGAGTCATACCAGTCCCGCTTACATCGCAGGGAATTTCTGCGAATGAATATTGTTGTGATAGGGACTCATTGATCAAATTTGTTTATTGTTGATCAGAAACGTTCACTCCCATCGCTCAGCGTTACAATCCATGATATCAATACCAACATGTATGTACCAGCCACAACTCATTTCCTATAAGATTGTCTTTATTGGTTCGCTCAGGTTTCGCGAAGCGACTGCCGATCTTATCAAACCTCTTTGTATATATGACTACATTACTGGTTGGTTTCGAAATGCAGTCATGGGCTTCAACACCGCTCAATCTATCATTGTTTGCGAAGCGAGGTATTATCACTAACTCACATATACTTCTTGAAAATAGACATTACAATCACGGTATCGATCAAACCACAAGATTTACTGTATGAAATTCTGCTAAATGAAGTGTTTAGAAAGTGATTAATTTCAAGACCTCCGATTAAACTTCTGTTGATCCCTCTTCATGTATATAAGAGTCAGTCTGGAAATGTACCAAAAACTATAACATGATACACCGAGACAAAAACAACGTAGAACCTCGCAGATAGGTATATCAATCCAAGTTGCCACACTTCATAGGAGTAAACAAAGAATATGTGGATAGAATAAGAATGATATCGAAGTCAACAAATTTGTGTGAGAGAATAAACAATCTTAAGATAACGTTTATTGCAAATATTCAGGCTTTAGATGTCAAGGAGTAAATACATCTAAGCCACTGTGATCGATTTTCAGCCGTCACCAAGCGTTCTCAACCACTGATTCCCATCGTCTCGGGGACCCCGTCAGATAGTTCACATTTCCCCATAAGGCCCATACTAAAGGTCGAAGACTTCATCGACTGGTGTCACGTCTTCGTTTGGCCACCCTGAACCTTATTCCAAACTAATCCAGCTTCCTGTAGCATAGGATGTCGAGGTAAGCAGTGACTTGACATGCGTAGCACATGTCCGACGAATCTCAGTCGGCTACGGTTCATAACGTTATCAGTTGGCTTTCTTGCCTAGTAGCCTTTACCTGACTTCAGCATTTCTCACACAATGATTCAACCAAAGGTGAGCAATGCTACGAAGAAACCTATAATCAAAACCGTGCGGTATACTCGTCCTTTGGTCAACAGTTGGATATCTCAGGGATTTCACAGATGATGCAAGTTGACAAATGTCAAACAGGCCTTCTGTATCCGAGCTGAGATTACGTTAGCAATCAACTATAATATGGATTTTCTAACTCATTATATAGTTTATCAGTTGAACTAAGAGTTTCCTTCTCCTATCTCCTTCCTTTCCAATAGGATGAATCTTTTCGTAAAACACTTGAGAACAGTACATTTATTGAACGTAATTATCGATATTTAATGGATCTAATTTTATTATGTGATAATATTGAGACAACTTTCGAACAACTGAATCATCAGTTAAACAATTTGCTCATAGAACCACAATGGGTACCAGCTAAATGGCTTTATTAACATTGAACAAACCAAGCAAGATGAAAATGTAGACGATAATGCTTTTCCTATCTTGAAATTATCACTTTATTGTGTTTATTTTTGAAAAAATAATAAAAACTGAAATGATTATTTGTAAATAACTTGAATTGATTATTTTACAGTTTGTATGAAATGGTAACAGGCTTTCCTGTCGCTTTTTCCAAGTTATTTTTGACAAAAAACAAACAGGATTAGTTTCGTAACAGTTTTACACAATTTAATTTTGTATTTTAATCACTTTCCATTGTGAATTAATCTGTAATCTCTTCTTTATTTCTGCCTTTTAATGAAGTTTATAAAATTACGTCTCCAGGCTGTAACTATGATCCAAGGTCTTTAGTATCTGGTATACTTTTTAGTACAGAGTGACAAAGGCTAGCGAACATTTCTACCGTCTTTGAAAGCATACCAAGTTGGCGTCAAGCCGTTGGACAACCTGAAATCCATAGATGGTTATGTCTTTATCAGGTACATCTTGAACCCCATACATTTTCTTTTTAAAATAATTGATTGAATTGTACATGGGATCACTCTTTTATGATGATTAGTATTTGGCGTTGACACATTTAGTTAACCATTTCAATAAGTAAGAGGACTAGTATCCATCTCTTACCTACACTGAAGTGGGTGGCTGGATTGCCGGATGGTTCACTTCCTGAAGGAATTTTCATTCATGCTGAGGCTTCATCAAGTGCCACCATAATGCGAAGGTGCTACAGAAATACTTTTCCAACGTAACTTGCTTAGGTCGACTTTTGGTTCTCAAGGAAAACTATCTGTTCTTAAAATTTGAAAGCAAGGTCAGAACACGACTGGAGTAACTATGACTTTCGTAGGTGACAAAATGCCCAGCCAAACTTACGTGCTAGGGCGTCAATGTGAAGAAGGTCTACACGGCTCGGTCAGTTGGTATGGATGTTTGCGTTGCTGGTTAGGAAAACTGGAGATGACGTGAGCACCGGTGATAAGTGAGCAGACTTAGTTACGCAACGATGGTGAGTCTTCTTGTGTCTTTACTGAATGTCAACCAATGCACTGCCACAGTAATAGCGGTCAGTGAGATTCATGTGGGCTGACCAGTGACGCCGGCCTCTAAGGCTTCTATGGTTTAGCTGGCCGTCAGGATTCCGTCCAGTGAACAGTGCATCCGAAGTTGGGGGGTATTCAGTTCGGAATTCCGAGTATCATTTGCTCTAGCCTTAGCCTTATAGGCAGCTTGGGAGAAGCTCACTTTTCTGAAATATTGGTGAGGGGGAGATAATCTTGCGGGAGGGTAGGCTGTATGTCTTCTACAAGATTGTAGAGACTCACTGAGATGCATCCCCACACGTCTGCCCACGGGGAGGTGAGTGAAGTCAATCAACCAAATCATCCGGCGAATGTAGATGCGTTGAAGCCTGAAAGTTTGAAGGGTTTTGGGATTCACTGGTCAGTTTTGAGGGAGCGTTAACAGAATGCTCTGGCAAGTATTCGTTTTCATGTAGTTGCGTCGCTTTAATGTTTTCTGCTCGGTGAGGGGATCGATCCCCTTTGTTTTTGGATAATGACGACGACAGACGAGGTCCAACCTGCTGAGCCAAAAACTAGAGTAAAGCTGTCTCTCTTCTTAAGGGAATATATCTGTTTGTGAAAGCTGGAAGTAAGCAAGGTCACCTCTATCAGAATGTCGAAAATAAAGTTGAGAATGTGCGATGGTAGTTGAAGCTCACAGCAGATGTAACTGGTTATCACGTCAGGTTTCGACTCCATATAATTCACTAACCTGCCGCAGATGTTTGAGTGCAGTTTCCGGTAACGTATTATACTTGGTCAAAACTCCATACAAAGGCCCTTGCAAAGCACTAATAGAACAAGTAAGTCAAATGACACCTTCAGATAAAAAGAATGAAGCAAGTACCGGACGATACTCAGGTAACTTAGTTGAAGTTGATAAACAGTTAAGACCCGATCAATAAATATTCACCCAGGTCTAGAATCAATCTAGTTTTATCACGTTTGCAGTTATCAGTAATTGACTCAACACTTAAAGAATATTTAGCTGATTTTCCTATGGTTATCACGGAAATCATCACAAAATAGAATTCTTAAGACTGCTTTTGATCCTAAGAACCTAATTAATAACTCAACTATTCCAGCCAGGGATTTTCTGACCGTTGGAGGCTAATCGTTTAACCTTGTAGGCGGTATTCGCATCTTTAATAGGTGTTGAGAAACCGATGTCTTCGTTCATTCAGGTTGAGATTGGATCGTGGAACACAGAATGCTATTTGTATGCAAGTTGAGTAATTAGTGTTTTAAACTCTTATTCTAAAAGACTGTCAGAGGTTTGTTTATCTCCTTGGATATTGACTTTTTTAGAATTTGTCTATCTCATAAACCGCAGTAGCTGTCGACCGTTACCTAGTTGATGCCTTCTTCGTCTATGTCGCTTTTGTCACTCACCGCTGCTCACGGATACAATGAAAAAACAGTTCACACTGTAGCTGCCTAAGCTCGCATGCTAATTAAAACCAATTTGACTAAGAATTAATACATACTTCGGTTGAAACTTAAAGACGTGCCGGTCTCTACTATCATCATGTGAGTTAATCTTTCCGGCTGTTTTCACAAAAGACTGAATATGACATTAAAATATCATACTTCAATAGATTTCTGGTTCATTTCCCCCCGCCGATATTACTGACGTATTCAACTTCAAGCTAACCAAAGAGAGATTCAGTTGCGTGTTTGCTACATTGATTAAAGTGCGCACACGTGTACCATAATCTAGGTAATTACTTCAGAAAGAATACCAATCCTTTAACGATGGGTAACACTGATAATCTATTTGCTTCTATGGTCGATTGATGTCAACCAGTGGGTCTTCACTCTTTGAAGTTAATGCTGGCAAGGAACAAATTCCTCGTAGAATGTAACACTAAGGAAGTAACAAACTCTTCTAACAGTGTGTTTAGGTGATCTGAAGGCTTAGGCTTCTGTAGAAAGGATGACAGCATACCTAATATCTTTTGAATGTGGTCAAACAGATAGCAAACTAGCTTAATATTATTACATTTCCCTTGGGTTCCTAGTGGGAAATAGGGCTTCGGTAGCATGCCTCCATTGCATACTGTTCTCTGCAGTATTTTCAACCTGGCTCCACGAATGCCCACAAGCTTTCATTTATTCTCACACCATCTCCTCCATATCACCTTCGGATGCCCAACTCGTCGTTTCCCCTTTGGATTCCAATCGAGGACTTGGGCTGGCGAGTGATTTCCCCAGTCGGTCTTCTCAGTGTATGCCCAATCCATCTCTACTTTCTTCTGCATATTTGTTGGGTGATAGGTTCTTGCCACAGTGAGTTCCTTGTTGCTTATTCTTTCTGGCCATCCATCTGATCTTCAGTATCGAGTGAGCGTAGTCAGCAGCTGTTGATGAATGTCTATAGTTTCTTGAAATGCTTTTCGTGACATGCCAAGTTTCTGAACTGTCATACAGAAACAGTGACTTGACATTGGTTGGAATTCTTGTTATTTGTGCGGAGTGCAGTAGATCTCCACACTGATTTCAGAATAATGAAAGCTTTTCCGGTCCTGGTTTTGACATCCTCGACTAGGCCGCAGTCATGTGGTTGAAACGATGCTGCCTTGCCTCGGTAGGTGAAAGAGACAACTTCATTTAGGTTTCTCTCGTTGATGGTGATTGGTGCTTGTTGTTGGTTAGGTACCTTCATCACCTCTGTCTTCTCTACGTTCACCTGAAGCAAGTCCCATCTTCCTTGGCTGCCCTGCCTCTTCTATCAACTTGTTGGTTTTTGCCTGTAGATCTTCGAGTTTGTGCGACTGAAAGATATAATCATGGGGGAAATCAAAATCTTCGAGACTGTTTTCATCGGTCCAGCGTATACCCATCTTCTCACGGTTCGCTGCATGATCCAGTTCACCACAATCAGGAAGATCATCGGTGATAGTTGGCAGCCTTGTCTTACTCCTGTCTTCACTTCAAAGGCGTCACTGAGCTTTCCATTGTGGATCACTTAGCATGTGGCGTCATCATATAGCTGTTGAACGAGGTTAATAAAGATTAGTGGCACTACGTAGTCTTGAAGCAAACTAGCTTACTTCACAGAAACTATTCACTGAATCACTGTGTAAATGTAGGGGAGAAACTGTACAAACAGACTGCATTAGTTAGGTGAATAAGCGCATATATGTGCATAACTCGCACGGACATCAAACACATGTAGTTCACAATCTCTGAGTTTTCGTTAGTCAGACTTGTTGTTCTTTTTTAAATGAGTTGATCGCTTTAGCATGTATTTGTCGTTTCAAGTTTATTTTAAGGAATACTGAAAGCTGCTATGTACAGTTGACATTGTAATTTGAAGTGAATCCAAATTAAGTTCTGTTAAGACAAGTTACAATTCATAAAACACTTGGCATTATAATTGGCAATGTTAACGTATGGGTGTTGTATACTTTCTTGCTCTTTATATCATCAATGTTACTGTGCTTTGAATTAAACGAAAATAGGTGAATTTTATGTGAATACAGTGTCTAGGAAACATTCGTTAAGGTTAATCATAAACAAATTTTTAAAAAGTAGCAATTTTGAGAATATTTCATATACTTTTTTTAAAAATCCACTATAGGCTACAGAAGGTAGAAAAAAGGTAATGTGTCTTACATAATATTGGTCATTTCATGCAAGAATTCGCTGTTTACACTAAAAGAGTAGGTGTTTTCAGTTGTCATGCGAATTTCTGACACCGTTAGATATCACATGTAGATGTTACTAATAAAGCAACCAAGATTGCAATTAATCGTCAGAAAACTGATGTATAGACAAGTTATCGTAACATATTTTTTGTTGTTGAAATGGAAAAATATGTAAACTATGCTGTTATTCAGTGTTCGCTAATACGATTAAATGTTTATCATATACAATACCTCAGTTACCGTGTATTCATACATATCGATTTCAGATGAATATTATTATGATTTTGTGCCATAATCTTATACAGAGAAGTGATATATATATATATATATATATATATATATATATATATATATATATATGCAGAGTTCACTTTTTTACTTATGGCATCATTAAAAAACATCTTTGAACACCCAGATAGATCAGTACGATACAATCAAATCAAGGCATTGAAAAACTGATAAACTTTTATATTTTAAAGTGCATTAAATTGGACAGTAGAAAACAATATCAGAAAAAACTTCCACAAGAAAAAGCGAAAAAAAACGTTAGCGAATCGATAAGTAGTATGACAGTTCCCAATCAACTTGAAGAACTTGATATACATCAAAGATACAGTGTAGTCAGACAACTTTTAGGCCAAATAGAGAGAGAGAGAGAGAGAGAAAAAAATTCATGGTTAGTAACAACAACAATAAAAAGATAGTAAATAGAATAGAGACAATCCCTTTTCAAAAAATATATATTGTAGTCTTCGATATTCGATTAAGGTCGCCGTGTTCGATTAACCTATAATGAAACGAAGATGAGATGAGAAATCATATAAACTTGATAAAAGTGAACTATACATATGATGATCAGTTAAAAAACGTCTTATGCTATAGAAAAGGAATGTAGGTTTACAATTCTAAGATGCTAGTGATATTATTATTATTACTTATCCCTTGGGTTCCTAATGGAACATAGGGCTTCAGTAGCACGTCTCCATTCCACTCTCTTCTCTGAAATCGTTTCAACCTGGCTCCACGACTGCCCAGAAGCTCTCATTTCCTCCTCGCACGATCTCCTCCATGCCACCCTTACCTCGGACGCCCAACTCATCGCTTCCCATCTGGGTTCCACTCAAGCAACTGGCCTGACGTGTCGGCCTTCTCAGTGTATGCCCAATCCATCTCTACTTTCTTCTGCATATTTGTTGGGTGATAGGTTCTTAGCCACAGTGAGTTCCTTGTTGCTTATTCTTTCTGGCCATCCATCTGATCTTCAGTATCGAGTGAGCGTAGTCAGCAGCTGTTGATGAATGTCTGTAGTTTCTTGGAAATGCTTTTCGTGACATGCCAAGTTTCTGAACTGTCATACAGAAACAGTGACTTGACATTGGTTGGAATTCTTGTTATTTGTGCGGAGTGCAGTAGATCTCCACACTGATTTCAGAATAATGAAAGCTTTTCCGGTCCTGGTTTTGACATCCTCGACTAGGCCGCAGTCATCTGTGGTTGAAACGATGCTGCCTTGCCTCGGTAGGTGAAAGAGACAACTTCATTTAGGTTTCTCTCGTTGATGGTGATTGGTGCTTGTTGTTGGTTAGGTACCTTCATCACCTCTGTCTTCTCTACGTTCACCTGAAGCAAGTCCCATCTTCCTTGGCTGCCCTGTCTCTTCTATCAACTTGTTGGTTTTTGCCTGTAGATCTTCGAGTTTGTGCGACTGAAAGATATAATCATGGGGGAAATCAAAATCTTCGAGACTGTTTTCATCGGTCCAGCGTATACCCATCTTCTCACGGTTCGCTGCATGATCCAGTTCACCACAATCAGGAAGATCATCGGTGATAGTTGGCAGCCTTGTCTTACTCCTGTCTTCACTTCAAAGGCGTCACTGAGCTTTCCATTGTGGATCACTTAGCATGTGGCGTCATCATATAGCTGTTGAACGAGGTTAATAAAGATTAGTGGCACTACGTAGTCTTGAAGCAAACTAGCTTACTTCACAGAAACTATTCACTGAATCACTGTGTAAATGTAGGGGAGAAACTGTACAAACAGACTGCATTGGTTAGGTGAATAAGCGCATATATGTGCATAACTCGCACGGACATCAAACACATGTAGTTCACAATCTCTGAGTTTTCGTTAGTCAGACTTGTTGTTCTTTTTTAAATGAGTTGATCGCTTTAGCATGTATTTGTCGTTTCAAGTTTATTTTAAGGAATACTGAAAGCTGCTATGTACAGTTGACATTGTAATTTGAAGTGAATCCAAATTAAGTTCTGTTAAGACAAGTTACAATTCATAAAACACTTGGCATTATAATTGGCAATGTTAACGTATGGGTGTTGTATACTTTCTTGCTCTTTATATCATCAATGTTACTGTGCTTTGAATTAAACGAAAATAGGTGAATTTTATGTGAATACAGTGTCTAGGAAACATTCGTTAAGGTTAATCATAAACAAATTTTTAAAAAGTAGCAATTTTGAGAATATTTCATATACTTTTTTTAAAAATCCACTATAGGCTACAGAAGGTAGAAAAAAGGTAATGTGTCTTACATAATATTGGTCATTTCATGCAAGAATTCGCTGTTTACACTAAAAGAGTAGGTGTTTTCAGTTGTCATGCGAATTTCTGACACCGTTAGATATCACATGTAGATGTTACTAATAAAGCAACCAAGATTGCAATTAATCGTCAGAAAACTGATGTATAGACAAGTTATCGTAACATATTTTTTGTTGTTGAAATGGAAAAATATGTAAACTATGCTGTTATTCAGTGTTCGCTAATACGATTAAATGTTTATCATATACAATACCTCAGTTACCGTGTATTCATACATATCGATTTCAGATGAATATTATTATGATTTTGTGCCATAATCTTATACAGAGAAGTGATATATATATATATATATATATATATATATATATATATATATATATATATGCAGAGTTCACTTTTTTACTTATGGCATCATTAAAAAACATCTTTGAACACCCAGATAGATCAGTACGATACAATCAAATCAAGGCATTGAAAAACTGATAAACTTTTATATTTTAAAGTGCATTAAATTGGACAGTAGAAAACAATATCAGAAAAAACTTCCACAAAAAAAGCGAAAAAAAACGTTAGCGAATCGATAAGTAGTATGACAGTTCCCAATCAACTTGAAGAACTTGATATACATCAAAGATACAGTGTAGTCAGACAACTTTTAGGCCAAATAGAGAGAGAGAGAGAGAGAGAAAAAAAATTCATGGTTAGTAACAACAACAATAAAAAGATAGTAAATAGAATAGAGACAATCCCTTTTCAAAAAATATATATTGTAGTCTTCGATATTCGATTAAGGTCGCCGTGTTCGATTAACCTATAATGAAACGAAGATGAGATGAGAAATCATATAAACTTGATAAAAGTGAACTATACATATGATGATCAGTTAAAAAACGTCTTATGCTATAGAAAAGGAATGTAGGTTTACAATTCTAAGATGCTAGTGATATTATTATTATTACTTATCCCTTGGGTTCCTAATGGAACATAGGGCTTCAGTAGCACGTCTCCATTCCACTCTCTTCTCTGAAATCGTTTCAACCTGGCTCCACGACTGCCCAGAAGCTCTCATTTCCTCCTCGCACGATCTCCTCCATGCCACCCTTACCTCGGACGCCCAACTCATCGCTTCCCATCTGGGTTCCACTCAAGCAACTGGCCTGACGTGTCGGCCTTCTCAGTGTATGCCCAATCCATCTCTACTTTCTTCTGCATATTTGTTGAGCGATAGGTTCTTAGTTGGTTCGTTGCCAGAGTTCCCTGTTGCTGATTTTTTCTGGCCATCTGATCTTCAGTAACAAGCGTAGGCAGTTGTTGATGTCTGCAGTTTGTTGGAAATGCTTTTCATAACGCGCCAAGTCTCTCAACCATCACATAGAAGCACTGACTTACTTGGCAGAATTAGTTTTGAGAATCCGCGTCTTGTTCATGCTTTATGCCGATTACAGTGCAGTGCAGTAGACCTCTACACTGATTTCAGATTAATGAAGGCCTGTCTTGCATTTCCAATCTGGCTTGGATACCCTCATCTGGCCACCTGTAGTTGAAACGATACTGTCTAGGTGGTTGAAAGAGACTACTTCCTTTAGATTTCTCCCGTTGTTGCTGACTGACTAGTGCTTGTTGTTCTTGGTTATGTTCATCACCTCTATCTTCTTTACGTTCAACAGAAGGAAGTCCCGTCTTCCTTGGCTGCCCCGCCTCTACTGTCAACTTGTTAGTTTTCGCCTGTAGATCTTCGAGTTTGTGAGACAAGACATTAGACATAAATCATCATCGTTGGCGAAATCCAAATCTTCTAGGGTATTTTCATCGGTCCAGCTTATGCACCTTTTCTCGCTCCTCACGGTTTGTTGCATTATCCAGACCTATCCAGTCGACCACAATCAGGAAGATCATCGGTGATAGTAGGTGGAAACCTTATCTTACTCCTGTCTTCACTTCAAGGGCATCACTGAGCTTTCCATTGTGCACACTTGACATATAGCATCATATAATAGCATATAGAGGTTTGTGGCAGTAAAAACCGTAGTGTTGAAGCAGCTGCCTACCACATTACTTCTCGGTCGACGCTGTCAAAATAATCAACTAGATATCATGATTTAGTTTAGAGAGATAGCTTCTTAAGAAACCTATATACATGTAATTACGTCTGAAAAAAGCAAAGAAGAAATTTACAGGATAGAATGATATCATTTTATTCGATGAATACTCTTCAGTTGCATACAGTCTAAAAGTTCAATGAGTATTAGGACATAAAATATTTTGAAACTCGAAGGTCAATAACCTTAAGATGTACAGTAAAAACCATTGGTAATCCATGTAATATATATAAGGAAGAATTGTAAAGGGGTAGGAAAAGAAAAAAACAAGTAATGCATGAATAAAGAGCGGTGTAATTTAAATGAAAACGAAACAGGACCAAATTATAGTCACCAACGGAGTGAAAAATTAACTTTACTTTCATTTTGTATGCAGAAGTTTAAATGAAAGCGTTTTGTAGCAATCGCTTTCACGAAAGGCAGTAATCCAGACATAATCTGTATGTTCATTATTATCATCAAAGTTTTCGAGGTTTCAACATGATGTCCTGTGTCTACAAGGTTTCTGGGATTATTGGGGATATGCTTAGCGAGCTGAATGGTTGCTCTACTCGCAACTGGAAGTGCATTTGGATTCGAAAATACAGTTGGAGGTGACATGATCAAGGTATCAGTTCAATTTGGACTAGTTCAAGGAGAATGCGGTATCGTATACTGATACAAATTTATCTGTAGGAAAGTTCCTTTGGCTTTTGTGTCCGTTCTTTTGGCAGGTGCATACAGCTGACGATTCTCAAGTAGGACGAAACACGTGTATTGGATTTCACTGCTAGCCACTATCTATCATTACTATAGTTATTCGATTTAAAGTAGTCAGTCTTAAACCTAATGAATTACAAACAAATAAATATTGTAACCCACTAACCTGAGGAGGAATAAAACGTCTTGGTTGATTGATGGTATGTTGTGGTGCTGTTGGTCGTTGAGATGTCATGTCATATCGTATAGATGGACGATGAAAATCTGGTCTGTTTCGGTTACTGTACAGTTGTTCTGGTAGTTGACTAAAACATCTATTATTTTTGATAAAGAAAGTGGAACAAATAATTACATTTTTGAGTTTATTAGGTTTTAATAAATTTGTATTTTTTTTTCTAGTTATAATTTCACCATCAACATCACCATAGGACCAGGTATTACTGCCTAACGGTCTGAGTTGTCACAGTTCATATCAGAACATCAAGTAACAAGGCAGTGAGGCGCAAGATGAAGATAAGAAAATTCAGTCAAAAGAAATATAAAGTACTAAACGACAGGAAGGATGAATGAGAAAATGGTGATATTTGGTATGATATTAAGAGGGGGATAATGTGTGTATAAATCTTCGTCACTCACATCGGTTCTGAGCCATACCATCACCTAGAGTCTCCAGCCACTAGCTCCTCTTGTCCGTGGACCCCAACCACCTAGTCTGCATAGCCCCATATGGCTTAAACCAACAGTCAAAGACTTCATACATTGGTGCCATGTTTTAGTCTGGCCACCTCGAGCCTTTTTCCAGCCTGGACCCACCTCAGCCAACATTGTGTGATGAGGCAATCGGTGACTAGGCATGCATAACGCGTGTCCCAACCATCTCTGTCGATGAAGGTTCACAACCTCGTCAACCAACTTACCTCTCCTCCCTAAAACTCTATACCTGACTTCTGCATTACTCACGTGGTGACACCACGGAATATGGCTTTTACTGAGAGGGCAACGGTGGTCAAACACTTGAAGCCTTCTCATGTCTTCCAACTTCAATGGCCATGTTTCACAGCCATACAGTAGAACAGAGCAGACTGCTGTGCAGTACACGCCACCTTAATAGACAATCGGATATCACGGCGGCGCCATAGGTGGCGCAAATCGGCAAAAGCCAATCGAGCCTTTTGTATCCATGCAGAGATTTCATCGGCCACTGAGCCACAAGTCTAGGGCTGATCCTACTTCCCAAGTAATTAAAGCGGTTGATACACTTAATCACTACACTCTCTATTGTTAGCCGCGGTGGGACACCGTTGAAGACCAATCCTGCATTTGGGTGGTGAGAAACGCATCCTAAACATTCTCAAATTGCCACTCAATGTGTTCAGAAGACTCTGCATCTTGTCAGCGTCTTCACCTAACAGGACTGTGTCATCTGCATATTCTAGGTCTAACGAAAATTTTCCAGCGATTAGGCCAATCTCTGTGTAATCAGGTTACGAGAGGGAGACCTCCATGAGAATATCTATGGTAAAATTGAATAAAAATGGAGATAGTGAGCACCCTTGATGGACACCCCTCGATGAGCATAGCTTCCTGGACATCTCATTATAGACTTTGACACGCCCACAAGTGTTCGAGTAGAGAGCCTTCAATAAGGAGATGTGCTTACTCGGCAGTTATATTGTTTTAGTTTTGTATTCATGGTCTTATTATTCGATGTACTCGACTATCGACCAATGGATAACGTCTTCAAACCGCACACCTACAGATGTCTGGATGGCTAGGTAGTTTTATTCGGCCTTAAACAATAGATGTAGATTATTGCCAATTGCACGAATATACAGAAGATTGCTGAGTGAATTTTGATTTCTAAAAAATGACAAACATGTCTTCTTAACGATTATGTACCAACAGAAACTTTCAATAGCAGCGCTCAGTGTTTCTAATCCGTGATGTTAATACCAACATATACTAGACGTAAATGATTTCCCATAAAATTGTCTTTACAGCTTCATTGGGTTTAACTAAGTACTATTCATTCGTTTCTATATTCAGTTATTGGCTTCAACCCTGTTTAACCTATCACTAATTCCAAAGCAGGGTGTTATCATAAGCCCACATATATTTCTTGAAAATGGCTATTAAAGTCATGGCAAAAATCAAGTCATAAAATGTAGTGTAACATATGTGCTACGTGCAGGTGTTTAGAAAATGATTAATTTCAAGACCTCCGATTAAACTTCTATTGATCCCTCTTCATGTATATAAGAGTCAGTCTAGAAATGTACCAAAAACCATAACACGATACACAGAGACAAAAACAACGTAGAACCTCGCAGATAGGTATATCAATCCAAGTTGCCACGCTTCATAGGAGTAAGTAAACAAAGAATATGTGGATAGAATAAGAGTGATATCAAAGTTGACAAATTTATGTAAGAGAATAAAAAATTCCAAGATAATGATAAGTGCAAATATCCAAGCTTCTTTGAAGACGTCAAAAGGTGACCAATTTTCAGCTAAGTGCTCACCAAGAGTCCTCAGCTGCTGATTTGTATAGCCTCAAGGACCTCGCTAAATAATCCACATTTCCCCATAAGAACCAGATAAAAAGTCAGGGACTTCATCAACTAGTGTCACACCCTCATCTGGCTACCCTGAAGCCTCTTCGAAACTAATTCAACTCTGCCCTGGCATAGGATGTCGAGGTAGGTGGTGACTCGGCAAGCGTAGGACATGTCCAAAGCCACCTCAGTCGATGAAGGTTCACAAATTCATTGACTGATTTGCCTTCCTGCCTTAAAGCAGCCATATAACAGGACAGAACGAATTACATTACATTAGAAAATAATGTATGATGAATCAACCCAACTTGGGATTATTACAAGAAGGTATAATTCATGAAACTTATAGTTCATAGTGTTGCAGTCTGATGTATGAGATCAAAAAAGGAACTGGGTTTTAACTTCTAAATCCTTATTGATAAAGTTTTTTCACTACATTGAATTTATTTTGTCCTTTGAATGTATAATAATGATAGTAATAAAACAAATAGTAAAAAATATGTTTAATCCACTCCATTGCTGAAGAGTCCCGTACTAGGACGAAACAGATGTCCACTTCTCCCAGGTTTTCATTGGTTCCTCAACTGATTTCAATATCTCAAAATAGAAATCCCCACTCATCTCAAAAATGCATACATACAACTATTTCTTAACTTCATGTTACTAGAGAGGCAGCGTAAATTCTCTGTATTACATTCGGATTAATAATCTACAAGCTGGATTCTTCTACAGCATTGTCATTCTTTGAATATAAATCAGCTTAAATAGTTTAGGACACCATTTCTGAGAATTTGGATAGTGTTAATAGAAAAAGCTATTCACAAATTTCATATTGCATCGACTTTTTTTTCTGTACTTCAGTTTCGCATTTATAGAGAGAAAAATTAATGTTTTTGCGTCTAACTATAGGTTTTACTATAGTTAATTGTATATCAACCAATTTATTTTAATTTACTCTTTAATAGTGAGGTAGAAGAACAATTTTTTTGTTAAACAGAAATTATGATTTCAAGTTTCAATTCTAACGTGTGAGACGATTCAATCTTTCAATACGAATATAGTGTGTGAAAGAATGCGACGTAAAGTAAAAACTGCATTCAACAATCATTATAATGGGTAAATATTTCAAAATATGATTTTTTTTCTCCAGTTTATAATATCTATTGATAAGAACAAAGTTTATGCAACATACCGATTGCTATTTTCACGATTCATGATAGGATTGAAGAAAGGAATGTCTGGACGAGGCATTGGTGGAAATTGAGGTACAGATGGACGACTAACAAAATTTGGAGGATAAGATGGTACAGATGGATATGAGATATAAAGTGGGTCATACATACATGGATTATACATGAATGGTGGCGGAATACCAGGATATCTATTAACTGGAGGTGGTTGATAAGCCGGTTGCCAGTTAGGCTGCATTTGGTGAACAGGTGCACCCATATTGACTGTAAAAGATTCGTTGAAATTTGGTATTTCGAAATTCGGTCTTGGAGTCTGCTTCCGAACAAGTTGGACTGGAGTTCTCTGCCGAGAATCACTGTTTATGCCTGGTTTATAACGATTCTCTAAACGTTTAGCGGAACCTTTTGAACTACGCTCCACAGAACTATCATTATGAGGTACAATTATTCGTACACATTTTTCATTCTTCTTAAGCGAATTCTTGCCTTGATTTTGAGCAATTGATCTCAAATCAGTCATGGATTTGCTATGAGTAGACGTTATAGACCAGCAGGTTGGAGGAAGAGGTATATCTGGTGGACTTGGCATATTCCACAACGGAGAAGGTAATTCTGAATTTGTTTGAGATTTGAACACATTATCCTCTTGGTTTTTACTAGAATAAATCTCAGTTCTTTTGTCATCAGAACCACCAGTAGATTTATTCGGCGAAGCAGAAGAGGTGGACTGAACACCAGAGAACAACAGATGATTTAGTTCTGATTAGATATAAAAACGGGGAGATAAAACATGTAATTTCTATTCGAAAAGAATCATAAAAGCTGCAAACTGAACAAATTTTCCATGGTTCAGCAACAAAATGGATACTAATATTTGTGATTCCACGACTTAAAAGGGGTGCACATATTGGTATGAAGCTGAAAACTTAATAGCTTTACTAATATTCACAACAAAGCAGATGAATTAGACATTTATTAATTATGACGGAAAAAACTACTTACATAGACTACTCCAAACAATGTAAAAATCTCGCTTTTACAAGTACTCATTTAATTCTCAGTATGCTCATTTATGTTACATGATGATACCCAGCCAACGCCACCACCAACAAATACAAGCTCCAATCACGACCAACGGGAGAAATCTAAACAGAGTTGTGTCTTTCATCTACCTAGGCAGCATCGTTTCAACTACAGGTGGCGGGACAGATGAAGACATGAAAGCAGCCAGGATCGGAAAGACAGCAAGACAGGCCTTCATAAACCTGAAACCAGTATGGAGATCTATTGCACTCAGCATAGAGAACAAGGTCCGAATTTCAACACTAATGTGAAGTCATTGCTTCTATATGGTTCAGAGACTTGGCACATCACGAAAAGCATTTCCAAGAAACTACAGACATTCATCAACAGCTGCCGACTACGCTCACTCGATACTGAAGATCAGATGGATGGCCAGAAAGAATAAGCAACAAGGAAGTCTGGTATGGTAACGAACCAACCAAGAACCTATCACCCAACGAATATACAGATGAAAGTGGAGATGGATTATATTGGGCATACACTGAGAAGACCAATCGGGGACATCACGCGTCAGCTCAGACCCTCGAATGGAACCGAAATGGGAAACAACGAGTTGGGCATCCGAGGCGAGAGTGACATGGAGGAGGTCATGTGAGGAAGAAATGAGAGCTTCTGGGCTGTCGTGGAGCCAGGTTAAAAATACTGCAGAGAACAGAGTGGAATGGAGACGTGCTATTGAAGCCCTATATTCCACTAGGAACCCAAGGGACAAATAAATAAATAATAATGGTAGAATTAATTTAACCACACTTAACGCTCATCCGTTCAATCGTTATTCCCGATTACTTACTATTTGGATGCTTATTTCATGGTGAACACAAATTCCTCTCGTTCTACCATTTAGTTTGATGTACGTATCTAAACAATAGCATAAAAGGTTTACACTTCTTTGTAATTCAACACAAAAAAGTATTCCAGACGGAAGATTTTGAACATTTAGTAATTACATCCATCTTGAAAGACTACTCTTCAAAGGCTTTTACCAACAAGATTGAATCATTGAAGAGTTTGCTTATTTATGTCTTGATTAAACTATCAAAGAAAATCTTGGTTTAACAGATTGGTTTGGTCGTAGGATAGTTATCATTGAAATTGAAGCGGAACTTAGCTCATTATATAACAGAATGCAAACTACCAATTTTTAGATTATTGGTCTAAATTGAACACATAGACACTAGAGTGAAGTTGAAACTTCATCACGAGTTAACTTTTGCTAGCTCACTTAGTCCAGTAATCCAAAGGCCATCAATACGGATTCTGTGAATATCAAAGTTTAACTTAAATAATCAATATAACTGAAGGTTTATTAATTGATTATAGGTTGGAATTCATCATGGACTGACATCACTTGAAAGAACACTGGAAACCTGGGAGCACTGAACAGCAGTTTCGTCCTAGTATGGAACTCCTCAGTAGTGTGCACCTGTGACTCCACCCCCTGGGATCGAATCCAGGACCTTCAGATTCAGTGACCGGCACGTCACCACTGGGTCGGAGTCTAATCGTCCACATTTCCTACTTCTGTAAGTTCATGATATAGTGTGACCTACATCCAATGTCGTTTATTTACTCTAGGTATACCATACACACCGCTGGAATTAACAAAATGACCTTGATAAGTAATCCGACTTTCGTGGATCATGTGAATTAGTTGATTTATTTTCATAATTAATATTTGTCCATATGACCTACATAAACCTTTGTTAGTAATATTGAATTTAGTGTCATAAAAAAAAATCGATAGGTATAAAAAAAATTATCGACTTCGCAAAAATTAAAATATCCAAATGAAGAGTAGACGACTTGTGTTTTTTCCACAGAAAACAAACATCAACAAATTTGCTAATTGTGTTAGTCTGTAATTTACCATAAACGAAAAAGCTGTGAATGTTAACATAGTAACGGATTTAGGTTAGTAAAATGTATACTATGATGACGTGTATACACTTTTACTGCTTGATATAAAATGCGAGTATATTACTGCATAAAATTTCAAAGGTGAAATGAGCAGTAGAAAACAATGCTGAAACACTGGAATACAACGAAAATCTACGAGTAACTAACTATTTTTTCATTGAGATATTTTAGAGAAGTACTCAGAAGTGTAAAAAGCTGTATTAACAAAATTGAAAGCATGGTGGCTGGGTTTGTATATCATAATGACCCAACGAGCTGTGCTGATGAAACGCTTTTTCCTTCAAGGTCCTAGCATGCCATAAAAGTCTGTCGAATAGTGTCTAGACGAAAAGTAATTACCATTATAGTATAAACTGTCACACTGTGGTGGGGGTGTGAGTGCCAAGTCGTACTGGACAAGAGTGGGACAGAAGTAAGGTGTTTCTCTAGGATGATCACCAGTAACACTCTGATGCTGCCTTTTCAATCGAAAAAGGTGGGGTAGAAAAAATCGGCCACAAAAATAACACACTCCCGATCCTCCCAGTGTGTCGATGCGTGCAAAAAGGTTTAGTAGTCAGATTCAAAAGCGAAAAATCAAACTTGCCAAAACGCCATGTGTGACTCGTCTCAAGCAGATGTCCCTAAATGCACTACGGTCATACACTGTCCCTTCTTTTCGAGTACCTCAAGAAGAACTAGCCTTGCACGGTGTGGGCAGCCGGTAAGCGTCAACCGCTCGCACGCTTCCAGTAGTACACAAGACCCAATCAAACATAACCTATCCTTCTCAACTTCGTCTCCTGTTGATGCTAATATAAGACCCATTACACCTTCCCAAACATCTCATTATGCGACCACTGTTAACCATCGAAACCTCATTCCTAGTCTCCGAAAACATCACCATTGATTTCATGTGGGAGATTTCAACATCCAAATGGTATGTCAAATCGGATGGCAGGCATTGCTCACCAGAAGTCTGGAATCTCTAGCCGTGGATGTGCGCTGTGTCTCTGAGACATGTATATATGACCTTAGAGTACTTATTAGATTGACCTCACCTGGTTAGTGTAGTGAATCTTCAAAATCCGCCTTACGAGTATCCAGAGACCCAGCGGCTAGTTCTCGTGGACTCATTGGTGTAGGTGTAGCATTGACGGGTAGAGTAAAAACTGTTCTCCTTGACTGGATACCAGCCAACAGCCGTTTATGTGTTGTTCGACTGAATGGATGTGTAGAGAATAGGAAGGATCATGAGACAAGGCGATGCCTATTTGTGATCTCTACATAGCCACTTATCGACTGCAGTTCGGATGATGCAAACGATGGATTCTATAAGAAGCTGTTAAGTTTTTTTACACAAAGCAGAACGTTCAAATGTAGTCATGATGGAAGGTGACTTTAATGCTCAAGTAAGGAAGCTAAGTCAATTAGAAAGACATCTTGGAGGTATTTACGGAATCCTATGCCAATGAACCGATAACGATGATTGTCTCTTGCAATTTAACTCCGACGGTCGCTTGTTTCTGGTCAACAATAACTTTAGGCGTAAAGACAGATACTGCCTCACATAATGTCCGTGGACTTTAAACCAACGATGGACACAGATAAATCATATTGCTGAAAGCCATCAGTGGAGGATTATCACTCTTTATGGGGTATCAGATTGGACTCCGATCCCGCGCTAGTATGGGTTCGTGTATATCTGGGCCTTGCTGGTTGCAGGAAACAGGCAACGGTAAAGTCTGTCTATGCTCGACTGGAAGATGACGATTCCACGTAAGTATTAAGGAAGAAGTTAGCTAAGCACTTATCTGAACTTGACAGCAATGCTCATCCTCATGAAACCTGGTGTGATATTGTTTGCTGTAGAAACAGTGGTGAAGACAGTCGACAACCTATACCGGAAGGTTAGCAACATCATCCGAACTGATTGGTGCGAGAAGACTGATTCTTGCTGGCTGTGACCACGATAAAGAGCGAAAACAACTTAAACGTTTGTTGACCAAGAGTCTTCACATCCATCGCCAACAGTCATGGATGGCGAAAGCGAAAGTATCAGAGTTGGGTAACACCGGGCAACTACTTAGGCTAATCAGAAATAATGACAAGAAGAAGACGATGGTGAGTGAAATTGTCACCGAAAAGGATGGGACGCTGACAAACTTTCAGGACAACCAGCTAGAAAGTTGGGCAGAACAATAAAAAGCACAGTTCATACGACCGACAGCAACACTTCAGTTGTGCGACATCCTGCCTGAACTTGAATGGGACGTAGATGTCGGTCCTCCTATTTTTTTTCGAAGCTTTATCGAACACGAAACGATGCAAAGTATCAGGACCTGACACTTTGCCACCTAAAAATTTCAGGGATGGAGGTATAAAACTGCTGATTACAGTGAGAAAGGTACCAGGTAGTGTATCGGGATCACTGGTAATGCCATCAGACTGGTTTATTAGAAAGTAGAGATTTTTGTGATAAGCATAGGAGTATTAGTTTGACTAATACTGTGCCCAAGATCCTAGTATCCATAGTTATCGACGTCTAACTAGAGCTCGAGAACAACAAGCTTGAGGAAACCACGAAGACTTCGGACCTGGACGAGGGTGAACCGGCTAGATTTCCTCCCTCTGACAAGTCCGGGAACACTGGAATTCTTACCGGTAGCCGATAGTTGTTTCACGACCTGAAGTGAGCATTTGACTATGTCGTTATGGCAGAAACTTCACCGTATGCCCAGTCGCCGTCTACCTCGTCATACGATGTTGACCGAAGTGGGTTCGCACTAGAAAAAGGCTCGTGGCGGACAGACTAAAACATGGCATCAATGTATGAAGTCTTTGACCGTTGGTTTGAGCCACGTGGGGCGATGCAGACTAGGTGGTTGGGATCCGCGGGACAAGAGAAACCAGTGGTTGGAGGCTCTAGATGATATGGCTGAGAACCAATGTCAGTGGCGCAGATGTCTATATACATTATCCTCATCTTAACGACGCTATGTTGAATCTCACCATTTTCTCATCCTTACTTTCTCTCTTTAAGTACTTGATATTTCTGTTGACTGAATTTTCTTATCTTCATCTTGCGCCTCACTGCCTTGTTACTTGATGTTCTGATATGAACTGTGACAACTCAGACCGTTAGGCAGTAATACCTGGTCCTATGTTGATTTGGATGGATGGATGTTATGGCAGCGTCTGACTGTGAAAGGAGCACTGAGCAAGTAAGTATATAACGCTAATCAAACCTCTACTCGCACTCACAAAACCGTGTAAAAGCGTTTGGAGAGTTGTCATTTAAATTGAAAACAGCCAGGGGTGTGCAGCAGCAATACCTACTATCACTGTTGCTGCTTAATTTTGTCTTAGATGTACTGATGGACATAACCATAGGTACACCTGACATCAAGAAGATTGACCTACACCCTGGATGTCATCTGGTTGACTTAGAGTTTGCAGACGATATTGTTCTGCTGGATGAGGATGCCGACAGAACGCAGGGTCTTCTAAACACAGTGAGTAGAAATCTGAATATGTTTGGTACGTGTTTTGCACTTGTCAAACATAAGATGCTACTCCAGGACTGGTCTGGAGTTAGTTCCAGTTTAATGATAGGGATTGCATTACAGTTAGTTCTCTTCTATTGCATGGTTGTGAGATATTGTCGTTAAAAGAAGAAGAAATGAAGTGATTATATGATTTGACCGTAGGTGTCTTCTGAGCATTGCTCGCGTTTAGTGGAATCACTATATGAGCAATGTTGAGGTGAGACGAAGAGTATTCGGCAAGACGGGCAAGTTGGTCAGTAAGGTTGTGAACCTTCCATCGGCTAAGATGGCTTGGACATGTGTTGCGCATACGCAGTTACTGCCTACCTCAACGTGCCATGCTAGGCGAAGTTGGAATTGGTTGGAAGACCGGGTTTCAGGGAGGCCAGACAAAGACCTGGCGGTATCAGTCGATGGAGTCTCTTACTGTTGGCCTGAGTCGTATGGGGAGGAGTAGGCAGCCTGGTTAAAGGTCCTTGAGACGATAGGAATCAGCAGTAGGGGATCCTTGGTGATATGGCTGATGTATTCACTCCTTGACATCTTCTAAAGGTTGAATATTTGCACTGACCTCCACCTTCAGCTTGTTTATTTTCTCACACAAATTTATCGACTTTGATATCACTCTTTTCCTATCCACGTGTTACTTTATGTACTACCGTGAACTGTAGTAACTTGAACCAATGCACACTTGTGTTCAAGGTACTACACTGACTCTATCTTTCGGTCAAAGAGCGCTACTTAAAAACTGCATTAAACAATATTTTCATTATATAAGCTATTGAAAAAATTTGGAAGCTGTAGGTTTATCGATTCCAACTGATTGACTAATCATAACATGTTCACCACAGTAATCGGATTAATGCATTAAAGGTCGTTCGTGAATCAAAACTACACATAAAACAACCAGTTTGTCGAGAACTACACAAAATAATAATAATAATAATAATAATAATAATAATAATAATAATAATAGCAACAAATGACAGAGAACTTAATTCGAGTGCCTCTTTAAGTCAACTAGAGAATACAATGGAATGGGACCATATTTCAAAGGGGAATAGGAAAAAAAATAATTCTTCTTCAAATTTTTAGGATAATCTCAAGACCAAAATTCAAGCTCAATTTGAATAGTGTATCAAATAGATTGTAACCATCATCATAAGTAATGTATAATATTTTTTTAAATGAAATTTTATCAGTTTCACTATACTGATTTCTTACTGTTAACTGTTAATATTATCGATCTATTATTTGTCCATCATTATAATCACTTAATTGAGAACATTCATTTCCTAACCCTTGTGATAATGTATGGAGTTCTATTGAAGTTCACTTCATTAACATTTTTTTTTTACAATGGTTTTTCATTGAAAAAACATGAACTAACTTTCTAATAATTATTTATTTTATCCTTTAGGTTGCATGTAGTTAATAGGTAGTTGAGTTCTTAACATGATTGGTATATTTTTAGAACCTACCAATCAAAAACTAGTTAAAAATGAAATACTCATAATAACATTTCAAGCAATCAATACTTTAATAAATAGGAAAGTTAATCAAAAAATTGATTATACTAACCTTTCATTTCCTTGATAATTTCATCTTCTGCAGAATTATTTTTAGGTGACTGGAAAATAAATACACAATATTACATAATTTGAAAGAAAAACGATCTAAATACTATTGTATAAACATTGAAAAGAAACCATCATATAAACTACTTAGTTTTTTAATGTATATAGTGTGCAAGGGGAAATAAACAACTATTACTTTACTATATCTTAGTTTTTCTTCAGATTCAGGTGAGTCAATTACTGAATCACAATCAACTTATTACTTAAAGCCTACCGTTAGATTAAAAGGCTTTGAAAAAGGGATGTAAAATTACAAAAAAAAAAACCAAATGAAACAACTAAAAGTTACACATCATCTGGTGTTAGATGTCCAAACAACAGGAACCTGAAAACTTGGATTATGAGGCTTGTACCCACAAATGCATTGTAACGGAAGATGTCAACATTGAAGTCACAGATGCGGCTTTCATTATGTTAGCTAACCTAAAATTAAGTGTTGCCAGGAGAAATTATTTGACATTGAATGCTTACTAAGGGGTAATGAACTTTATGTTCGTTTAGCTCTCAGTGCTGATCAAATCCTATCGACCAACTTGCAATATGGCCACCAGATTAGGCAGCTCAGCATCGCGATGAACATTAACAAACGTTAGTTGGATGGAGGCAAACAGCAGGAAGCCTTGGACCTAGATTTCATGCTTGTTTGGCACTTGTCAGCATGGTGTATCTGCAACTTTAACACAACTGATATCCCTTATGAGATTCGAACCTGCGTCACCCAGTGTTGTAATCAGCAATGCTACCACTGAGCTATTCGGGCCGCGACTGACCTTTTGTAGGACTGCATTAGATACATTGATTGGTCACCGGAGGGTAACCAACTTCATGTTGTCTAGTCCTAAGTCAAGGGCTTCCTACCGGTCGCCTCCATCCAACTAACAGAAATCATTTTGTTAACCAACATTAACTAAATAGAACAAATCTAATCAGTAAACTTTAAACAAACCAAGAAATAAAATCCTGATCTCAGCAACTGGATAGAGAGGAATACGCCAAGGTTGATGATAAAAGCAAATATCAACTATTAAGTATGAACTCTACTTAGAAATTTATCAAACCGATCAACAAACAAGTTAACACAGAGGCAATGACACAACAAGGTAAAGTATAATTGCTTGTATTATACCGTCGTCGACTGGAGCGAAGTGGTCGGCCTCTATTGGCATTTGGGCTTCTGTCCGGATACCTCGATATTACCTGTACTCTAATTATAGTAAAGGTGGATAGTGGCTGTGAAGCGATCGCTCCCCATTCCGAATCCGGTGGGAACAATATCACTCACTGGGAGGCAGGTATATCCAGCTGACGAGTCCCAAATTGGACGAAGCGCGTATCCTGGATCCCACTGCCAGCCACTATACATCTTTACTATGAGATAGGTAAAGGTTAATTAAACATGAATATATTATTCAATTTACTGGTACGCAAACAATGTGCACAGAAAGTTTCATTTACTTTAAAAATAACTCAAACGCTTAATCTAGTTACAAAACGACTAATTCAAGTTTGCAGAAGTCTTACAACGATCAGGTCAATAACAAGGAAGTAACTGTGTCCTTTAGTTTTAGATTTCTATCCAATTCAGCAGAATAAACCTACTAACTATCCTTTTCACCAATTATATCAATCTCTAAGAGTTCAGGATCAAAATATTATTTGTTTCACAGTACATCCGCAACTGAATAGCCAAATGTACAGGAAGACTGGAACGACGCAACAAATATCACTTCATACCATTACATGTAGATATAAATGCAGCCAAATTCATTTACCAGGTCGTGGGTCATACCTTATTCGTATGGGCTTCTACTACTACTTGATCATGCAGACTGAAGTGTATGTTGAATCTGGAACCATATGTTCAAGCTATATTACCATTGAAATAAATCGGACAACGATTCGAAAAATGCCAAGCGGTTATGAGTTTTGGGTTAGTCAACAGCGGGTGGCATTCAATTGATAAAGAGAAAACAAGTTATCGCTAATTTCTTTACAATTTTCGCAGGAGGAGTAGTGAAAAATAGACTTTTGGATAATACTGATCACGAACCAATCGGTTTGTAGTAGAAGTTTAGCGGATGATAAACATTGGAAACAGTTCTAAGTAGCTAATACAAGAAATAACCAGCATATCCTACAATGAGTTTAGATTTTCATTTCTGCAACTAAATACATTTACTGATATACCAGCTGAGGAATCCCAAATAGGACGAAAAGCGAGTCCTGGATTCCTCTGCTGGCCATAACCAAGTGAATTAACTAAGAAAAATGTTGAAACAGCTAACAAACCTTGGTATCTTGCTGTTTTGGTTGTGAATGATGTTGTTTAGAGTTTGATTTAGGCGTAATAGATGAATGAGCAGAATTATTCACTAGTGTATTTCCATAACTACGATTCTCTACTTTCTGTTTATCAAAAGAATTTTGATTAGATTTGTTGGTTGGCCAAGGACGATAAACACGCATTGGTCCTCTAGTAGACCACGGTACATGTGATTTTTTATGATGTGCAGAATTTGTGGCATTTTGTTTGCATGATTTTCGTTGACAATCAATTTGGTCGTTTTTACTACCACTCTCGGGTAGTCTAAGTAACAATGATGGCTGGACCAAAGCACAACATGGACCAGATCCTCTGTAATAGGTAAAATAGAAAGTGAAAACTACACAATATTAACAGCTCGCCTTGTATTAACACAGTGATATAAGAACGTATTGCGAAAAGTCAATCATCACAATTATCAACATCAACATATTTTCAAAAATTACTGCATAACGGTTCAAGTTAACACATCAAGTATACCAGGTGAGAATTCACTAAGATGAAAGATCAAGATTTAGATAAGAAAGCAGTCAAAGCGGTAGAATGTAGTGATAAGATAACAAGGAGAAATAACAAAAGCGTGAACTTCATATGACAAGAGGAAACATCTGGGCCTTTGACATCAGTTCTCTGCCATGTTACCTTGTCTCTTCCAACCGCTAGTTTCTATTATCGTATAGACCTCAACCGGGAATACTACATTCCTCTACACAGCTTAGACCAACAGTCAAAGACCGTGCAATGGCGCATTGTTTTAGCCTGGCCGCTACTAACCTTTTCCCAGTCTAAATTTACTTCACCTAAAATTTTGCGATGAGCCAGACAGCGACTAGGCATGCGTAACACATGTTCCAGACACCTTAGGCGATGAAACTTCGCAACCTCCGCAACTGACTTTCCTCTTCTCCCTAAGATCCTACACCTGACACTATATTAATGATGTGAAGATATCACAACACATGATCTATGCTACAGAGACAACGGTGGTCAAACAACTGGCTGTGTTTTACAGCCGTGCACCAGAACAGAGCAAACTGCAGCATAGTACACTCGGCCCTTAATAGAAAACCGGGTACCACTGCGGTCCCATAAATGGCTTAAGTTGGCGAGTCTTACAAGGCTTTCGTACTTATGAAGAGAGTTTGTCAGGCACTGACCAATTAAGGCTAATCCGACTTCATAGGTAAGTGAAGTCAACGGGCTCAACCACTTCCCTTCCTACAGTTAGACAAGGGAGTAGAGTACTGAAGAGCAGTCCTGCAGCAACAACTTGCATTTAGAAGGCGAGAAACGCATCTCAAACATTTTCAAATTGTAACTCAAAGTGTTCAGAAGACTCTGCATCTTGTTAGCATGTTCATCTAACAGGACAATGTTATCAGAGTGGTCTAGATTTACTGAGAATTCTCCTGCCGTAAAGTCAATCCCTGTGAAATCGGACGACGAGAGGAAAACCTCACTCAATTCTTCTGGACTGCGATCAGTGGGTGTGTGATGAGAGATTATACAAGGATAAGGGCGAAGTTCACTACACTTTTTAGTCCTCGCTATGCCGTTCAGTCAAACAGCACGCAGGCGACTGCCAACTGGGGGTCCAGTCGGAGAGTGAGCTTGCTGCCTTAGTGCTCAGAACTATACCTAGCCTACATCTGCAAGACCGCAAGTACTAGCCATCGAATCCCCGGAAACTGGAAGCGTGAATTTTGTGGACTTGCCATATTGAGCAAGTGAAGTGAATAACCGCAGTTAAGTTGTGAATGGTTATTTCACAAACACAACAAACATCCATAGCCCGTGTTGCTCGAGTTTCGGCTAGCGAATATGGTTGGTCGATTCGACGAAGGGTGCGGAAATTTCAAATTCCAATGTGCGCTTTCGAGCGTGGTTTCAGGAAACTAGTGATGCTGTTCCGTGAAATCACATCATTGTTACGTGGCCACGGAGGCTGAGGGACATCAGCATGAAGTTTGATAGTTTAGTTTGTTTTGTGGAAATTCCGCTACGAACCCATATCGCCGGAACAGGTATGCCATGAGGTAAAGGAAGTGTGCTACTTTTTTGGTCGACCTTTTCTAACCCCCCTCCTTCTTGTAGTGAAACCAGCCTCAAAGTGGCACTGCTGACTATCAAATTTAGACAACTTACAGGTGTTAGATTCCCATCCAATCAGCAGTTAGACTTCGCTTTCGGACCCCTATTATACCATAGCAATTTACAATGTAACCAATATCCAACAAACCTTTCTGGTTTAATGGTACCTCGAGGAAACGAGAGTCCCAGCAGCATAGCTCGTGGGGTCATTGAGACATACAAGCCTGACCGTCACATCAAAGTAGTAGATGTCGATCCGGTTTTACCGACGGATTGCTTGCGAAAATTACTACCTAATCAGAAACCAGTCACACACAAACAGACGTTAGGTAGTGTTTATTTAGGGGAATTTATTGTGAAAATCAAACAAGATATAACTAAGTGGTTAATCTTTCTGAGATTGAAATGATTCACGGAATAGTGAATTCTTATTAGGATGTATATAATAGTAATCCAGTTTTGTAGACCAGGATGAACATAGCAACAGTGGACCTGGAATAACTAATTGTCGGTTGGACTTAACACATTTCACATCAGCTGTTCAATAAAGGGCAGTAAATAACTAAGTGGGGAGTCGCTGAAAAACTAATGAACAAAAAATAATGACTACTAAACTCAACAAAAATAAGCAACGAATTTGAAGAAAGCAAAGAAAAGACTCATTCATTTACACAGCCTAGATTAATTCTTGGATAAATTGTTTAGAGCATATTTTCCAGTGGAAATCATAAAGGAAGTCTATACAATCCCCATCTTACAGCTTCACAACTACACTGGCAAACCCACTACTGCAGCCAGGATGGATAACAATCTTTACCTGGTTCACACAATGGTTTCAGCATAAACAAAGGATGCTATGATAAGAAAGGCAACTAAATACTTTCAGTCATTTAATAACAACTTTAACATTAGTGGCAAATAAAAGTGAACTAATGTGTATGATTCCCTAACCTTCAATAAAATGTCACTAGTAAACCAAGAGCTGAGTTAAGCTGAAAAAGGAATCTCAAATCTTTAAAACTGTTTACTGGAACACATTTATCTTTATAAGAATATATTTTAATATAATACCAGTGCGTTTAGATAATCAAAACAAGATATTTCTGGATGTTTCGCTGTGTAAACCACAGCTCCTTCAGCCGAATATATAGATTTCGTTTTACTAACCTCAAAATATATAGTCAAATGATACATACAAATTCATTAGCTCCTAAGACGAACACAGCTACTAGATTCGACGTAGACCAAATAATTCATAGAACAGAGATTAGCATTTTTGATCAATTATTGACTTTAAAAATTCGACAGCCTATCCATCTATCTAAATATTTATCAAGAATTCTGAAACCATTCCAAGATGACATTTCTACAAGTGTTAAAAATGCACAGGATTTTAAAAATAAATCGTTGAATATGACCATAGGAGAGGATGATATTATGGCAAATTTTGATATAACTTCTCTTTTCACTAGCATACCAATTTGCGAGTGTTTAGATATTTTAACAATTGCTATTAATAATAACCAAGATGAATGTCCACTTTCAACAGAGGATATTATAAAATTGTTGGAGCTTTGCTTAGAGTCTACAAACTTCGCATTTAAAGATAGAATGTACCATCAGTCAAATGAAGTTGCAACAGGTTCACCAGAACCTCCAATTGTGACAAATCTGTATATGAAAGTTTTTAGAAGAAAGAGCTTTAAAAAGTGTCCAATGCTAACTGAGAGTTTGTGGAAGACACAAATCTGTCATTCTTAAGAAATTAAACCCATAGAAACTTTTAGAACATAAATTCTATTTCAGATTCCATTAAATTCACTGATGAAACAGAATTTAAGGATGGCACTCTAAACTTTTTGGGTTGTCTTATCCAAAGAAAAACGACTGAAGGTAAATTCAGTATCAAAATATACAGAAAACCGAGACATTCCGATAAATAATTAGACCTACAATTGTATCATTCAACTAACATAAAAGCTGGTGTCTCATTGAAACTACTCAACAGAGCGACAAACATTATAACTGATCTAATTGATTTAGAAAGTGAAATTTTCATAATAAAGCATTTTTTTAAAATGAAAATAAACACCCTAGAAAGTTATTGAACAACATTATCGGTCAAACAAACAAAACAACAAGTACTACTACTACTTGTAATAAAGATACAAAATCAAGGTCGTCATCCATGACGATACCGTATCGGAAAGCTACTTCTAAACAGAATAAAACAGTCTGCGTCTTGTATAGTATTGAAGTTTGTTTTAAACCTTCAAATTCACTAGAAAAGGATCTTAGTCAAAGTGAAAGATACAATTCCTCAGATGACACACAACAACTATGTCTACAAAATTAAATGTTTGGAATGTGAAGCTAATTATATTGGAGAAAGTTGTAGGTCCTTAAAATTAAGGGTGAATGAACATAAGTTATTTTTGAAACATCCACCAAGGAATCAAGATAAATTAAAGAAAAAAATTAGAGAAGCGATTTAGCAGTAGCTATGCATACAATCGAAAGTTGATACATGATTGACTTTAAGAATATAAAGATACTGTGAGAAGGTTTCCATTCACATAAAGAAAGGTTAACTACCGAAACCCTGTATATTTTAAAATAAAATGCTGTAAACACAAAAGAAGGAATAGATTTGTTACCTGATTGGCAAACTTTAATCCAACAAAATTATGGGTGAGGCTAAGAGTTATTCCCACATGTTATCGTGCACGCAATAGATTGTAGGGTTTCTGATGAAAATATGAACATTTTCTGTGTTCCGTATGAATAGTTTTTACAATGTCTGCTATTTATTCGTGTTTCATACCGTTTATCCATTATTGACTACACTTCCACTTCTTAGGCGGAAAGTAAGTATAGATATTCAGGACAAGTGATGCTCACAGATCGCAGTGAGTTAGTTGCAGATTCAAATTACATTGAAAAAGATTTATGATTGCAGTTTTCACTTAAGAATTTATATATACAGAACACAGAAAATACATATTTTCAGACAGAAGGCTACAGCACCTGGGGATAACTTTTAATGATGAACTTTTCAAATTGAAGCTACAATAACAATGACAATTTTGAGGGAGTTGTGGAGATTTGGAATTATTTCAAGGTGTTATTCATCGTAGACTGACATCAGTTGGAAGAACAAAGGAAACCTGGGAAACCGTGAGCTAACAGAAGTTGGAAATATGGAGCATTGGATTCTGACC